TGTGGTTTTCGGAGATGATCTGGTCGGCGAACTTGGTGCCCAGTTTATTGAATGTACTGATATCTGTATGATGTCGTACATAGTAAATGTGAAGTGGGGTATTTCCCAAGACAAAGGCTGACCTTGGTTTATGATCTACGCCTCCAACGAGCCATAATCTGCACATTCTCCTCAGAATATGTGTACTTGTCATAAAATGCAGAAAAGGACTAACACGAAACACTAAACACGGGCTGATTCTGACCACCTGGCAATGGGACGCCTAGGAAGCTGAGTCCAGGGGCAAATACCTGGGGCCACATCAACATGAGGCCAAAAGACACATTCTTACCTAAAAAAAAATAAGAGGCCCCACCCTAAGAATATGATATGAAGTTTTGGTTTTGTTCTCTACACCACCTGCATCATTTATAAGCTAGGTCAAACACTTATATAAGATCTCTTTCATGTCTCCAAGTGCCATCAAATCTTGCTAAACTTGTATTTATTATATTTTTCCAAGATTATCTCATCAAAGTCCTTTTTCCCCTCTTTCCGACATAATTTCAGCCCTCTACTTTCGATTGTATCTACAACAATGCAATGGAAACCACCACCCACCAAACAACCCATTGCTATCCGTTCAGAACATGTTGCTTCATCGACCAAATAATTCAGGTGAAGCAATATATGTTTTGGTCCAGCGGCAAGTTTATACTTCGGGGCACTCCAACCGCCGAAGAACCTTTAAATGCTTTTCAGCGTCGATGGTGATTTTTGTACCATTTTTCAGCGACGACATTTCTCTGCGACGCTCTCAGGTCTCTACTTTGAAAGATATCTCGGAAAAAGGCTAGTAACATGTGGTATCTTCATCTTCCCCGTATGAGGGCAGCAGAAGTGAAGCTCCTCCGAGCTACGGTTACGGTTGCACCGAAATGGAGCACCCCAAAGACAATTCGACGCATTCTGTGTAGAAGCGCAATGGAGAAGAGACAATACTGAGGTTCATGACAGAATGTCCAAAGACCAGGACGGCATGTTACTCACTGCAATTGGTGATGGTAAATTGACTGATGGTCATGGTCTACCTACCCGGAACGACCGTCGGGCGTAGTGGTGAAGGAATGGACCTTTCGCTGGCAAGATGCCATCTTTTTCCCAGAGGGTACAGCTGATGATATCTCTAACACTTGATAGGCATCGGCTATTGTTGTTCTTCTAGCTCATGGTGTTATACCAGAGCAGTGAGGCACGATCAGACACTCCTTACGAAATCACGAGTTACTGATTCTCCAAATAGGCGGCAAAGGAAAGAGCCATGAGTAATGACGGCCTCGGTGAAGAAGAATCACAGATTTTATTATGAAGACATATATGAGAAGGTGAGTGTAGAAACGAAAAGTACAAAGGCCACACGAATGGGTGATCGTTGTCGTCTTTAGTGACATAGCTATGTAGATATTGAAGCAGTGGGGGAACTAAGAATAGCTAGAGACACTCTACGTTGAAACAAATATAGATACTTCAGACAATTTCAAATATTTGTTCACCACTTGGCGCTTCGCCCCAGTTACAATTTAAGTAGCTTCAAGGTTTTTCTGGCAGAAATGTGTTCCTGTACTGAATCCGAGGATGCATCTGCAAAAGTGGATTTGGTCTTAACTCCAGACAAAATATATATATCAAATTAGAGTGGAGGCGCTATAATTGCCGGAACGAAAGGAGCAAAACAAGATGATATTATTTCAAATACTAATAGTCCAAGCAAACTGTTATGTTCAGAATAAAATAAACTAAATGATTAAAAGTAGATGTTTTCGAGAATTAGTTTACCAGATATTAGCATAATTATCACGAGTTCCTCTTCGACTCCTGCCGGAGTTGTTTCGTCATTATTGTGAGGTTTTCAACACCTTCGGGGGTAACACTGTACACGAAACCCCGAGCTTATCGAGGAAATTCATCCCACTTTGCCCAGGTGAGAATCAGAATTTCTCAAAGAACCTTCCCCATTCACAACATTCCGCAACGTCTTTCCCAAGGTTATTAGTTGGTAAAGTCGCCGCCATCATCAGGACTCACAGGTATTGGACGCATGGTTTTCATCCTTGACCTGAAATGATTCCGAGTAGCTAAAGAAAACATGTTAATCATGTTACAGGCACTGTCTTCGATTACATCCGCCATGTGGAGCCAAAGCTTCATCAGTCACTTTATGGTGCAAAGAAGACGTTGTTTGAAGCATCAGCAAGACGTGAACGAGATCAGTTGTAAGCAGCCATGACCTGATTCCTTTCACTTAGCTGGCGACATTTCACCAGCTGAGACAGGCCAAAATTTTGTCAGCCGGAAGACCGTCGAGGTATTTTGGTTTGACTAGATGGGATTTGTGAGCAACGCAGGCGTGGAAGCAGTTTGTTGAATTTAGAGTCAGCTATATCCTCTCCTCATCTAATTCTGCCCTTCTTTAATAACCTCACCAGACTCGAACCTTCTCTTAAAACCGTTAATAATCTTTCGATAAAACTTTCGAAGCATTTCAGACGTCAATGCTTTCGCAGTCGCTGGTCGGCACTGACCCAGTCGCTATCGGGTGGCTCCATCATCGGCGTGAGCTCCATCCTCTGCCTATATTTGCTGTGCCCAGACACATTGTTGCACCCACCAAGCGCTTGGCGTGCTAAGTCTCATGCAGTCGTGTGCGTGCGCGCTTCGGAATATATTCGAGATTACGTTTGCTCCCGGAACTAATCCGGACGCAGCTATCGAGGAGGATATGAAGGATCCCGTTAAGCGGAAATTTTATATGGAGGGTCGGATTCTGTTGAAGTAGACTGGGCCAGCTGCGGGATTGGCTGGGCCAGCGGTTTTTGGTCAGGAGGAATTGAGTATGTGTGATCACGCAGCTGCTGGTTGATGGTGGGTTGTTCGTTAACCTGCAATAAGTTCTTTTGCAGGTCCAAACTATTTATTCATGAATATACGTATTTACTATGGGATTTTGTACGTCTTATTTTTCATAGTAATCACATCTTCAGATCTTTATACCATAAGCTGCAAAGCAACAGACTTCATACCCTTCTTCTTTTCCTCAGACAATCCCTCCAAACTCAAAACCTCCTCCACCAAACCTCCCATCTACCCCAAGCGGCATCGTTCCACCGCCGCTAACATTGCACACCGGGCGCTAGTCGGGATTCCAAACATAAATACGATCCGCGCGGAAAGGGTTAAACATAACATCAGTCCAGGCGGCCGTACGCGTTCTACAATAGCCTCTTAAATCTGGCTCCGACACGTCTCGAGCGGTAAAAGCCCTGAAAATCCACCAGAAAGCTTCATATAAGTCTTAGACCTGCCGTCGTGCCATCTTAGTCACAAGATCCTTCCACCGGTTGAACTCGAAGTTGAGAGCGAATCTTATCCGCCTCCAAACGAAGATCTAAGGCTTGCACAAATGGTCTATAGTAAGCATTAAGAAGAACTCAACATTTACAAAAAGAGAGGTGGGAAAACACATATTAATAACAATCGTAATAGTTTTGCTTTCCAAACCCCCATAAACCAACTCCCCACCACCTCGCAACCGCCCTCAGCCGCCCCAACCCCCCAGACTCAGCACTTCCAACCCCGATCAAAAATAAACCCTTCCCTCTCAATTGTACCTTAAACCTCGACAAACCCACTCCCACATCGTCCTCAAATCTTTATCCCGCATCAAATACCTTAACCCCTAACCTTCCCCCAAACTACTCCAGAAAAGCGATCCCGCACTTGCCGCAGATATTGCTGCCTAGCACATCCGGTCCGTTGGGCGATGAGGCGTGCTCACTTGCACAATACCTAGATACAGAGGTTTTTTTGTCATCTGGGGAGGTGGCCTGTCGCCTTGATGGCAAAAAGCTGAGGGCCAGTGTGCGGTTAGGAAGTAGTGACTCCCCATCCACATGCAAGTTGCTTGCATGTGGCTAGTCGCGAGGGGGTTACGAAGGAAAACGGTTTGCTGGGAGGTGTGCATGGGAAGCCCCTGGAGGGCGGGGGGTTTTGATTTGGACAGGGCGTATTCGTTTACGCTGTGATGGATGCCGAGGGGGTTGGTAAGAGAAGTGCTAGGTGAGGGTTTTTAGGTGGTGTTTCTGGAAGAGGTGGATGTGGGAGTCCACAGATTGGGATTTGGGGGTGTCATGGTTTGTGTTAGGTACGTAATGAGTGGTTTCCGTGGGGTTTAAGTAGATAGTAAGATGTAGCGGTTTTGAGTACAAATGTGGCCTCGGTTTCTCGAGATGTTCATGGGAGGATATTTTCCAGTCGTTAAAGATCATTGGGGAGGAATGGGGAACGAAAACCCGGTGGCATTTTGACCGAGTTCTCAGAGATTGGCAGAGACTTTAATTTGAGGAATATCTGAAGCGCCCTATTTGAAAAAGGACCAAAATAGCTAGCAGCTGATTTCCCCACATAAATTTTACAGAAACTACAGAGAGTAATGCTATAGAGATGACAGAAAGAAATTCATATGCAGAAAGAATCAGGAGTATATATACACCAAGTGGATAATAATTTCATTGAGGGCAAAATAGGGAATGCATCAAGGAACATAAGAGGAAAACAGAACAGAGGCAAGATAAAAAAGTGGATGAAATAACCCCTTCCGCAGTAACACTGCAGAAGGGACAGGGTAGAGAGATGTACGCATGCCTTAAGAGGCATGCAGTAAAAAGTTCAAGTTCAAAAGGGGAAAGAAAAAAAAGACAAGAAAAAAGTTTAAGACGAACTCCCAAAAAGGAGCAAGGAATATATGAAGTGGGCCGGGTGCAATAATGTACATGGTCAGTACGCCGATACACTGCTCTCTTTAAGTCCGATCTATACAAGGCTCTCTCTGCATCCACAAATCCTCAAAGCTAGATCATCCATAGGCTTGTCCTCCAGAGTGACTCTGTTGGGTTCACTTTCAGCGACGCTGCTTCGGTTGCTGTCCGTGCCATTGGCCCCGACTGCCGAGCCAGGGGGGAAGCTTAGGACACGCTACCAAGGCCAGGCTTTGCGGCTGTAACGAGCGCCAGAAGAGCGGGACATAGAACTGCGCTTCTCAAACTTGCTGGATGCTGCAGCTGGAGTAGGGGTAGGAGTTGGAGAGTCATCGGATGTTGTTTCGGGAAGAACAGAGGGGGCTGGGGGAGCTCGAGTGGACGCTGGTGCTGGAAAAAGGTGCAGCCGAGGCAGGAGGCTCCGGTATACGCGCCGTTGGTAACAGGTTCAACAACTTGGGTGTTCACGGTAGGAGCATCCTCAGATTCGAGTTGGGGAGCCTTGAGTTGGCAGGTACATCTAAACTGGTACCGCGGGTGGATCTGGGATCTGAGGGGCTGCTGACGTTGATCGGGAACCGGCCAATCTCCGAAGCACCACTCGAGCGGTCACGTTGATGCCGTTGGCGATTGGCGGGGCTGGTTGCCCGGCTGCAGGATTGGACAGTCGGCTCGCTGGCGAGCCTCCATCGCCGCACGACGGTTACCTCCGTCCGTGCTGGATGGCGCGTGGACGGTTGGAGCCGGAGCTGGTAATCCCTTAGCGCACTCGGATTGGTACTTCGAATTCACCAAAGATGGTGTCTTGGGGGCAAACAGATCGCGGATCAGGCGGTAGCTGTGGCGCTTGTTCATTGTCAGGCTGTTCTATACGCGAGGGAAGGAGAATATATGAGGAAACGCCTGTGCCAACGAAGGGATGTATTCTTCATCGGCTGAGGTTAAATCAATCAGGCGCGTGAAGGAGTCATAATGGCATCAAGCGTGAAGCGATATTCACAAGCGTTGAGTTGTCCAGGGGAAGCTTTGCAGAACCTTGATCCGGTCCTTCTTCCTGTGGTCCTCTATGGAGCAGTGGTGGAATAAATAGTTTTCATGATCTCTGTAAACTTGTGAGGATACCAATGAGTCCATCAGAACATTAGCATATGCCTATATCAAGCCGAACCAAAGGGGGCGACGAACCTGGCAATTCAAGAAGGTACAACCTGGAGAACGCTTGCAATAATTCGAATTTCGACCTTGAGGTAACACCTCTTAAGCATAACCGGCCTTAGCTGTTGTTCAGAACTTGACGAAGTTTGCGTGTTGTGCTTAGATCGACTTCTCAAGTGAACTCAGATCATTCATCGTGTTTCATCGCCTTCAAGTTCAGGGTAGCCTGATCGGATTTGTGAGCGTTTATTCATGATTTTGGACACATTCCATGGATGTCTTACGGTTATCCAGGTAGGTCAAAATGGTAGTCACCAGGATGGGAACACGTTTGCGGTCGGCACGGGCTCTAGCTTCAAGGTCGACACCGAAGTTTGTTCTGGTGAAAATTAAAATTAGCAGTGTTCCATCTCTACAGGCGACGATGATGGCTGTACCTTCAACGGAGCCATAGTAGTTTTCGTATGCTTGGATCTTAGGTACGAATCCACCAGTGCGGTAGTTCTCCAGCAGGTATCTCAAGTCACCGAGGGGCTAACAGAATGGTTTCTATTGATGTTAACATCATATGATCCACTGTACTCTGCAGGTTGGTAAATGACATTACTGATCGCGCCCGAGAAGTCAAGAACCATAGCTTTAATGGCCTCGAGGCGGTCCAACTCGCACTGTTCCATGTACTTGGAGCTGGCGGATGACTTCTTCTTCCAGAAGGCAGCGGATTTGGTCGAGATTCGAATGGCAACCTTGTACCGTTCATCGGCCTCCAATGCCTCTCTCCGGAGCTTCCAAGGGTGTCTCGTTAGGCAAGGGTTGTTGAGGGCGGCTGCAGCCAGACAGAATCTCAGAGACAGATGCAATAGGCGAGTCATGGCCGTATACTTTCGTCCCCGCTTGACGCGACTTGAGGTGACCGGTTGAGAGGCTTTTTTTCTGGGATACTAGTGAGTTGGAAAACCTTAGGACGCCACTTATAGTTCATCTTGGAACTGTTGGTAAATATATTGTCCATATTTCAAATCAAGCGAAGAAGACCGTTGTCTACCATATCCCGACCAATTATCTCCAATTTGAGCGAGATTGTCGGCCTCCATGTAGGTTTGAATATATTGCGCACACTGATATCTGCAGGCCAGGGCCGGGTGGACACAATTCAAATAGGTGCCGATAATGGAACCTTCTGGTCTTTCGCTATTTTTGATGTTATCGAGCATATGGGAGAGGAGTCTTTTCATGTGGTCGCTGGAAAACCTTTGCTCAACCTAACTCGATAAGGTCCCTCCTTGGGCTCTTCCTCGACAGGGAGAATGATCTTCGGGGTAGCTTTGATCTTGGGGCTTGACTGGGGGCTTTGGGAACGCAAAGCCTGTCTTCTTTCTTCTCTGAGAGTCCTCGACGATACGACACTTGTTGAAGTAAGTACTGCGCAATTTCCTTTACCAACTCCGCCTCGCTTGGTGTGCCCCTTGATCGGACTGGAGGAGGTCATGCGAATACTGAACACGCATGTCGTGCTGCTCGCTCCAACGGCGGAAGGGCGATATGACCAGTTCAAGGATATTGTTGGCGATCTTCTGGTGGTTCTTGGAGGCCCCGATCATCTCGGTGCGGATTCCTTCGTATGCCTGTAGCGAGATTCTGCGCGACGTCACTCTTTCTTCACTCCAGTCCATTCCACGTGTCTGGAAACATACCTTTCGAACGAGACCTAGTGTACAATCGTCCAAGCCGAATCCTACCGCCGTCATCCTGTCCACGCTTGGGGCAATATCTTCCATGGCGGAGTCCATACTGATCCTCTGCTTCTGCACTGGCATGGACGCAATGGCCAAGATTTGCTTGTTCCGCACGACCCTCTGCTGCAACTTCCCGTACAGTACCCCCAGACCTGATGGAGAATCGGGGGTCCAGAGAGAGTCCGAAAAGCCAGGCATTATGGCGGCCAAAAGGCTGATTCAGGCCGTCAAGCGGAGACAAGTTATGATCGGTGTAGAAAGGGAAAGCGATCCGGCAGCTGACACCGGTGAGTTCGTATGATCGGAGGAAAACGGGAATCGTAAAAGGGTGGAGAATGTGAAACTCAAGAGTAATCGAACCGGAATAAATTGAGGTTGGGCGGCTACTGAGGCTCAGTGTTTGCGATATGACCAGGGACAACGAGGGCAGACCGGCTGGCTTGCTTGATAATTCAATATCCAGTCCTGATGCTAGATGAGGGGAACCACGCATAGGCCGAGATACTAATGCTGAAGCAAAAGAAGATCACTTTGGAATGCGAGAGAACAGGGTGCGTAAAGGTGTTAAGCGCCGGGATCGCGAAGGAATTTGAAGTTAAAATGAATGAAAGCCTAAGCGAATTACGATGTAACTCGGCAAGCAACAAAAAAAGACAAAAGACAGATGGAAAGATGAAGATGGAGAGATGGAGTTGGAGTTGGATTTCCAGATGGGGCGTCATGTGGCTCGTAATATTACGGGGATTTGTGTACATCTGAGACCAATCCATGTGTTACCGCCCAGCAAAGAGCCCTTTAGCTCACAGCGTGGCTCATTGTCCCCGTCTTGAATCCACTTGGGCTATTTTTGGCTGAAAATTACACTGGTAATTGGCAAATCTTTAAATTTGGTTTTTTTCAGTTGAAGAAAAAAAAAAGGGGGGAGGCTGGTGTCTTGTTTTTTTGTTTACAATTTGTATTAATATTGCGTATGTGAACCTCAGCGATATACTATTCAATCAAATGTACTACAAGGATATATAGTACAATACAATATAGTGTGGCACTTTGCCCTAAAGCCGTTGACCTCTTGGGTCCCCTACAGCCAAGGCTGGAGGCTCGAGATGATCATCGTGGAGTTTATGCAATAGAAAATGTATGAACGTTTCGTGTGATATTCAGAAAAATTATGGTATCGTGATTATCTTTAAACAAGCTTTCAAGGATGAAAGATCAAGATGTAGTACATAGGGGTAGATGTCGAAAAGAAAAAGATAAAACATCCGCTTAACAGAAGAACTTCCAAACCTTCTTCCACTTGGGCCAGTCTCTTTGCTCGGCAACCTCCTGCTCAATCAAATGCTGGATATCAAGCTCGCGACGACCGGTAACCAAATCAACCTCAGAGGTGCGGACAAACTTGGTCTTGTATGTAATCTTATAACCGATGTAGCAAATCAGAACAACAGGGGCGGCCAAGTAGACACCGAAGAAGTTTTTGGCAATCTCGGCGGGGGTCTTTTCTGCGTAACCAATGGGGGCGAAACCAACCCAGAACTGGGCAATCAGCACGAGACAGTTGAAAATGAGACCAATCCACGAGCCAATAACGCCGGGCTGGGAACGGAAGGCCAGCTCATCCAGGGTGTGGCCCTGTTGCTTCCATGCGCGACGGAAGAGGATGTCAGGGCACCGCACACAGAACCCCAGGTGAAGATAGATGAGAGACCTGAGATGGCCATCATCCAGTTGAAGGCTTCAGTCTGCACGTCCGAGGCGGCGAGGTATGAAAGCAAACCCAAAGTAGACGCAACAATAATGGCGGGTAGGGGGACGACCCTTGCGGTCGATGTAGCAAGGAACCTGGGGCCTGGCCCGCCTCGGCAAGGGCGGCAAGGGTTCGCGAGGATCCATAGACAGAGGAGTTACCGACAGACAGGACCGCAATCATGATGACGACGTTCATGACCGAAGGAAGAGCTTTGATTCCTGCGTTCTCAATGGCAATGACGAAAGGAGACGCCTTGGCATCAGCGGAGGAGGAACCGCTGAGAAGTTTTGGGTCGTCATATGGCACCAGCATGCCAACAACGGTAAGGGAAACGACGTAGAAGAGAGCAATACGCCAGAAGACCTGCTTAACAGCAGGGGGAAGGGACTTGCGGGGATTGGTGGTTTCGGCGGCGGCAAGACCAACAAGTTCGGTTCCAGCAAAGGCAAATGCGGCGTTGACAAAGACACTGCAAAGACCCTTGAACCCGTTATGGAAGGCACCTGGGTTGTACCAGAACTTGGCGCCGATGTATCCACCTTCGGGGCCACCACCGCAGTTGAGGACGATTCCGAGGATGCTAATAATCAAGTCAGTGAGGTGGTCAAGTTTCAGATAGTAACATAACTTACATGAAACCGATAACGGCAACGACCTTGATGATGGAGAAGACAAATTCAGCTTCACCATATCCTCGTACACCGAACATGTTGATCGAGACAATCAGAATCCAGAATATTGTTACCCAGGCTGCATTTGAAATATCGGAATTCCAATACTCGACTGTGATAGAAGCGGCGACGATCTCCAAGGGTAAGACAATGAGCCACTGGAGAGCGTAATTCCAGCCCATAGCGAAACCCCAAGCGGGATCCACGAAACGAGTCGAATACGTGGCGAAGGAACCGGCAACGGGGAAGAGAACTGCCATTTCACCCAAGGCGTGAACTGTACAGTAAAGCATGCATCCAATCAAGATATAGGCAATCAGCACCGAGGCTGGACCACCGACAGCCAAAACACCTCCAGAACCAACGAAGAGACCAGTACCTACATAGTAAATGGAATTAGCGAGGTCGAATGAGTTGAGAGAAGATAGGGAACGTACCAATAGAACCACCAATAGCAATCATCTGCAGATGGCGACCCTTCAAGTTACGCTGCAGCGGGGAGTTGGCAGTGTTATGGGCGGCAGTCTCGATATCGAAACCACCGCCATTGGCTCCAGCACGGCTGACCCTTTGGTTGGCTCTCTTGAAGCTGTCCATGAACCGTTGGCCAAAGCCTCCGCGCGTGGCAGACGAGTCCCCATAGGATGGGGGAGCATCCGCGCCCGTCTGGACGGTGGTCTCCTCAAACTTCTTTTCCCCTCCCATAGTGTGTATGTGAATAGGTTTCTCTTTAAAAGGTTTGGACTATCCAAAAGGATAGACAGAAGTATCTATCTGTTCGACCAAAGCAGAGAATGTGAGGTCTGAACCAAGGTGAAACAAGTGGAAGATTGACCGTTTGAGAGGGGGAGGCGAGGGTATAAATACGACCAGTCCAATTTCAGATAAAGGCGATATAATTAATTTTACGTTCAATCAAATTAAATTAAATCAAAAGAACGCAAATCTATCTACTTTCATTGCGCTTAGACCAATTAGGATTTCGCACTAATAACGTTTGAGACTCGAGTCTTCCGATAACCTTGGCATGGTTTTTGTAACTAGTCCCGAGGCAGATTATCTTTTTTTTATTTATTTTAAATGAGCACGTAAGTGTGTTCGAGGCTACCTAGGAGTTACTTGCATAATGGAGAGCTGCAAACAGCTTGCGGGAGATAAGCTGGAACGTGGAACTGCCATGTTTCACCCGACTATCTGGACTAAAAAGGTAAAGTGTTGATTGTTTCGCGTCAAGGGTGTGGTGGAAGTGGAACCCCTGGTAGCCACTACTTATCTGCGTGATTTAGCCTGTCAGAATGGGACGTATCTCGCCCCATGAACGATGTCTAGGGGAGTACGCCTAGTTCCCTAGTCTCGTACTTTTCAAGCCCATGCTGACAGTGAATGACTTTATCTGTATCATGATATTTCTTATTGCCAAGGTGAACTTGAGGAAAAAGCCAAGCTTCTGGAGCCCAAAGACGGCAAATCCCCAGATCCACTAAACCCCATCTGTCGGTCTCTCCGCACTCTACCCGTGATAGTCGATCGTTACCCAATCAGATCGGTCTCGCGAGATAAGGACATTCCTGTCCCTCTCACACAACTTCCCAACGCGTCTTTCTAGAACACTTTATCTTGAGAGATTTTCTAAGTTTGGAATCAAATAACCTTTGAAGGATGCTAGCACTCTGCACAATAGATTCTACTGACCATTGCACCGAAAAGGAATGGTTCCTTTTCGTTCATCCCTTACCTATGAGAAGGCTTCCCGACGGACCCCGTTGCTGTGGCATGCGCTATGGGCCACCAGGGATATGCGTGTAATGCCATATGGCTGGAGAAAATACGGCCCCACTGAGGCTGGCCATTCACAATTCCCGGGTCACCTCGGTATGGTGTATATTCCTCTTGGCCTGGTGGTAAGAAAGGCAGAAATATTGCGGACATTCCAAGAACCGCCTCGGTCGGGTTTGCCGCTATCATCTGACATGAGCTCTGTTGGACCCCTAGGATAAGAAATGGCGCCACAACATCCTCATTTAGTGTTTTGGGGGCGAGTCTACCTGAGTGGCTCGTGGCGGTCTGCCAGTGATATGCATAGAAGCACGGGAGAAGCATACCAGGAAACCGAGAGGGGTGTGCTGGGGAGATACTATCATGTGGTGCTTATTAGAGTCTGTAATGATTGGTCTTGTCGTCGGCGCGGTAAGCAACATCCTCGTATTTTTTGCTGGCCAAGATGTAGAATGCATCGAGTAGGGAAGCTCTGGTAGGTCCAAGATTATGCCCTCGCATCCTGAGGTCCCCGAATAGACTTTCATGAACCAGTAGCTGCGTTCGGGCATCCCCGTCAAAGCTTGGACCGGATTGATCACATTATGTGGTGGCTAATATTTGGCTAATATTTACCTAATAATTGGCTAACATTTGGCTAACGGACGTTAAGATCTCAAGTTGTTCAGATCTCAATTTGTTTGTAATCGTGTGACCTCTCACTTCAAGTGAGAGAAGCTCTTCGGCTAAATCGAGATCCGAAAACCGGCTCCACCAGTCTTATCTTGCATATTGCGGGTCAAGTCACCAATTTCTTAGATAGGACGTTGCTTCCATAACACTTGGGTACGGTCAGAGAATAGGGGCGAGGGAAAAAAAAAGGCGCGTTCTCGGCCTTGAGCTGGATAGAAGCTATGCTCTAACAGCCACTCAAGCCTTCCCCCAGCTGATGGCGCGCAGTAGCTGATTTTACTGGCCACGCTCCCGTAACAGATAGCCACGGTGACATCGGGTTGGGTTGGCATTTGTGTTCCGATGACTTGACTGGAGCCAAGGCTGATTGTCCATTATTCATTTTAGGTCTGCGCCCGAATGGTACTTACGTGAAACGGACTTTGCTGCCTTCCAAGGAACCTACTTCATACACGGGCCCAGGTAAAATCCCTCGGGTAGATCTGTAGCACAAAGTTAGCTCTTCCGTGGACACATCCGTGGACACTTCTAAGGTTATTTGTTAGGTTCCAAAGATCAGCAGTCCAAGGGTAATAACCCCGCAAATTTTGTGTCGGAGTCCTCCGTATTTCGTTTTGGGGTTACTCAAGCCGACCAAAATCCCCGTAAAATCCCCGTAAATGAGCATGATGAGCACATGCTCGGGCCAAACACGCAATGCGGACTCAGATTTTCGCCACGGATGGGCTCGGCATTACCCCAGATTGATGTCCAAGAAATGATATACACTCCGTACTCCGTAGGTTTGTTATTTTTTTTTTTCTCGGCACGTTCATAATTCCCGAAAGCCGAGTCGGAGCTCTTCATTGAGGCATTCAATAATTTGTCTCACTCCATTCAGTTCACATCGTGGTGAGAATTAATCAAAAGGAGCCCTGTAAACCCGGAGTCAATATTAGGTGCATATAAAATGTGGGGGTGACATTCTGTTAGGTAACAAGTTCCACATAGTCAACTTTGGAATCTGGGGAAAAGGCGGCACAAAGAAACCTGCTTTCACCAGGGAATTCGGGGCGTGAATACTCGATTATCCATGATTATCCGCAGAAAGCTGGCTTTGGAAACCTAGAAGCTCGTATGCACCGCGACCCTTTTTCCGGTCCCTGAGACTACCACTTTACTGGGCTGCTTATCTTATTTGAATTGGCGCCTGAAGGGCCTCCTGCAGCATGTATGGTATTGTGATCTGGGCATAGCTCTTGAGGGGTCAGTTCTCCGGCATACTCGGTCGATATCCAGAATTATGGAGGTACAAAGTAGGGTGCTATACAACATGTATCGAATAATGTACTGCAGATGATCATATCCTAATTAGCTCTTCGTTGAGGTTCAAACACCATAATTAATCTCCACTTAATAGCAGTGGACTGGCTATAAATTTAACACGAATGTGGGGTAGTTAAGACGATTTTGGAGTCGGCTTCTTTACATCGTACATCATGATATCCATGAAGAATTGTCCGATCAGCATGCAGGGGCCACTGTTCGTATCGATGGGATGGTTCCAGATCTCCTTAATATCCGGTTATAAACTGTAAATAGCGGGCAGCGACCGGGGCTAGCCGGTGATAAGCTGATTTCAGGTAGAGACGGACTTGTGGTTGGAGGGCTTATCTTAGATCGCCGGTGGTCCGAGGTCTTTGGGAGGCTAGGTAGTCCCTGCATGCCTTATATCATATATCATTGGAGGCTGTAGCTAGTCCCTGTAGGCGGACTGTGCTGTGGAAAACGCCCCTGGATTGTAGCTATCCGTCGAGCACATTCTCTTGGGTGTTCTTGGCAACAGCTTCCTTGTCTTACTCCAATGCCGAGCTACACGCGACGAGACTCGGGATACAAGGGGAAAGACCAAAAGCACGCTTGGCATGGAGGTTCATTCATTCAACGATTTTGTTCTATCTCGTTGCGTTCGGTATCATTAATACACAAATCTTTTATTTCGTCACGGCAAGAAATGGGTATATCAGGCTCATGAGCTTGCCACGGGGCCTTCACCACCGGGAATCAACTAGTTGAAGAGTTAATGAAGCACCCAGATGGCCGCAGAGAGTGAATTTTACTTACCATGCAGATGTTGTTTCCATTCAACAAGAGCTTAGGGAGCTTGATCTGGGCGCCGGTGTAGTCGCTGAGAGAAAGTTAGTTCAGGAAGCAATCACAGAAGTGAACCTGTGGAGAATTTCGACAAGAAATTCGCGCAGATGGAAATCAATGGACATTGCCCAGTGAGGGTAGGAGCTAAGGCAACCAAACACGGCCACAGAAAAAGAAAAGGGCAGTCAAAGTTGGGACAATCAAAGATGAAAATACGTACAACTCTGTCACGTCTTCCATAACCATGTCTAAGTCGAAATTAGTGCCTGGTGAGATCGTCACACTTCTCATACAGGGGATACTCACTGACGTAGTCATCGAATCCGAGCAAGGTCCCGGAGAACTCTTTATAAGCATTAGTACACTGATTCAATTTCATTACCAACCATTGAAGTTTAGCTGACCTTTGTCACCCTTCATGACAACCCAAATCCGGGAGCCAACACACTTATCAATGAGCTCTATCAAACGAGTTAGTGGGGTCATGGTTTTCTTGGGTCATTAGGCACACACCAAGAGGAAGGAGCTGAGAAGCCATGATGTTGGGAGATAGAAAATATGAGCTGTTGATCAATTTTTTCTCAGATAGGGGTTTGATTTAAAAACAAAGGTGATCGAGCATTCCGCGTGGGCAAGTTCGATATAGAAAAGGACGTGATCGTTCGTCGCTCGGCACCTCTGATGATCCGGCCCGAGCAGCTAAGCCAAACAAAGTTTAGAGGTAACTTTCAAAGGCGCTTGGAGCTCTGCAACATGGAGTGCTATCCTGATCCTTAATTGGTCTCCTACTTGCAGTTTCGTAGATTACACATATACTGAGCCACCATCTGCTGTCCATCAAATCGATCATCTTCGATTGTTTCGTGGGGCTCCAGGCTGGTCCACTATGATTCTCACACATTATGCCAATGCGGCCAAATCTTTTAGCAAGTCGGAGGACCCAATCTTCAATTGCAAAACATAGCGGTCTCGATAGATCCATATCCTATGGGCCGCTGCGATGGGGACTTTCTGAGCGGTGGCGGTAAGCACACTCTCTTGTTTTAAGCTTCAATGGCTATTTTTCTAACCAAACTACAGTGGCCCCAATACATGCGCACGATCTATCTCGCCGGTCCGCCATGTCTCTTTACCGAATACAAGCTCCTCCTACACCCCGCTCGTGACCTCTCAATCAAAGCAGAGCTTTTCCAACACTGCTCACAAAGAAGGCATATGGGATGACGATGACGAAGTCCCAGAACCAAAACCCAGTGCAACGAACTCCAGGTCGGCCGGGCTTTGTGCGCCCTTCTCAGCATCGAGACTTGGCCAGCTTGATTCGATCGAGAGTAGAGGGGAAAAATCGAGTCTCTGAACGCCTGCACATTGAGAAGCAGTTCAATTCACTACCTTCATACCAGGAACTTGCTGAGGATTTTATCCAATTGAAGTACAAACACCTTGATGATATCGTTGTTGAATCCACCACAGTTGCTCAGGAATGCATCAAGGCCACCCAAAGATGTGTAAATGAATGGGAAAACCGATCAAACTTCATCAGGGCGCAAAGTATAGCTATTGTGTCAAACGCCACGGATTCAGTTCTACAAGCAGAGAAAATCACCAAGGAGTATATCGCTGAAGTGAGACATCTTTCGTCTTCCATACTGGGCCGAATCCAGACTGCTGTCACGAAAGCAAAAGAAAATCGGTCGAATGATTGATCATGAATACTGCTGCATTGCTTTTGCTAAAACTCCAGAATTGGTAAGAGAGGTGCAAATATCCGCCCAGAACATCCATCGTTGGAGGAAGTCTCTCCGTGCGACTCAAATAACGCTCCTGGAATCTCAGATCAACACTTCTGAGCTATCAATCCGTCAATTGAGAGACGCTCTCAACGATGATTACCTAAGACCCCGGGATACCGCAAGAAGTCGAATTGATCGAGTTCTTCATCAAAGCGACCTGATTGAAAAGGAATACATCGAGTTGCGACTAAAAGCAACCAACGCAAGATGTTTCGCCATCAGGGACCTTTGCTTGGAGCTTCAAACCAACCCGAACCTTAACCTTCGTCCAGACGATAAATGGGTGTTTGGCCAATACAAAGAACTCATTGAGCGTAGTGATAGCGAGACTCGCTTATATGCCCATAATCACCGGTCAGCCTGGCTCAGAAGGCAAATGGCTTTCCATCCACTTCGACAAAGTGAACTATGGAATTTAGGCGATTTCATGGCGGCAGTTGCGTCATCACGTCCTCCTAGGTTAACTCACAAGAGTATCGTACTTGCGCTTACGCAAAGTGCGCCAGAGAACTCACCGGCGAGTCAGTACTTACACAACAGTCGACGCCTGTTATCCAACAAGATCTATCTCCAATACAAGCGTCTTTGGATGCCAAAACCGGCACGCAGCTCCGAGCTACATATCTATTGGCGACAGTTGGATGTAATAGCGCCACTGCACCTGAACAATGTTACCACGTGGTGGCTTCATAATGAAGGTTGGTTCCTTCACCACAGCCTCAAAGGTGATCATGGAGCATTGTGGGATTGGGTTCCCGATGAGACTCGGCGGCACACTGTTTCCAATCTGGCCGACTGGTGCATGAAATTCCAGGAACATCGCAGCGATCTTCGAAAAATGGTTGCTAGTTACATCCATATAAACTGGCTGCGTCTTCGATCGGAAACCTTGCTATGCTCAATGGAAGAACCTGCCTATCTTGCTGGAAAGTTTGAAGTCCTCGATCCAATAAGCCAGGATATGCGCCGCTTCAAGCAATGGACCGATCGCATGGGCCAGTTGGTTTCTGACGCCCATATTGCCTCAATCGCCATGCACATGTCGCGAAATGAGTGGGAATCCATCCACGAAAAGTTTGGGCGCTCGTTTCTGCGGGATCCTTCCGCTAACCCCCAGTTTTTAGAACTGGGTTCTTCGATGACCAAGCCCAGGCGTAAGAAGGGACGAGAGGAATTCAGATCTCCCAAGACCAAGGCTGCTTTGATCAAATTTTCGCAGAGCCGTCTCTCGAGATATATCAAAGGGCAACTCCCGGGCCATTCCGAGTCTTCACCTACCAGTCATGATAATCAGGAGCCCAGCCAGGTTGTGAAACCCTTGAGGGTTGCCTTGAGACAAATAAGGAGGAGACTGAGAAGAGCTGCACGACAGTATACAGCCGACTTAGCTGCTAAACAAGGTAATCAAGATCAAAGTCACCTTGGACACAAAATCAATCCTCCAACAATAAAACCCGAGGACCACACAACAGAGGGCAACCTTATATCCGAACCACCCCCAGTCGACGCGCGTACCGGTCAGGACAATCAGGAGGACAGTCAGGTCATCTCCAAGCCGCCATCACCCGGCCCCTGGAAGAGAAAATCCAGGAGCCACAACGTTCCTGAGTTCAAGCCCTTTCTCGTTTATACGCCTGCTAGCCAGACAAATCAAGAAGGGAGCCAGGCTCTTCCAAACCCACCGCCCATGCTCTCAAAGAGCAAAGACGTGAGTCTCGGTACGGAGCCAGATGTTGATGACCTCCGTCCACCAATTCCCAGAGAAACCAGTAATTCATACCCAGGCACACGGACACGCTACGGACTACGATCCGCCCTTATGCTACCGAGAAAACCATTCGCTAAACCACAACCAAACAACGGGAGAAAGTATAGCACGGATGCAATTTTTTATCAAACAAAATGTCGACAAAGCGGTGGTATCAGCCATAATTCCCTGTCTGAACGGCCGCTTGAAAACGCTCTGTCCTCGGTCCCAGATACCATGGCCAGAGATGACCCAGGATCTTTCGAAGAGAATGATTCTACAGTTAAATCAATCCCATCATCAGATACTGGTTCCAGTACCAACGACACTACAACCCCCCAGTTTTGGAGCCATAGTTCACAGCAAAGCCCCGATGGCCGAAAACTCATCGTGCATTATTGCCGGACTCTTCAAAGTACCGAAGAAGCAGTCCAACACTTCCTCGGGAGCAAAGTCATTGGATTCGACATGGAATGGAAGGCTCAAGCATCCGGCTGGGACAGCATTCAGAGCAATGTCTCGGTGATCCAAATCGCAAATGAGGAGCGTATCGCCATCTTCCAAATTGCCCTCTTCAAGCCTGCACGTTCTCTGGAGGACTTGGTTTCCCCATCATTGAAACGCCTCATTGAATCTCCTGATGTCATCAAAGTGGGTGTTTCAATCAAGGCAGATTGCACACGGCTGCGCAAGTATCTCGGCGTCGATGCCAGAGCCACCTTCGAGCTCAGCCATTTGTACAAATTGATCAAGTACGGCAAGGACAATCCCAAATTGGTGAACAAAAGGGGCGTCAATCTCAGTGATCAAATAAAGGAGCATTTCGGTCTCCCTCTCGAGAAAAGTGATGATGTCCGCTGCAGTGATTGGACTCGGCTTTTGAGTTATCGTCAGGTCCAATGTGAGTACTCAGATACCTGCACGATTTCTCTAATTAAATGCTAACCTTGTCTTTTTTCTCTAGATGCTGCTACCGATCCGTATGCTTGCATTCGTCTGTTCCATACCATGGAGGCGAAAAGACAAGCCATGAACCCAATGCCGCCTCGTCCCGCATACGCGGAACTCAACCAGCCCATTGTTCTTCCACTTGGACAAGCAGTCAACAGTGAGGAAGACCCATTGATCTGACCATGTAGATATGTATGCATACATGTACTTACATTTGGTCGTCCCTAAATACCCCACTCTTTTGGATTTGCAAATATTCTAGAGCATATATTTGTACAGTTTCAATCCCGAGAGGTCTTTTGCTTTCTTTATTTTTTCTTCGGTGCTATTCTTGAAGAACGTGCGCTTTGATTTGATTGATATTTACATTCTACATTATACCCGGAAATGCATATTCAGCGGTTGTTCCATGCCAGGATTCAATCGAACATTACAGTCTATGAAAACCAGCGCGAATAAGATAGAAGAAAGGGGTATATATTTATCCAGAATAAGTGTATAGACATGTATCGGCTATGCCAATCTCTTCAGCAATATCCACGAAGATCATGAAAGCACTAGCCTAGAACTTATTACCTCAATTAACCACACAGCTACCCTCTTAGAGGCAGCACCTTGGACAGCAAAACCTCCTGTCGGCAGAGCGGACACTCGGGCTTTTCACGAACCCAGTCCCGAACACAAATCCAGCAAAAGACATGTCCACAGGTAGTAACACTAGGATCCTTGAACATCTCCAGACACAATGTGCACTTCCGCTGTTGACCCTCGGGGATCCACGCAACCGCACTAGGATCCTCCTCGAGATCATACAGAGGCACAGACGCAGGAAGAAGAGGAATAGCAGATGGGTTCTGAATCGAAGTGAGGACAGTCCCACCCTGCGAGGAAGAATGGCCAGCATCCACAGACTGGCTCTCGTCTTCATTCAGACTCGCGCCCAGTTTGCGGGCATGCAGGAACCCCTGCACGGCGATCTGGAGAACAAGCAACACACCCAGAACCTCATATCCGATGCGTTGTTCATTGTCGTCGATCTTCTTTGTGAAAACGTAACGGAGACGCCAAAGTCGCTTGGAGAGATGGTAGTACGAGCCCGTGAAGTAAAATGTCGCAATGCTCAGCGCATAAATGGGCGACAAGGATGTGATGGAGTCCAGGTGTTCAAGGATGTATTGCTGGATGCGCAGTTTCGTAAAGAGCGGGCGTTTAATCGGGGTAGTTGAGAATTGGGGCTTGTTGAGCAGGCCAGCCTGCTGCGCCTCTCGTAACTGCTGGCGTGCGATGTTGCGCTCGAGCTTGTTGCGGATTCTCTGTCGCAGTGCAGGAAGTAGACGCTGCAGTGTCCATGGTACTAGGATGCTGCTTAGGACGTACCCCACGCGACGGCCGATTGACGGTAATTGAAGTGTGTCATCTTCTAGTTGTACAAGGTCGCAGTATTCTTCGCCTAGGGTGCGATTGCCGATGGCAGTTGTTAGGGTGAAGTAGAGGAGTTCTGTGAGGTGCTTGATGGCGTCGGAGTGGGTGTGGACGTATCGGGCGCCGCGGAGAGCCCGGATGATACTTTGGGATTGTTGAACTAGGCTGCCTGTGAGAAATGCATCCTTTTCATGCGAGCGGATGATATCTGGTGAGGTTGCGAAGGGGTAAAAGTGTGAGGTAGATGAGCCGAGGGCTGAGTTCGGAGTTGGTAGAGAGAGATGGGAGTCGTCGTCCGCCATGATGGATTGTAGGGGGGTCGATATAAGGATATTAAGCTTGAATGTAATTGTGGATGGAGTATTTGCTAACTTGATTTATCCCCAAGACGAGTCAGAGGTACAATTCCCCAGCTTTCATACCTGGAGATAACAATTTCCCCCGGAGTTGCCCTCGGATGTCATGCCTCGGTATAGAGCGACATCATGTGACTTGACTCTAGATCAGGTGATCTCTCACGTGGTTAGATTACCATACCATAAATTACCAATGGATACCATAATTACCAAATTATCATACGCCGCAAGCGTCCCACTTAAGGTACTTCCGAGGTACCTGGCGTTGTTGCAGATGAAAGCGGAAGGCTTGCAGTTGCTGAATGTACCTCATTCGGTACCCCCTTTTGCAGAATCCAGGGGTGTTACGTAGTTCTCTTTCAAAGAGATTTTTTAACTATATGATGCCATCTGTACGTGGTTATCCAACGTAACTACTTGGTCTTCTCTTCTCCTGAGATGCGCTTCTCGTTAGTCCTAATATTCTAATTATATCTTCGATATTGCGTGGAGATCCAGACCATCGGCGGCGTCTGACTAGTCCAGGCGCGTACTGGATAATCTCCTCTCCGCTTATTAAACTGCCCCAGCGGCTTCACTAGGAAAAGTCTCAACCTCCGGACTTTCAAGATCGTCGACTCACCCCTAGTCATTCTTTTTTTTGGGGGGTTTATCCACGGGGTTCTTTGTTATTACTTTAGCCTTTTTATTTCCTGTCATATCTCCCCTCCCCCTCCCCCTCCCCCTGATCAATGGAAGATGGCGGTTGATCAACATGCTCAATTGGATGCCTTTGGGCTGGCCTTTCCATTGCCGCTACGTGTAGCGGCACTCCTGGTCGCTGGTAGGTGACATTCCTGTCCGATTTGAGTCCCGATTAGGGGTGTTAACACACGGGGCTAGGTTTCTGGGGATGGGGTCTCAACCTTCAATACCTGGCAAAAGCGAACATTGTGAGTGCCGCCCCTCACCTAGCCATCGTATTCCCGACGACTAATCAAATTTCCCATACTTCCAGGACGTTCCCGCGCTCATCAAATATCCTGCCCGCACATCCTCCCAACGTCCACATCACACCGCCGTCTACCGTCTGGCCACATGTTTCACCATCCCACTTGCCCTATGGTTCATCGTCTTTTGCCTAGCCACCCGGCGGTCCCCTGATTTGGTGGAACGATTGGATTGGGTCCCGCAATCGGTGTTCATTATCCTCCTCCTTATCCTGATCTGGCCCTTCAACCGCGCCTCCCGTTCCGGCCGAATCCGATTTCTCCTTACCCTCAAGCGGATTAGTATTGGTGGTCTAGCCGAGTCTCAGGATGGCAAGTTTGGTGACATTCTGCTGGCAGATGCCCTAACTAGCTATGCTCGCGTGATCGGGGATCTATATGTCAGCTTCTGCATGTTCTTCACCGATGGCCTCGCCGCTACCTCCAAACCCAACCGGGCCTGTGGAAGTACAATCGTCGTTCCGATCATCCTCGCCGTTCCCAGTTTGATTCGTCTTCGTCAGTGTTTGACCGAATATGTTCGTGCGCGGCGCACAGTTACCCGGAGAGAGACGCAAAAGGCAAACCAGCACCTGGCCAACGCTCTCAAATATGCAACTGCGTTCCCTGTCATTTGGATGGCCTCCAAAATGCGTAACTACAATCCCTTGGAGCTACGTGGATATAGCGAGGTTAGCATGATGCGCCTTCTGTAAGATTGTTATTCCACATCTGTTGTGTCTATACCTTTCTAACGCCCCTACAGCTTTATTGTCTCTTTTATCAACTCCGCCTACTCTTTCTGGTGGGACGTTGTCAAGGATTGGGATATGACCCTCTTCTCCCCGGAACGTCGTGACAGCAGCCACCCATACGGACTTCGCCGGTATCGCTACTTTGGATCCGACAAGATGTACCACTATGTCATTATCGCGGATTTGGCTCTTCGTTTCTCATGGCTATGGCGCATTGTCCCAGGCCTTGGCTGGATTCCAGAAACCGAAAGCGGAGTTTGGCTGCTCATGTTCCTCGAAGTTGTACGACGTTGGATGTGGGTATTCTTCCGGACTGAAGCTGAATGGAGTATGTTTTCCCCTGGACACCCGCACTCCCCCTGATCCCAACCGTGTGACCCAAACACCACTATCCTGGTTTTCGGACAATTCCACTAACGCTTTTGTGCCTTAGTTCGAAACACCCATGGCCCAGGCCCAGATGACGTCCTCCTCGGCGAGTACAACCACAAATTCGACGCGGACTAAATTTATCCACGCCTTTCATCTTTGTTCATAACTTCAAGCGAACTTGGAACGAGAACGAGACACAGAAAAACACTCCTCTCCCAACTCAACACAATGGTTGAGTCTTCGGGCATATATTGCCCCCCAACCAAACTCCGGATATCCCTACCCAATCCAATACTAGAGCAGCGATAAATGAGGCCTGAACTAGGCTCTTTTTTTTAGTTTTTCCGGCGTGTGGAATCGTCTCATCAAACGTCCGTGTACGCCTATTGATTTCTTTTGGGGGCTCATTTCAGCTATATGTGCATGTAACCTCATGCACAATGGATTCTTAGATTCCTCAGACTTGATCTCTGGGTCTTAGGCAAGCATGACTTTCTTTCTGTTTACTCTTCGCTGTACCAATTATTTACCTAGGGTCAACCTGGTGCATTTACCCCTTTGTTTCCATCTTTACATATACCATTTATTCTATTGGATCGCAATCTTGGTCTTTTATTTCTTTTTCTTTTCTCGGCGCTTAGTTGTCGTGAAATCTAATTGGTGTTTGTGGCTTGTTGTTATAGCCTTTGGTGTTTTAGTGATTGATGAACCTAATGATTGAAGACTTAAATTTGGTTTCTACACATTTAAGACCTTGCTAGACGATGCCAACTAGAATTTGATGCTAGCAGAAAGCTGAAGCCCTATAATTCTGCTGCATTATCCTGCGAGTTTCCGGGCTTCATAGCCTTATTACGAACTTGTATCCGACATGTGTGAAACGGGAACAGTCGAAGTTGCAATCTTACTGATTCGAAGCGAAAGGATAAACTACGTGTTGGTCTAAAGAAAATAGTCCATTGACTTCTAAAAAATAACATCACAAAGACAGACTCGTTGACTTCGTGCAAATATCCTCCGTAGACCAGGTGAGACATAGAAAATAGAAACACAACCACAGATAAATAGCGGAGTAAATATCCAGGTGGACCAGCCAAATAGGCCACTGACCTATCCATGCTTCTCTTCCACTGCCATCTCCTGCCTTTTTTTCTTCCACTCGTGCAATTCAGCTTCACTTCACCTCACCTCATGTCACTCATGTCATACATGCTGGTTAAACATTTGAATACGCCCACAGTGGAACGCCATCCATGTATTCCCGCGCCCTCGCAAATAATGTCATACTAATCCGAGGGGGCTGAGATGAACCCCCGGATAAGCAGATGAGGGCTATGATTGTATATCAATCCTTCAAAGGTCCTTCTTGATGACGTGGGCCTTGGGAAGGGTGCCAGCGCGGTCGATGGCGCTCTGGCGAGCTCCAGTAAGACCGAACTGAGTGGCAATGCCCTCAACACGGTGGGTGGAGTTGATGTTCTTAACAAGGGTGAGTTGCCAGCAGGTGGCACCACCCTGGCGGGAAGTGATAGTGGAGGAAGCAAGGAAGTACTCCCAGATCTAAGAAAGTGGTTAGTAAGACTTCGGAAAGACCAAAGACTCAGGTGGAAAAACTTACGCGGAACCAGCGCTTTCCGTACTTGGCCTCGACCTTGTCGCGGTTGCCCATCCAGTTCCGGTACCAGCGCCAGAGGGTAGCAGAGTAGTGCACACCAATGGTGTCAACAGCCTTGACCTCGAAGCCAGCGCCCTCGAGGCGGTCAACAACGAAACCGAGAGGAGTACTGGCGTCCGCACCGGGGAAGACGTATTTGTTCATGAAAAGACCCCAGATCAGGTCCTCGTATTGCCAGGACTTGCGGAGACCAGCAATCTGCAGGAAGAAAGTACCGTTGTCGTCAAGCATGTCGTAAACCTGAGTCAAGAAAGAAGAGAGGTGGCGGACACCGACGTGCTCGGCCATCTCGAGACAAGTGATGTGTTGGTATCCCCCCTCGACACGGGGAGCATCGCGGTAATCACTGCACAGAATGCGACTCTGGTCCTCTTCGATACCAGCCTTGCGAAGACCATTGTTACCCCAGGCGGTTTGGTTGCGGCCAAGAGTGATACCGGTAACATGAGCGCCGTAATGGGCGGAAGCGTACTTAGCAAGGGTTCCCCAGCCACAGCCAAGATCGAGGACCTTGTCACCGGGCTTAACTCCAATCTTCTCGCAAACAATGGCCAGCTTGTTGTCCTGGAGCTCCTCAAGGGTCTCCTCCTTGTTGATATCACTGATAACACCGGAGGTGTAGATCATGCGTGGGCCAAGGAACCAAGCGTAGAAGTCATCACCTCGGTCGTAGTGATCACGGACCTGCTCCTCATCTAGAAATAGGATTAGAATAGTCAATGGAGCTGCATGAGGATCTGCTTACCCTGAGAACGAGTGTGCATCAGCATCTCGGGGATGAAACCAAACAGGAAGTGCTTGAAGAGACTAGTGGTGAACTTGAAGTTGGCCCAATCGTGACGGTACTCGAGGCATTCCAGAGCATCGCCCTTGAAGTCAACCTCGCCGTTGAAGTACTTCTCGTAGAAGACTGCCATGGGGATCTTGCTCTTCCCACGGTAGGTAGCACGGTCGTGCTCGCTGTGGAACTGCAGGTAGTGCTCGACGGGGCGGCCACAGTACTTGGCCTTCTCAGTCTTGCGTGGAGAAACGGAAGAAGAAACAGCCCAGAAGGCCACCAGGATAGGAACGGAGGTGAAGAGAGCAAAGAAGATGGTGGTATAGAAACCTCCACCAACCTGTCGAGCCAAATACCAGGGCACGATGATCTCCAGAGCGATCATCAAGCCATTGGAGAAGCTGTCACTGCCGGGTGAGTCGGCAGGGACTGGAGCATTCTTAATAGCCGGGTACTGTATAGTGAAAGAGACGAATTAGGTCCTGGTATCATCACAACATCCCTTGCGGATAGCTCTAGCTGTCTTACCAGGGTAGTCGGAACACCGCAATCGAAGGCAGGCTTGGTCTGCTCGGGGGCAGCCGGAGTCTGGATATATTCGAACTCCTCGGTGGAGTCCGGATGAATGGTCGTCATGGCGGCGAAGGTCCTGAGAGGAATGGAAAGGGAAAAGGAGAGGCCAGAGTAAATAAGAAGATATGGGCAATTCCGGGGGCGGTGTGGGCTAGACCAAGGAACCGGGAAGTATGGTACCTGTAAGTTCCATGGACGGGCTAGCTCCCCTAGTACCCGCCAGGTACACCGTGTTTACTGTGTCCTGCCTGTCCATTGGGTTCTATTTTGCCCACTGACGTACGCACTATTATTACAGGGTTTAGCTACCTAGTGGATTTGTCTCATTCACGTATTGTGAGCCCTCTGGATTAAACATCAAACAGCCCATTATTAACCGTGACAAGAGATTTTCCCCACTAGAATCTGGTAGTACTGCCTATACGTGGTGCCCGAGGGAAATGCGCATGTGCGCTCTCGCCTGTCTGTGGCTTGGCAAAAGATCATCATGAGAGTGGAGAACACCTGAAACAGTATGATCCGCAGTTTACCTCGGAAGGGCTGCAACCTATCCAGTTACAAGTACATTAACACTAATATTTCATAACGCCGGTATCCTTCGGCTTGCCGCCAAACCCTGTAAACAACTGTCGATCTCCTGTCAAATAACCAATTGAATGTTGGAATCCCCTTTCGATGAGTATCATTCGCGACCTAGCCCCTACAAAGTGAGCTGGAAGCTCTGGGCCTCATCATCTTCGTCAAATGTGGGCAGTGGTTCTTCCGGTTCCTGGGTGATCTCATCCGGGGTGTCAAAGCATCCAGCAGCTTTGCAACGAGTCCACATTTCCGAGTCCAGCGGAGGGGTCCATACAGCTGCATATAAGTTTCGGGAGACAGGATCTGAGAGCTCGAGGTCCTCTGCGTCTGGGAATGTTTCTCCCGCAGGGTGGACGACACACTACGTCCCTTGGAATAGCCAACGGTCGTCCGAGAGTTGACAGAAGCAGCAGTATTGCGCATGGAAGAGGGATTAGACGGGACCCTAGCGTGCCTCTTGGGCATAACCAGTGACGATGCCAATGATGCCACCCGTGGTTTCGGGGTTAGAGCCACTCGAGGTGCAGCAGTTGGCTGGGGTCCGGCAAGCGCTGCGGCAGCGTCACGAGCTCGAAGCGTGGACACACTGCGAGTTTGACGTGTGCTTGTAGGTCTCTTTGGGGGGATGGCATTAGGCTGAATCCCCTTTGCAGACTCGCTCTCACCGGAGCTCTCAAACCCAATTTCCTCGAGTTGTTTCATAATCATATCATCCACCATCCTGTCACACGCCGCTGAATCCTCTTTGAATTTGCGCTGTTTCGCCGTGAGTCCATCTCTGCCAACTTGTTGCTTTCCGTAAACACTCTCCAATCCCAATGCTCGATTCTTAGGTCGGAATTGGGGGAATGTGGTGTCATATGTTACATCATCTGGAAGGTCGGGAAGATCTGTCGTTCGTCAGAAATAAGCTTTTAGAGATGCAGCTTTGGTCGTGCTTAGCGTACCTCTAGCCTTGGGTGGCATGTATTCAATATCCGGTACATCATCGGCAGCAGCGTCAATGTGGACTTTGGTTTGAGCTTGTTGTGTCACTGGAGCAGCTTTTCTGATCTTCTGGGCAGTCGATTGTCTGCGATTTGTCTTCGGTTGCTTTGTGGTTCCAAAGGGCGCGGGCGTCAGGAGGTTATTGGCTTTGAGATTCGTCGTTTTCATGCCCAGTGGAGCGCGGTCCTTCACTATAAGAATAGAAAGTTAGTCGTCATCCAATCCTCTCCAAATTTCTAATTTTCGCGAAAAGCACGCGTACCCATCGGAGTGATAAACGCGTTGCCCAGTTTTCCATTCTCCTGGCGATTCCCATTGCCCTTCACGGTGCGATTTCCAAATGCCAACGGGTTGTTCTCATCATTTCGTTGCTTGCCGGGCGTCTTGGGTGCTAACGGCTTGCTTTGGTTCAAGGGCTTAGCTGCGGCAGCAGTCTGGTGGGTGTTTACCAGGTTCTCCTGGTCGCGAAGAGCCAACATAGTGGCAAACTAAAACTGATTATTCGCATGCACTGTATCAAAGAAATCAAAGTCGGGTTGAAAGTGATAAAGAACCAGAGCAAGTTCTAGATGGTGTTGTCGAGTGGTTGCCCGTGGAGACGTGACGATCGTTGGGCGGTGATTGGCAGAGAGCAAGAGCGGATTGTGTACCTAACCATACCATGGTTACGCAGTTGGTACACAGTAAGTATACGGTACCTCCCCTGTAGTGGAGCTAGTACTTGTTGTGCTGGTACTGTCTACTTGTTCAGTCAGCCATTCTTCCTCCCCTTCTCTCCCAAAACTCTCCCCAAATCCATCTTCCCACCCATCCAACACTCGCCCGGTTTCTCGCTGAGCGAAAACCTAACTACTCTTCCTTTCAACCATACATATTATCTTCTTTACTCCCTTTTCAATACCCTTAAAATGGACAAGATCAAGGAGGTAAGTCACCAACACCCCTGCCGGCGGGGTAGCTTAACGGTTTCCCAAAATCACACAGCCCCTCGTCATATGCATATATGCACCCCCCCAGCATTCCATCACTTCCCCACTGGGAATTTTTTACTGACGTGATATTCATTCTAGCGCATCGTTGCCATCCGCGCCGAGGCTGATGAGGCTCACGAGCTCGTCGATGAGCTCAAGGCCAAGGTCAAGACGTTGGAACAGGAGAATTTGTCAAAGGAACAAGAGATCACATCGCTCAACCACCGTAACCAGCTTCTAGAGGAAGAGGTTGAGAAGGCGGAGGCCGCCCTCAAGGAGGCTAAGGAGGCTGCCAGCCAGAGCCTCCAGCACGACACCCAGAACGAGGCCCTTCAGCGACGGGTGCAGCTCCTCGAGGAGGAGGCTGAGGAGAATGACAAGACTCTGCGGGAAACAAATGAGAAGTACGACCCGCTACCAATTCTTTCAAAGTTCAATACTGACATTTTGGGCACTCAGGCTCCGCCAAACCGACATCAAGGCGGGTCACTACGAGCGGAAGGTGCAGGCACTCGAGGACCAACATGCCAAACTCGAGCAGAGATATGAGGATGCGATTAAGGAACACAGCACTGTCAAGAAGGAGCTCGATGACCTTGCATCCCAGATGGCCGACATCTAAGCTGGTCTAAACCGGTGATGGGTGCAGGATATCGGGATACATTTGGTTGGATACAGGCTTCATTCTCTGGTTTGTCTGCTTTTTCATGCCGTGATTGTTTGTGTTACCGCTGGTGCCAGTTATATGGGCCAGATACAGCGCTTTTGATAGCAATAACTTTTTATCATGCAACGTACACTACGGTGTCCGCCATTTCCTGCATCATTGCATTTTTCCATGTGAAACGCCTACCATCCGTAAAATTGGCTGAATAATTGCTGGAAGCCGAGTATATGCACATGTGATGTCGTATCTCTTTCAAGCTGTGGTTTCCTCATTCCTCTGCACCCTTTCGTGCCTTTGCCCTCTTCTGTTTCACAGCCCGCTGTTTTAACATTGTTTGCTTGCGCTCAATCTTGGTCTCGTAGCGGAAGTTCCTCTTCTTTTTCCTGGCTGCTTCTGAGGCTGCGCTCCGGGGCTTTCTCTTCTTTTTTGCGTCCTCTGTCGACTCAACTGGGTATGTTTTCTTTTCTTCGCCCTCTTCATCCTCCTCCTTGGCAGCCTTGAGCAGACCCTCGCGGGATGCATCCATTTCTTCAACTGTGACTGTTGTGTATTTGTCCTCGTCGATGTATTCGGCTTCGTAGTCCACTGCTGGAGGCTCTTCGAATCCCTCCCAGTCTTCCTCCTCTTTCTCGCCTTCCATTTCGCCGAGATCTCCAGCATCCTCCTTCATGCGCTTGAGTACTGCTTTATGCTCCGCCATTGCCTGTTCGAAGTCTTTTTTGCGATCCTCTCGAATCTAGAAAAATGAGCGGATGTCTTTGGGCGCTCATTGAAGACGAACCTTTTTCTTGCTTCTCTCTTCTCCTCCTTGTACCTCTTCATGGCATTGTCTTGCGCATGCTTGGCACGTTGCACCTTGCGTTTGTGAAACCCAGTCAAGTATTCATGGCGGGACTCGTTGTCGAAATTGACCTCTTCAACTTTAGGCCCAGCAACAATTTTGCGTTTTTTCAAATCCTTAGGACCCATGACGAATGAAAATCCCAATCTTAAGTATTTGGTTCAAATAACAAAAAGACCTTTGTATGTCGTAGGTTGTGTTAAAACTGCGTTCAAAACCACAAAAAAAAAGTTGACATGAAAGCTCAGGCGGGTCGGGGTTCTCGACCGCCTCCGAGGCCAAGTCGGACACCTCCCGTTGGCAACATCATCGCCAACTTGACCCCATCCCCCACGCCAAACACAATGCATTTCAGCAGGTTCGGGCTACTGGCCCTTGGGGCTGCTGCCGTAAATGCTTTCAGAGATACTTCGCCATTCTTCCTTGCCTCAACTTCTGAGTATGTTTGATTGAACGTCTCCAACTGTAGTTAACTAACCGCTTCTCCCTCAGGGTCCTGACGAACTCCGCCTACATCCAGACAGGAGCTTCGCTCCTCGAGAACCTTTTCTCATCTCTCAGCACCTGTCCATCCGATTACTATGTTGTCGTCTACCAGCCTGGTGTGCACAGTTCCGACTTCTCGACGCGAAAGTCGGCACCCCGCTTGGGTGCGAAGATGCTTGGGAAAGACAGCTCGATCCGGTCCAAGATGAGCATCAGCGAGGTCGCTGGATTGGTGGAACCTAAGGAGATCAAGAGTCTTTTGGAGAAGAAATGCAAGGCCCAGATCACCGCCGTCGATGCTTCCTGTAAGTTGCTTTGGTGGCCAACAACGGACTTGGCAAACCCGCGAAGAACGTCAAAGCTAACAATGTGAAGCCGGATCTTACCCCTCGTACTTTGAGAAGGGCCCCCGAATTATTGATGTTGAATTCCCCATGCTATCGCTGGACTCGGACCGCGCACAGCAGCTTTCTGCATTCGGTATGTATACAGTCCACCTATGCACTTCATTGTTACTGACTCTGCTAGATGGTTTCCTTGCCGACATCATTGACCGACTTCCTTCCTCGTCCAAGTATACTATTCTCTACATCACCTCACCGAAAGAGTTTCCCGAGGTGGATTCCGTTATCTATGAAGCCTCTGGATATTCATACCAAGACCCGCTCCGCATGGAGCTCAAGCGGGATTACTCTGCGGATGGTAGCGACTCGACATCATCTAACCACACCTCTCTCTTCGAGGAGTATCAATACTTTACTCCAGGTTTGTATCTGCCAATCCCACCATCTCTCTGTCCACTATACTCACCTCTTTCCAGGTATCTTCATGGGACTCATGGCTACCTTCCTGTTCTTCGCGATCTTGTACATTGGCATCAACGCCCTAAGCAGTCTCGAGATCCCCTATGCTGCATTTGAGAAGGACACCTCAGCTGCTGTGCAAAAGAAAGCGCAGTGATTTGCAGTGCTTTGTAGTACTTTCTTGGGTCATGTTTTTGGAATACACCTCCATTGCTGCAATTGAATTTCTTTTTTGTCGGTTTCAGGGGCAATCATCTTGTATTCCCATGTATGATAAATCATATTCTCCCAGTTCTCGAATGTTAGATTTGCCTATGTAAACTCAAGTCCTTCCATGTCTTTTTTTGGAGACTGTCAGGTGACAGTCTTAGTCTTGCCTAAGGCACCCCCCTCCCTTAGCGTTGGCGTCTTTTGGTTTCTTCCAATTCTCGGTTAAGGACTTGTCTTACGGTCATCTTCAGGGACTCTGGCCTCACTTAAACAACAGTCATTCGTTTTTTGAGAGATTCCCAAGTCCTCACCTCATATGGAAATTTGTTGATTGTGGATCCGTGACCTGCAGCCTGAGTTGAGCATCCAATCTTCCACGAGAGACAAGTCGCAGTTATTTTTGGAATCAGCAGAGACACTAGCCTTGCTGCCCAGATTTCATTGATGACCTGACAAGAATCGATAATTTTCTTTGTTCCTCGCTGTCGTTGGGATCGGCGCCTACTCCAGGTGACCCGCATACTGTGGAGAAGCAGCTGATCGATTCTTTACGCCGCCATGCGAGTTCTACCGCAAGGGCTTGGGAAATCCAAGCCATCATTCCTCCTGTTACTGCTTCTGATCATTGCCATCGCTGCTCAAGTGTCTGCCGTGCCGGCCGACGAGACAACAACAGATACCGATGCGGCTAAGACCACCGACGATCTCTCCACCACTCAAACGACCTCTAGTGTGAGTGAGACCACATCTTCAACCACTTCCACATCGAAATCAAAATCCACGAGCACCACCTCCGCCGAATCTACAGACACAACCATGGATACAACCACCACATCCTCTGAATCCTCCACGACGTCCGACAGCACTACAACGACATCATCCGTCTCCACGACAACGGAATCATCAACATCCTCCTCCACCACAACTGACGCCGCCATTGTGACGATACCGCCAATAGCCAACGCCCCATATATGCAAGAGAGCAATGCCCCAGAAGGCACAGTGTTCATCGCCGTCGGCGCTGCGCTAGGGCTAATCGGCCTAATTCTGCTCGCATGGCACGCAATGGTCGCATGGTCCGTAAACCGCTCAGTACGGCGCGCTGCCGTGATGCACGCCTCGGAATCGAAGCGCCTCCTCCGCGGCAGCAGAAAGAAGCGATCAATTCCCTACTCCGCCGCCCCAGCGACCGACGTATCCCTTCACAAACTCGGCGCCGCAACTCGCGCAAGCTACAAGCCCAACCGTGTCCCGAGCGCAAACAGCGGTCTTTTCTTTTCTCCTACTGCAGGCGGTCCCTCTGCATCGCATGCCAGTTTACACGCTGCAGGAAGCGCAGGCAATCGAGCCTCAACATACCTACCTGCTGGATACTACGCTGCTGCCGGTAGCTCCAACCCCGCTCCAGATCCTCTACACTCACCCACTGCTGGCCTCTCGTCGCCTTCCCTGCCTCCGGCTGGTGTCTATCATGATTCGCATAATCAGCGCCATTCTTATGTGGGTGCCTCGACGAGTTCGTTGAATCTGAATCAAGCGCCGCAGGGTCGTGCTCCTAGCGCATATCTTGAGGATCTGTTTGAGAGCCATGTTCCTCACAGCTCTGATTCGGGCCGTCGGTAATGCCACTTATTTCGAGCTCTCGGTATGCTGGTCATTATATGAAGGAATGATATTGGCGACCTGTTTTTGTTGGATCTATATTGAGATCTCTTCCTCTTTTTCGCCATCTGCTCTGCATGTATTCTCTTGTCCATTTTCGTTTCGGTTTTGTTTCAACTCGGCGTTCCATAAACCCTTCATGAGGCGATATCTTATTTCTTTTTTTTTTCTCTGCGCATTATTATCACTATTACTCCCTTGTCAATACAAATCAGTTTACTCACAGAGTGATTCGAATATGGATATAACTACAATCCCACTAGTATTTTGCCACTCTTGCAGTCAGTATCTTGTATTGCATTACATGTAGGAAACGATCGATCAAAGTTTGTGCTTTATTGAGATGGTAAATCATGAAATATCGTTAAGCCCAACAGAAAAGGGCCAAAATGAAGGGAAAAAACAAAGTCGCCAAGCCGATTCATATCGACAGAACACACCCTCTGAAACCATGAATATGCCTGAGGCCTTGGGACGAGTGTATAGGGTATCTATGGGTTCAAAAGAAATCGAACTAGTCAATGCGCTTGTACAGCTTGGCCTTGGAGCCAGCAGACGAAGCACCGGCACAACAGGCAGCAGCAGACTTCTCCTCGGGGTGGAGTGAAGATTTATTGAAAAGCTGGGAGGATTGTGGGACGTCAAGAGCCGGGTTCTTGTTGAAGAAGCCATCGGGCTTCAGCATAATGCTAATGCGCTCCATCGGCATGACAGGGAAGTCCTCAATACGGGGGTTGTGGGTAAGCCCGAAGGCTGCAGAAAGTTGTTAGTTATATAGTATATAAATTCGCGGGGAGGAATGCTTACTGTGCCAAAGGACGATGTCTTCGTTCTCGATGTTGTCCTTACGCTGCACCCAAGTCTCGACGCCCTCAGCGCGGCGGCTTTGGTTAGTGAACTCGCCTGCAGCGTACAGTTCATCATCCTGGTACTTGGTGACCCAGATCGGCTTGGTGGCAAACTCAGCACGGCGGTAGCCGTGGGCATTGGGGCTGACCAGAAGCATTTGGCTGGGAGCAGCCATAAGCTTGTATGCAACAGGCTTGTAGGTGATTGGGTTGGTGATATTGTCGTTGCGAATCTTGAAGACGCGGTGACGATCCACGCTGGTGTTCGCTGTTCCTGCCGAGCGCATCACCGTAGACTCCGAGGTATAGCCCACAAGGTAGGGATTCTTTTCGTCTTCTGGCATAGGAACGCTGTCCTCGTAATAGACAGTGTTCTTAAATCCATCGATGGCAGGGTCGATTCGAAGGGAGAACATGTGCTGGTGGAAGGGGGCCATCACACCAGGACCGACGTTGGTACCCCAAGGGACGGTCTCGCCGTTCTGGTTGTCGAATGGGACGGTGGAAAGAATACCGGTGGCTCGGACTTCCAATTCAACATTGGCGGCTTGATCAAAGATGTAGTTGAAGATGTACTCATAGTTAGCCACAGTGCAGATCATCTGTAGGACCAACTGGCGGTTGCGCACAACGGTAGCAGCACCGGTCCGATAGTTGGTGTGCTTATGCTGCAAACCGTTATCTTGTTCGTGCATGCAAACCACGTTCTTCATATGTAGTGGGTTGCCCTTAGAGTCGTTGCTGTAACCATCGAAATACTTGATATGGCCAAGACAGTCACATCCAAGAGTCAACTGATTGGCGTTCATACCAAAACCAGTATCACCGACATCAAATGCCTGCTTGCGATGGTAGGGGGCTCGGGGATCTATATCGATGTTAGTCAGATCCGCTAGGAGCTAGGGATGATAGGGTTCTGATCCCACTTGCCTCCATATGGAACGGTCATCTCAGAAACAGCCAAACGATAGAAGATGTTTCTGTTGTCATATGTTACGTTGTAGATAACTAAGCCTTCGCGAGCATTGAACCCGACTCTGAAGCGCCACTTCTGCCAGTAGACGGAGTTGCCATCCACCGAGTAAGAAGGACCCTCGGGCTGTTGTACGATGTAGGGCTTGAGATCGGTGCGAAGAGGCTCATCCAAGAGGTCGTGGGCATACTGGACTGTCTTGACAGGCTTCCAAGGCTGGGTAGACGTAGTCTCGAAATCAGCACCGCCGGGCAGATAGTCCATACGGATCAACTCATGAGTGAGACCGTCGAACACCGGTGAGAATTTGCAAGGCAGAGAGTAGTGATTGTTCTGAGGGTGATCCACTTCGACCATGTACATAAAGCATTGGAAGAGCCGTCGGTCCTCGTTGTCACTGTCTGTGCCGTACATCCAAGGGTCATTGCACACAGTGACGCCAGCGGGCAGCTGCAATTTCTCGATCTCGGCCAGCACAGCGGGGTGCTTCATGCACATTGCTTCGATCCCGGCAATTTCATCGATATCAATGGGACCCTATAAAATAGAACTGTTAGTTACCCCCGTTGCTTGCTTCCAGGAGAGGGCTCTGCTTACCTGAACCTCCTTGGGAAGCTCCTTGGCATAGACAATGGTACGCTTGTCGGCATTGAGTAGAGCCTTGTAGAATGCACCAGTATCTAGACGGTGGAAGAGCACATAGAGGAGACGGGCCGGTGGTGGGGGCAATGGCCGCCGTAAGCGCTCTGCTTCAATGTATGCGATAACGTCCTTCTTAATAGGCTCATTGACATCAATGCGCTTGTAGCGCAGAGAGACGCCCGGGAAGGTCGCCTCAAGGATGCGTACGGCGAGCTTGATCTCCTCCGGTGTGATTGGGTCGAAAGGGTGAGGGCCGTAGTTGGTCACCATTTTGGCGGTGTTGGGATACACTTCCGAGGTGGAGAGATGCGGCGGTTGTGGGAGATTAGAGAGGAAATGACACACGAGTCGACGGAGAAGTGAGGAAGGCAATAGATGTGATGAATGAGAGGAATAGACGCAATGCCTGCATTTATATATCTCGTCGCAATCCGGGGGGGGATCTTATCGGGTTACATAAGGTCTGGCTGTACCTGCCTGATTAGGAAAGAAGCCAGGGCAAGTGGAGCGTTGGAGAAGAGGGGTCTTGGCACTGAAAGATCGGGGCAAAATGGATTCAACATGGATATACAAGGTAAAACTTATAGTAGAACTACTCGCTCAAGCGACTCAGAATAGTCTTTCGGGTCTATCTGGATGATCTGAGCTGATATACCCTGTTCTCAGTCGAGACAGCATGAGAAGAGGGCATTTAGAGTTCAGATCACATGACCTTTAATCCACAATTTCCATGTCACGTGAGTATGGGGTCTGCGTATAATTGTCCCAATTCGGTTTAGTGTATTATGTTATCGATAACTCTCCGATAAATTGTGCGGGCTAATGCCCGCGACAGCGCATCTTTGTCTGAATTTGTCCAATATCTGCGATAAGCATGCCGTCACTAGTACCTGTTATAGCATCTCCATACTATCTAGGCGCTCCTTGATACTATGAATGCCTTTCCTCTGAATGGCTCGACACAGTCGTCTTCCTTCACACCCGGCCAGCCCACTTCCGCCCCGAAGAAGGGTAGAACACGGCAATCAGGCACGGCATGGACTCGCTCAGGATGCATAACCTGCAAAAAAAGGCGCAAGGCCTGCGATAAGGCCAAACCAAGGTGCGTACTAGAATTTGACTTCGAATTCCATGACTAATTTTATCAGTTGCAACAATTGTTCCAAGCAAGGCCGGACGTGTGAGGGCTACGGATCTATATGGGCAGAGCCATTAGGTCCATCAGCACAGGTGTTCTCACAGACGGAGACTTCAAAGCGCCGGCGGCTCAGTGCGTCCTCGTCGTCTCAACTACCTTTGCCTACGCCATCCCCGTCCTCGGATGCCTGGCTCGAGACTAGTTTATCTCCCGAGCCGGGGACTTCCCTGAGCTGGTCTGTTCCATCTTCTCCTCGGGGATATGTATCATTTGATGCAGCTACCAGTCCGGTCCAGGATGTAGAAGAACATAGTCCTGGCCTGGATATTGATTTGCATAGCTCTGTCGCGGTGATCCCACAGCCTCAGGGATATATCAGTCATCTCTCAACACATGAAACTCACTACCTCCAATACCACATGGAGCAGGGATCTCGACTGCTAGCAAATCTAGAGAGCGACGATAACCCCCCTTCGGTCGATGTTGATTCCTAGGGCAATGTCATCACCTCTGCTGATGAAGGCCGTATGTGCCGTCTCGGCTCTTCATCTCGCAAATCGTTCCCATGGCTTTGGAGCACGTACGGCTGCAGTTAAATACTATAGTGGAGCTCTCAGCGGACTTCGCATAGCACTGGATAAGTGTTCAACGGAGGTGTTCCCTGACGATGCCATGCTGGCAGTTGGTCTACTATGCAAATATGAGATCGTGCGTGGTAGCGTTAAGCAATGGGTTGTTCATCTCAATGCATTGCAGCGTCTGATCGTTTCACGCGGTGGATTTGCTTCAATGGATCGAGATGCAGCCGAGTTCCTGCGTGGACTGTATGTGTGACAACCTGCCCCATACATTATCCCACGCTAACATAAAATGTCATCATCTAGATTCGTGTATGGCTATAACATGGCCCGGATCAGCAACCGCAAGTGTATCACTTCCACAGACTTTTCTGTCGATAGCGATATCGGTATCCCAAAATTGGACATATATATTGGATACACAGAGGAAATCCTCAAATTATGTGCACGCATCGCAGAGCTGCCTTCCCTCCAAGCTGATACGTTGGTTCTTCGACTCAGTATTGCATCCATGTTTGTCTCTCCCTGCTGTTATAAAAAGCAGTCTAGTCGGACATCCGCGCTAACACCCCATCCCAGAAACGAATCCCTCCTCGCCTGGTCTCACACTTCAACCCCTTACATAATTCACCAAGGGACGTCACCAGCAACCCTAACACGCCTTCAACTCGTGGCGGAATGTTTCCGCGATGCAGGGTTTGTCTATCTCCACTCAATCATGGAGCACATAAGCAGAACCTATCCAGATTCCTCTTCCACCACCAACACTGATACTATTGTCAACGCTCAGCTAGAGGAGAACCCATGGATCTCGACACTAGAATGGGTTCCTCTCATCTCCACGCCAAAAAGTCTCGCCGTCTACCGCTGTCTTTCCCGCATCGAAACTTTCCCGTTGGGTGACCACTGCGAGTACTCGGCGCTCACGTTCCCGCTCTTCATCTCCGGGTGTGAGAGTGAGAACGTAGCGGACAGAGAGGTTGTGCTCCGTTCTTTGGGCAAGCTACAGGATAACTTTGGGATTGGAAATGTTAGGCGTGCAAAGGAGTTATTGGGGATTTTGTGGGGGAGACAGGATGCTGCTCGATTTATTGGGATGAGTCAGAAAAATGTGCATTGGTTAGATATTGTGGAGGAGCTGGGGTGGGAATTGATTCTTGCATAGATAGCGGCAGTTTGGATCTATTTTTGTTACATTAGGGATAAAGAGGTTTATGTTTGCACGAATGACACAAAAATTCTGATTGTTATGAGTTACATGTAGCTTGTGAGGGCCACAAATTGTAAGGATTAGGTATCTTTTGTATAGTAACTCCATACAAAAGGTACATAGAATATAATATAAGCATTACCTCAATTTTCTTAACCTTAGAACTCGGTTTAGCTTAAGAGGAACGGAAATAAAGTTCTAATGTGTACAACCCTGGTCTTGTTTACTCGATCTCTTATTAAGATTAGGTTAAAGATGTACATGATATAAAAGTGTAAAGAGCGCGAACACTGATATATATATACTGTCGAAGTTTAATATTTTGGTTCAACCAAACTTTTTATTCTTAAAGATCTAATTGAGACCTCATCTACTTTATATACTACGACCTTTTGATATTATCCCCTATTTTGGTATTTTGCTACAATGTATCTTGTTATCATGTAGAATTGCCACATAAAAGATTTTAATTACCTATTGCTATCCGTAAGAAGTTTTCTATCCGGTGGGCCCGGCAAACTCCCCGGGCCCGAAGAATCGCCATGTGTTAGAATTTAGCGCTAGGGTTCCTGTCCCTCGGGACTGGGGCCGGAAAACATTAACTAATGCCGTCGGTAAACTAACGGGTGTACGGAAGGCTCCGTATGTTGTATAGACGTTATCTACGTACTTTATGCTTTCTAACTTCTGTTTAGCCTCTTTAGTATGATTCAAATTCTTGACTCAATTCAATATGTATATGTACTGAACCTAGATGTATTTCATTGCCGACACCAATCAAATTGCTTGGGATAAATATCCTCGCTTGAAACCCCTTAGAAGTCCCCACTAGGGCCCAGAAAAATGACTATAAGCCAGCAAATCGCCACTGGGTAATATTATTGTGACAGCCGGGGCGGATGGCGTGCTTGCCTGTCCATATTGGCAAGCTCCCGTACTTAACCAACGCGTTCTCCCGTCTACGTTGAAAAGGATATCTCGCCACATACTTTCAAGATGACCGTTCAAACATCTCCGGTCGAGAAGATCTCGGCCGAACACGAGAAAAAAAACGCATATGCTCAAGCTACGGGCGATGGAGCGCTGCAATTACTGGAAGCCGGTTCGTCAAGCGTGCTCGATCCTGCAGCATCTAGACGACTATTGCGCAAGATTGATTTGTACATCATGCCACTGATCTGCATCGTATACTTCCTACAATATCTCGACAAGATCGCCATCAGTTATGCCAGCGTCACGGGGATGCGCGAGTCCACAAACCTCCAAGGCAACCAATTCAACTGGGTGTCGAGTATATTCTTTTTCGGCCAGCTTGCACTCGCCTTCCCCACAATGCGCGTGATGCAATTATTCCCACTCGCAAAATACGTCGCCGTCAACGTCACCGCCTGGGGAGCCATCCTGGCTTGCATGGCCGCATGCAAGTCCTTTGCCTCCCTGATGGTCTGCCGCACACTTCTAGGCGCCGCTGAAGCCTCCATCATCCCCGCCTGGGTCGTCTTCACCTCGCAGTGGTACCGGAAGGAAGAACAGGCGTTCCGCGTCGGATTGTGGTTCTCCATGTGTGGATTTGCGCAGATGTTTGGCGGCTACGTCGCGTACGGCGTCGCAACTCACATCGGTGGTGACCCTACTGCCTCCTTGCGAGGATGGCAGGTCATTTTCCTGATCCTGGGTCTGCTGACCGTGGTGGTTGGCATCCTTTTCTTCTTCTTCCTGCCGGATTCCCCCTTGACGGCGGGCTTCTTGACCGTGGAAGAAAAGGCAATGCACGCAGAGCGTCTTCGCGGTAACGGACAGGGTATCGGAACCAATGTCTTCAAAAAAGAACAGGTTTACGAAGCCCTTACCGATCCTCAAACCTGGCTCTACGCCTTCTGGGTCATGGCGGCAAATGTACCAAACTCCACTGCGACAAGTTTCGGAAACATCATGGTAACGGGCATGGGATTCACGAAAACAGAAAGTCTCCTGCTTGTCACCCCAATGGGTGCATATGAGGTTGTGGCGCTGATCGGCCTGACCTACCTGGCAATGAAGACACAGCACCGACTTTTCTGGTGTATCGTCGGCCATATCCTGGCCATTGTCGGTGCGATCTTGATGGCGACAACCAACAAGGTCCCGGCCCTTATCGGATACTACCTCACCGGAGGTATTCCACTCGGATGGACGACGATTCTTGGTCTCACTAGTACAAATGTCGCTGGCTCGACTAAGAAGATCACCGTGTCCTGTATCCAGACCATCGCCTACACTGTCGGCAACATCATCTCTCCCCAGACCTTCCAAGCCAAAGATGCCCCCGGGTATATGCCGGCCAAGATCTCTATCTGCGTGCTGTACTTCGTCGTCACACTGGATCTGTGCCTTATCTGGTGGGTAGCGCAGCGGGAGAATCGCCGACGCGACCTGGAGAAGGAGGCATTGGGTGATGCGTACGTTGTTCCCGAGAACAACGCATTTTTGGATCTGACGGACCGGCAAAATCCGGAATTCCGTTATGCGATATGAAGATGGGGTTTGTGCCCTTTTGCGAATTTGTAAATAAACCCGGGACGTACCCCGAAGGATTCTTGGAATGTATCCAAGAATCAACTAACATAATACTATTTCAACACTGTATTTTTATCAAACCATTTCCTATAACCCTTCGCTCCCGTAAGTTCTCTATGTCTTACAGTAAGTCTCTACTCCGCAGGAGTACCGGAGAGTAATTATAAAGATATCTAAGCTCATCCCCTTCAAGGGTAAGAAAAGAAAAGGACATCGATTCTGGAAAAGGGCAACCAAAATACTATATTCAGGAGGTGTGCTTTTGATGTCTCAGGCGCAGACGACACCTAACTTTCTTATCTTCTTTCAACGCCTCAAGGATTATCGACAAGGGCTATGCACTAGACTGGAGTCTCTTCTGTTCTTAACGCTAGGCTATCACTTCTATATTTAGCTTCATTTCTGTGATGCCTCAGGCATCGCGCCCTCAGGTAACTAGCAATGTCTTTGGAGCTTCAGCGAGTGTAATGGATAAGGATGGCATCGTGGTGGGTGTTCATTACATTGAAAATGCAAGACTCTGGTCTAAAACACTCTCTATCAATTTGCATATAGCCTATACTTCCTCTTAGGTTCTACTTAAACCCGAAGAATCGTTGATCTAGACAGTAGCCGTGACCAAGGTCCAACTGATTGGTCTATCTAGACATGTCTCTCTTCTATCTCCTGGAATCCTACCTAGTAGACCAAGTGCGCTTTGTTGAAGTATTACAAGGTGTATATTGAATAAAGCATGTAAAGAGATGGGAGTGTACGTGACGGCGTATACAAAACTAACAATAAAAGGAGACTGACAGGTCTTTGTACACTACAAATAATAAGGATATATAAGCCGGCTTAGGCAGCGAGTCCCGGAATTCGAGGGATTGCATACATGAACGTAGAACACATCAACTCAGCCCCATATTCACCTCATCGCTAAGCCCCAATTCTCTTTCCGCCCTTTCCGTCCCACCCGCAGCTCGAGTTGACCACCGGTCGAGATGATCTTGCGAGTTCGCCATCTCCTTCTCGCGTAAACTGGCGCTGTCACTAGTTGCCACACTGCCTTCGCGAGCATGAGACGGTCTGCGGGAATTCTTGATGCTGATGGGCCGCGACGCGTCTACTCTATCGGCTGCGCCAGAGGCATTTGAGCCCGTGGCACGCCCACTGTCAGTGGGCCCGCCAGCGGAAGTCTGGTCTTTATCCTTGGTACCGCTGAACCAGCGCCGACGATGGGACTTGGAAGAGTTGGATGGCGCGATGCTTTGTGCGTCGGCGTCATCATCATTCTCTCGTTCTTTTTCCCTTTCCAGGGCCTGTGTGAGCCCGGAAATGGTTTCCTCGGAGACGTTCTGGGTGCCTGGAGGTGAGACATCCGCTAATTCAGCGTCACGGTACCACTTGCGTCGACGGGTGTAGCGATCCCATCCGTCTTGCCCGCGGCGACCCTCATTCCACTAGAGCTTTGTTAAAAGATAATACACCGAAGCCGATAGAGAGAAAGCACCGACCTTATTATCATAGTAGATCCATCCTTCGCCAGTTGACCCCTTCGAGTCTGATTTTCCATTGAAGTTGTCCGCTCCTTCGATGCGCCATTCACTTCCCTCCACCCAGCGCCATTTGGCATCTCCCGTTTGAACATCTGGTAGCTCGAAAGAATCTTTGGGATTCACTGGGTTCATATGCTCGTCTGTCCAGGCAGGACGTTCTGCCGGGAACAACGAGTAAGTCCACCCGATACCCAACCAGCGGCGCTGGTTCTCATAGACAACAAACGTGAACCGTACACCCGCGTTGTTTCCGCGCCGCCGAGTTGAAATGTTTAAGCCTTGCTTTTGGCCCTGGGCTTGAGCCGGAGCCTTTTGTGGGCTGCTCGGGGTATCGGCAACGGAGAGTCCCGTGGCTGCGGCACAGAGCCGACGAACGGCTCGAGACCGCCACAGAATGACACGCGAGACTCTAGCGGGTCGGGAATGGTAAGTCAAAACGATAGTGCCGACAGCCATGACGATGCGGCGCGTGGTGAGGATGTAGAATGGAGGTAGAGTCAGACCGATCCAGACAGGAGTGACTAGGAGGATGCGGATGAACAGAGCTGTCAGGGCGGGTTTGGTAGTCGCCGATGTAGGAGTGCGCTGGGTGGATAGGAAGTCGGTGAGGTCGAGTAGAGGCTCTAGGAGGATATTGCATCTGGTTGTGAAGATGCGAAGGGTTTCGACAATTTCATCGAGACTCTTTTGATGACGTAGGGAAATATCTGGGGCAACTTTGGTCTTGTGCTTTTCGCCTGTTGATGTAGTTGATGAGAGCGGCGAGTAACGGCGTCCATACATGCCGAGGATCAACGCGACCACGACCAGGATCGGTCCTGCCCAAAGAATGATAGCATCGCTATATAGCACGATAGTCCAAAAGGTAGCCACCAGCAGAAAGCTCTGCCAAGGGTCTCCAGATGTCCATGTTAGGAGACCTGCGAATTTATTTAGTGGAAGTAGGAACGGGTGGGAGTAGGCTAGAGCGCGAGTGATGGCCGGGGGTGTGGCCACTAGGAGAGGTGATTTGCGATGCACGATCACACTGGAGCGTTGGCGCGAGGTCAGGGCTGAGCCGGTGATCGTGGTTGGGGAGAAGGCAGCGACCGTCGGAGGTTGAGAGTCCGACTGGCCCTGATCTTGTGGGTTGGTTGAGGGTGCCATGGAGTCTATCCACGGAATGTTGTCTGTCTTTCCATCAGTGATGTTAAGGAGAAGTGTCATCAGATACCATACCTAAAGCTGCCATCCAATTATAGACATGTCATAGAGGAGACGATCAACTCATCCCCTGGGATGAGTGAGGGAGCGAGGATTTTATATCGTTCGTTATGTTTCGGTTCAAGAAGATCTGCGGGGAGATCGAAGTTCTGGACATGTGACTCTCGGTATATGGTGAAGGGTGATATTATTTGTTTTAATTGTTCTAATTGTTCTAATTGTTTTGTTAATATTTGAGAATAGATGATATAGGATGACAGGACTAAGCACTGAATAATTAAGTCTTGAATCTCAAATTAGAATGACCTTGCTACCTATACTTAACTGTTCTCTATACTCGTGCCTGGAGCTCCCGACGCTAAAACCCGCAGCCGAAATTTTCCCCTTCTCTTCTTTCTTCCTCCAACCTATTACATCGTGATCGCCTCCTCTACGGCACATTCTCAATGGTATGTTTATTGATTTCTTTATTCTTTTCACTCCCAAAATTAAAACTAATAATCTCCTAGGCTCATCGCATCGTCTCTCAAGTCGTCGTGACCGGAGCCCGGGTCTTCGGCCGCGCCTTCGCCGAAGCCTACAAGCAAGCCCAGGCGTCCGGCAAATACGCTGGCCAGCAAAAGGCAGCCGGAAAGTCCACCTCCACCTCGAGTGTAACCGTCGATGAAGCCTGCAAAATCCTGAACGTCAAGCCCCCGGCGTCCGGCGAACACGACCTCGAACACGTCATGGCCCGATTCAAGAAACTGTTCGACACCAACAACCCCGAAACCGGCGGCAGTTTCTACTTGCAAAGCAAGATTCTGCGTGCACGGGAGCGCCTGGAAATGGAGTTCCGCGAGATCGAGCGCAAATCTGCGATCGACAAGGAACTGAAGGAAGGCTGGAACCCCAAGGTCTACAAGGATAAATGAATTCGACAATAAGTGCGGTTCTCCGGTTGTCCAGGCCTTCCGGTGTTCCTACGAGCACATCTACGCTTCCTGCGACAGAAGCCTCCCGACTCCAACCGGCTTCTTTGTTTTCGATCTGCTCGTCTTTCTTGTTTTGGCATAGCATGGCGTTTGGGTTGTTGGAGAAAGACGCCTTGATTTTCTAGACTGGGGTCTTTCTCTCTGATATTTTAAGATGGCCCTTGAATCTCCTCTTGGGCATCATCTCCTGTCGGAAGTGGAAGTTGCCTCCATTTCCGACCTTCTCATCGACCTTTCGGTTGTGTATATCATCTGTGATGCGCGTTTGACCCCCTTCTCCACTCTCACCCGGAAAGGATTCATGTACAATAGCTATATACTTGCATTAACTTGTGTAATGTCCGATCTAGACTTATTTACCGTGTATTCTTCTCAGCGTACATATTGTACATACTCGGAGCCCGCGCTTGACTTTTTTTTTTTTTTTTTGCCACCGCCGCCTCAGGAACATCTTCACGTTTACCTACTTCCAAGGTACTATCAGGGCCATTCAAACCACGCCACTGAAAACCTGCAAGATGTAACACAAAGCCGATCGGATTGTGGCCACATGTCCCGATCTGGACACAATCCCCCGCCATGGCGCAATCAGAAGCGGAGCCCGGGGGGTTCTGTTTTTTTTTTTTCGGAGAAATATTGGCACTACACTTACCATTTGAAAAGACTCTTTACCAATTGACCAATCCATCAGAGATACATACCCCATAGCCCACTCTTGAGCATTGACAACATTGACCTCCCAAACGCTATGCGCCCCTCCACCCCACTGTCCGCGGCCCTGCCGCCGCTAATAATGGGCACCGCAACATTCAACTCCCAATATAACGCAGACCCATACGCCCTCCCAACAACGGAACTCGTACAGCGCGCACTGTCACGCGGCATCCGTGCCTTCGACACATCCCCTTACTACGGCCCCGCAGAAGAACTCCTCGGCCGCGCCCTCGCAACAGAAACCGTGCAAACAAACTTCCCACGGGAGACATACCACCTCCTCACGAAAGTTGGCCGCATAGCCGGCTCATCATTCGACTACTCGCCGCAATGGATCAGATACAGCGTGCAACGCAGTCTGCAACGCCTACATACAGACTATCTGGACGTAGTGTACTGCCACGACGTGGAGTTCATGGCAGCTGCAGAAGTCGTCACGGCAGTACGGGAGCTGCGTCGTCTGCGCGATGAAGAAGGCGTGCTACGCTACGTCGGTATCTCGGGATACCCTGTCGACGTGCTCAGCGATCTGGCGGAGACGATCCTCCGCGAGACGGGCGAGCCGCTCGATATCGTTATGTCGTATGCCAACTTCACTTTGCAGAATACGCGACTGCACTCGCACGCTCTGCCCAGGTTGATTGCTGCGGGTGTTGATATTGTTCCTAACGCGTCGCCGCTGGGTATGGGATTGCTTCGTCGTGACGGCGTGCCGATTGGCTCGATGGGCGATTTCCATCCCGCTCCTAATGCGTTGCGGACTGCTATTCGTGGTGCTTCGGATTGTGCTTCGCGACATGGAGAAAAGCTTGAGGTTGTTGCGATTCGGTTTGCGCTGGAGGCGTGGCTGCGTGTTGGTGCGCGGGCTGGCGGTCTCGGTGCGCCGCTTGCTCGTGCTCCGGATGCTGATCCTGGGTTTTTGTCTGTGGCTAGCATGGGCACGGGAAGGAGGCTTGGTGTCAGTGTTATGGGCGTCAGTAATGTCGCTGAGCTAGATGAGACTTTGCGCGTGTGGCACAGTATCGTTGATGGACTGGAGAATTGGAATGAGGATGACGACGCCTCGTATTTCGATACTAAATTGAAATCGCCTGGACCGTGGACTCCTAGCCTGGATGTCCCCATGGGCGATGTTCCCATGGTGGGGAGTATCCCTACACCCCAGGAGGGCCTTATCACGGACCGTGCCTGGTCTCATACGCGCGGAGTTCATATCTTGCAGCTGGCACGAGAGATTCAGGATGTCTTAGGTACAGAGTGGGTTGATTATGTCTGGCCCAGTCCGTCACCAGACTTTGTGAATTCGTTATCTGAGGAGCATGTTGCTGCTTTGCAGAGGATCGAGGCCGAGGAGAGAACAGGACGGAAGCCTCATCTCACTATATCTGATACAGCTATTAAGGAGGATCCTATGCTTACACCACCGTCAGATGTGGAAAAGCAGCTTGCATAGGATTAAGATAGGACTTCATGACTGTATCGAGATACATAGTCCTGGTATCTCCAATGTTTTCTCATACTTCCTATATGTAATTCCATGGATCTGGGTTAGACGAAGAGTTGTAGGTAAGAACCTTGGGACTCGGCACCACGTAGAGATGCGCTCATCTTCCGAAGAAAGGCAAGTTCGGCGTGGACTCCCAAGCCCGGTAGCTCCTGATGCCCCAATCCTCTCCCAGATGTCGCATGTAGCGCTCTCTGGGTGAGAAGGGAGGCATGTGAAGGAGAGGGAAAACGGAAAAGCAAGAACGATAAACGCCAACAAACATAGATCCACGTTGGGCGCGAATCCATGATCATCGGGGGGTTCCATTGAAATCACTAACAGTGTCCCATGTTGGGACCAAAGAACTGCAAGAACTAGGTGCTCGTCCAGGGGAAACCGAGAAGGCATTAGACGTTGAGGCGCCGAATCGACTCGAACAGGTGAAAACAAGATCATCCAAGGTTTGAAATTGTCGCGGCTTGTTCATATTGAACCAAGATCTCAATGAAGATCGAAAACTGGCTCCAATATTCAGACACCCCTAATCAATTGTAACCGAGGGACAAGTTAACAGATCCTGGCGAAGTCGAAGTCCGGGAGAGAATCCTAAATAGTAAGTACTTTTTTCGTCTCAAGCTCAAAGAATGCTGCTCATTCTCGATTTTCCACCAGTCATTCGCTGCGCCTCTCGCCATCGAGAGGAGAAGCATACAGTTTTGCAGAAGCACATGCGAAGATATCACCGACCCCCACCAAACCGTCATTGCACACATCCCTCCTTTCTTCCCCGTGCAAATCACCAAACCATTCGAAGTAAGGGGTATCATCGTACAAAATAAAGCATACAAACAGAAACCAAAAGAAAGTCGTTGCGGGCGTGAGATGGGGACTTGAGTTTATGCCGAGGCGAGAAGTTTCTGCTCTCTTCGGTCCAAATCCGCATTCATCTGCTCATCGGTTTCGTAACCTGCATGGCGGCGAGCTTGGCGGAGGCTGAGGGTGTTGGGGAGTTTCGTGAGGTCGGGCCTCAGTCGTTTAAGCCTGGCAGCACGCTCCTGACATAACTGACGTCTTGTCTCACCCTTGCGAGCTTTGGCAGACTTGGCTTCGGATTCGGGCGCTTCATCGGAAGAAATATCTTCTGGCTCCGATTTTGTGCCCTTCGACTTTCCTTTGGGCTTTTTGGCAGGCTTGCGAGCTGCGGCCGCTGACACGGGAGAGCAGGCTCCGTCGACAGGAGGGGGAGGAGGCGGGGAGGATTCGTTAGTAGGAGGGGATCCCGGCGGCGGAGGCGGAGGTGGAGCCTCCCTGTAACGAGCAAACCTCTCTTCTGTCATGAACACCTGACGGAGTTGAAAGCGTTGCTCGATATATTCATCAAAGTTCGCTGCAATGATGGGTTCAAGAATGCTCTTGTTCGACCCCTGGACAAGTGCAAGATATTCCATGCGATTCCTTAGGGTAGTATGGGCATTAGAAAAGGCTCGGAAGATCAACCCAATTTCCTTAGTGCCGCCTGAGATATCGTTGTCTCGGTTGTTGGGATCTTCGATAGTGAGACGATCGGGGTTGCCGAAGTAATAGCCCTGTTTGACATGATTAGCTGACTAGTCGACAGAAGGCAAGCCAAAATCCACCCACCTTGTTGAAATAGCCTGGAGGATCCATCCGAACTGCCAGCCTATCATAGCAGAATTCCTTCCCGTAGAAATTGAAAAATTCCACCAGGATTGTTGCTAGGTTTGGCTGCATATGCCCTTGGGGCAGATGCTGGAGAATACTTGTGACCAAGCAAGTGATGGAGAAACCTCCTATGCCACCTGTTGGGACTTCGTTGAGGCCACGGATCAACAAGAACTGCTTAATCACGGCCAGGATAACCGGCATCATCGGATACTGAGTTTTCCATTTCTGGAATGTCTCGTTGGCGACCAAGCCACTGTCGTTGTCGAAAGACAAATCCACTCGCAATCCAGTCAGCTTGTCCACGTACTTGAGAATTGGGACCCGGGCGGAGGCAATGCACTCGATCGAGTTAGGAACAGCAAGATTCGTGCTCTTGAGGAAAGCCGAAAACGCGTAGATCTGACCCTTCCTCTCTCCAAATGTTCGGATTCCCGTGCGCAAAAATGTGTGAGAGAGCAGCACCAAATCAATATCAGCCGTGGGGAGATAGAGCCCCGAGGCAAAAGAACCAAAGGCCCGGATTGAAACGTTATGGTATCGTTGTTGGAATGCAGTCTCCAATCGATTGACAAGGTCTGCACGGACGATATGTTCGAATTCCTGTGGCTTGGCCCAGTGATAGAAGCTGAGAATCTCATTATGCAGCCTGGCTTAAATGTTAGATAGAATCGGGAAGGCTACGAAGGGATAGTACTGACTGGGTTCCCACGTGCAAGGAAGCCGGGGTGCCTTCGAACCAAGGCGTGCCTGTCTCAGGGGAAAGTGGTTTCCATTGATCGATAACAGAACCATCGTAGTTGAACCTGCTGGCAGGCTTTCCGGTCTTTCGGGAGTACCCTTTGATCTCATCGTCGCGGGTTCGCTTTCGACTCGCAATGGCGGAATCTAGAACGTCCTGGGCCTTGGGACCTTTAGGGGCATTATCGGGAGCGTTGCTCTGAGAAACTTCTGGTTCAGATGCCATGCCAAGAGAAATGAAGTCTGAGTTTTGCTTGACTGCGTCCGTTTCGTCCGTCTTTGCGGCAACGTCAAGTCTCGCCTTGCGAATCAGCTTGACCACATCCACCCTTTTGTTTGTAGTTTCAGCTGGAGGAGGTAGCGCAGTGTACGGATCGGGGTTCGACCATTTCGGAGCAGGAGGAGCAGGTACAGCCTCCTGAGGCCCGTCGAGAGCTAATGCACGTCTCTTGCGAGGTCGCTCGGCGTCGGAGTCATCAGACATGTCCATTTCTGCTTCTTCACTATCGCTCAAAGTAGAAAGTTCGGCGAATCTGAGTCCAGGCTTAGTCTCAGTCTCGCCCTGAAGTCGTTCGGGCGTGCTTTCCCTCTTCGAGGATAATAAGGGTCGGTCCGAGGTGGCGGGTTTCTGGTACCGGAAAGTGAACTCGTGTCGTGGATTAGGACGCGAACCACGATAGTTGGAATTTCCTCTGAACTGGAATGGAGCCATTGGAGGCATTTTAAGCAGCTGCAGTTAAGCAGCAAAAATGCAGACGCGTGGAGAAAAGATCAAGAAGCTTCGGATCAGACGCGAAAAAAAAGATCCCCGAAAAAGTTGGGCGGAGGGAAGGCGGTGACGGACATGGTCGCACCTTCTACACGTGTTACTTGAAAAGAAGGCATGTGCATGGAGCAGTATGGTACTATATGAGATGACATTCATAGATTATCTTCAGCTGTTGGCTTTATACTTTGCTTTGAATGGGTCTTGAGGCCCTCCTCTAGAATTTGAATCAAATCATGTTGTATCGCCATCTCAGCAAAACTGACACGACTTGTTACCCATTCCAACCAGTCCTCAGCTCTAGCACCATTTCCCCGGAGCAAGCCCACACTCACATCAATTAGCAGTGGTCGTTCATCACAATGCCAAAAGGCAGTAGCCCCACAGCAGCTGCAGAATTCTCTGTATACCCCTGGTGAACTCCCATGCCGCCGCATGGTACCTGCACCAAACATAAGCGGTGACCCATCTGCATTAAAGATGTTGGACTTGGGCACAAATGCCCAGGTCTGAATTGGAAACCCACTGCTCAGTCGACAGCTGTTGCAGGTACAGGTTCCTGCAATATATTTTGTATCACCATCTCGCAACCACCATTTGATATCATCAGGATTCGCTCCAGACCCGGAGTAGTATGGAACCAGGAGATCTGGCCATGGCGAGAATGCCTTTAAGGACGATGCATCGGGCTTGGTGATATAAAACTCAACCCCTCCACAGAGGCAACGTGCCCGCAAATGCTGGCTTGTTGATGTATATTTTGTCGGGTTTACTGTTTCTCGGCGACGGCTCTCCATGCCGGTTGAAGTATGTAATCTGCAGCCTGTGGCGGGGGACTCCGTTCCAGGAAGCAATGAACTGAGTCCACCGTCACCGGTATCGCTGCTTTGCCAGTGCTCAACCGCTCGGATGGAGGGAACGTCCTTTGCTGCCAACAACCCCGAAGCAACTAGGAACTGTCCTCTGGGCTGCAAGCGAGCAAAGATGTGGGCACCGCATGTCTTACAGAAAAAACGGCTAATGTGATCGGACTGTTGGTATTCCTGGAGTCCATCTAGAGTCGGTTCATGCTGAAGGACATAATACGATGAAGACAACTGCCCAGTCACCATCCGACAGCTGTTGCAATGGCATAATTGGAGTTTGGATTGATCGGCAGAGTCCAACTGGATAGATAAGGCTACGCTTCCGCATATGCAGGCGATAGAAGTAGGCATGCTTTGGAATAATAGAGCACAAACGCGGCTCTCGAAACAAATGCGTTGGCGTAAGCGGGGAGCAGAAATATGCTCACAGTGGAAGTGTAACGTGGAAGATACAAATGCAGAATTCACTCAAGTCTGACCCTCAGACCCAAGTATTCCCGGAAAGTCACGACTATATAAGGTCCCCGCCCATCCCTCTCCCTTCCTCCCCACCTCGCTTTTTACAACCAACACAAACTCCAGCTTCACCAGTTTTATTTTACCACTCCATACAAAATGAGTAAGCACTTCCATCTTGTTATCTGTGACTTTACAGTGAAGAACTGCGCTTTTCCTTGGCCCGATTTCCGAAATGGCGGGGTCATAGCGGGGTTGTTCATCGTATTTCACCCATTTCTTTCGATGCTGACCACTATAGGCGATCACGGATGCAGCTGCGGCTCCTCTTGCCAGTGCCCTGCCGGCTCTTGCAACTGCCCTGTACGTGTTATATCTCTTCCTTCGATGACTTCTGGCTGACCCGACCCCTCAATTCATCTAGAAGAAATAAATGATTCGAGTTGAATTCTCAAGGGATTTGAGAACGCAGTGAGACGGAGGATATTTGAGTCGGACAACTTCCGGTTGTGTTCCTTGGGCCTGCACGTCATGTCATAAAATATGTAGGGGCCCTGGAGGGCTCGCCATAATGAATGACATGCGGTTGCTCGATCACTTTTATTTTTTGTAGAACAAGTACCTTGTGGGCATCAGATCCAAAACTTAGCTCTTTCAAATCGGTATTGGTCGACCTTAGGAGCTCAACAGCCTGTCCGGCATACTTAGATACCCGAACACTGCCGCCGCTTTTATGGGGGCGATCAGGTTCAGGCTCACTGAGTAAATGTCAGTATGGGCTTATGCCCAGTGATCTGGTCAGGGCAGTCATGTGATTGTTTAGTGGAGGTATTGCTGAGAAACTAAGCACCAGCAACCCGACAACCCGACAGGATCTCCTAACATGCCGAGATTTTGGAACGTGGCACTGCAACAAGTTGGCCAAGTGCATAGCTGGATGCGGTCATGGAGTAGTCATGGAGTCTTCGGGAGCCACCATGCATTCATGGCCAACGACACCAACAAACAGTCAAAATTGTTTGAGAATTTCGTCTGAGACCGAATACTATGAATTGATACCACATAGCTCGAAAATTGGAAAGGCACCAATGACATCATGGCCTCGAGGTTATGACAAGGCCCCACATCACGATCTATGTAATTTCTCCCCTCTTCTCGTCTCGGTGAAAACTAGGGATACCGACAGATCGCCATACAAATATCCTCGCGACTACTCCGTTTAGGAATCATGTCACGTGTGTATCAAAGCGAGAGCGTTGTGTCAGAAGAAGGTGCTGGGACGTTTCTCGCGCACCTTCCCTCTGGTACGCCCGTTTACTGTTATAACCAACAGTGCGCTATAGAGAGCCTCTTTCCTCCGTATTCGGTCGAAGATTATTTTATCGTCTTGAAACACTTTCCGGCAGAGATACTAGCCGAGAACGAGGAACAATTGCCAGGTCGCTGTGACTATTCGCCATCACTTCAAATTCTCATTATAACAATGCCTAGTCAACTACACAAAGAAGCGGCGTCCAGATTTGAGGCAAGGATTGTGATGCTCGCACAAGAGATGAACGTTAACAGACAGATTGCGAAATGCGGAGCGACTCTTATGGATACCCTGAACGAAACAAGCAGGCAGACCGATCCTGGAAGCCAGCCCGCCACGGGAGAGAATTCCCAACGGTGGCATTAGAAGTTGGCTTTTCTGAGATAACACTAAAACTAGAGAGAGACATCGCTTGGTGGATCAAGGGACTAAAGGGCGAAGTGAGAATGGGGATCACTATCGACATCAAAAGAGGATCTCACTCCATTGAAATCAAATCCTGGACTCCAGCATTCGAACCATCACCACGCAATATCTATATCACAGTAGGTGGTCGCCATGTTATCGACAGATGCATTAAAGATCCACCGCCACCTCGAATGACTCAGAGAATTCTCATTACGAGAGGGAGAGTGGCTCCAGCCCAACGATTGAAGGAGAGCCCTTGACTATACCATTTCACACTCTGCTATTGGATGAGCCAGGAGAAGGTGAGGGTGATTTTGTGTTCACAGTGGAAATGTTGTTGCATGATTTAGCAGAACCTGTCTGGGATGCGATTGACGACGCCGAAACGATCAAGGCTAAGAAGAGAAACAATCATCACACTGCGTGATCAATGCAGCCTCATGTGAGACTGGGCTCCCTACACGCCTTTTTTTATTCTTCGGCCTAAACACCCCTGCTCTTGACACTCATTGATACCCTTGCTCATTCTTGCTTTGAGAAGCGCTAGATGTATGGAGCGTAGATGGTTACCATAATTTTCATAGAGAGATCTGTAAAGTAGCCAGTAACAAGAAAGAAGATTCGTAGTCTATCTAGGAAATACACTCTATTATATTTACCTCCGTAGTTCTCCTAAATCTAGGTAATGTATCGGGGAAAATAGAGAATGTGTTACGAAGCCACCGCCAGGAACCTGCGGGGGACGATTCCTAATGCTTCGTCGTGCAAAGCGGCTCCGGTGAAAGCGTATCCCATGGAAAAAGCATATGCTTAACGCACTTGAAGCTGGTCGATTAAAGCTAGATGAGTATTACTCTCAGACTGACAATGTTTGAGGGCATATCTATACGGTTTTGTACTTACGCCTGTCAATAAGTTTCAGTTCTTTCTGACTATTAGGATCAAAAGTGGCGCGATACTTATCGTAAATTCTTTCAAGAAGCTCTCGCTCTATACCAAGATCGTCTTTCTAAGGAAGTGGACAGATTGACTACGCAATGATCGCTGACCAGCTCAGGTTGAGCAGGGGGCGTGCTCAGTTCTACTCAGTGAGCAAAAGCGGCGAGAGGGCGAGCACTAGAACGGAAGGAGACCGCCAAGAGTTGCCGTACAAAATCCGGTATATATGGAGAATAGTAGACACACCTAACATATACCTACAAGGTACATACTTAGACCAAAACACCCATATCAATGCAACCACCCAGCCTGGGGGAGTAAGCCATACCCTCAAAAAGGAAGGAGCTGTGCGAGCGAGTCACCGAGAATCTTGTTTGCTCCAATATCAGGCATCCTTGTCAACCCAACACAGTCCACTCAGTGATCGTCTCATCGTCGCATCCAGAAGGGGAAATACCCTTCCCGTCCTTCTAAGTACGGATTCTGCAGCTATGTTTTGTCGATGCGCCATTTTCACCTCCAACATCAAACGTTCCAACAAAGTAGACCCCAACACCTGGTACTAGAGTCGAATGCAAGAAGAAATAAAAAGCGGGACCCGATGGTGCACGAGTCCGAGAAGAGTAGTATCGGATCGGAGCCAATCATAATTATGCATGATGCATCTCGGAGAGGGTCTGTGATATGCTCTGGTAGCTTCCAAGCTGCAGCCTCTCCACTTTCTCGGTGTCTTGCTGGCTTGTTTCTGGCTTTCAGTCAGATCCCAAGGAGTCTGTGCCCGCATAGAATGGAGGCCCAAGCGCATGATGTAGGTAGTATACGTCTCTATGCCACGTCCATTGTGCAAAGTGACATGCGTTTCATAGTCCGTTTTATCAGATTTCGCGTCTTGTATAGAGTATACACCGGTTCGTTTCTGAATCGATATCACCAACTACAATGTGGAGGGACATAACCTAATGCCATCCCCAAACTAACCTCGGGGGCTAATACAGCCCCCACGATGCAGGTGCAACTGCTAGAGCGTCCCGTACACTTTTAGTAGAAAAATACCCCGAAAGCAAGCAAGAAAAACACAAAGGTTGAAACACCTTGGCACGGGTCCACCGGGTGGACATAAACATATATCTCAGGTAATCAAAGGCTACCAATGAGGTCGGATAGCACCCCTCCTCCCAAGGTCCCCAATCCGGCAAACATCGCCTAACAGGCCACAGCGATAGTCAAACCCGAAACCGCTGCAGGCGCGGGAAATTTCATTACTGGCCTTTGCTGAGCAATCTCCATCTTTTGAATACCCTACTTACAGTCCACCTCTAGTACGCATGTTGCACATATGATTGTACCCATGAGATAATACCTAAGAGGCCCGAAGTGGATCTAATAAGGCATGCAGATCTACGTCGTAGCCGAAACGCGGCCGTCATCGTGGCATGATGGAAGGTCTTGATTTTACTTACCACACTAGGGTTGCAATGTTGCTATGTGTTGTCCTACGTTTGCTATATTTGATGTTTTATACACCATACACTCACATAATAGCACCTCATATAGCAGTATCATATGATGAAATCCAAGTCCAGCCGAGATTTAAACATATCCACGGAGTATAGGCAAAGATGATCCTATCTGAAAAGCGTTAAAAAACGTATGCTGTTGCTCCACAAAACGAACCCTGCCCGATTCTTAGTTCTAAGCCAGTAGACGAACCATCTTATTCGCAGGAACCCGGCCCGAGCACAATGTAATCTGATCTACTCCGTCCATACCTGATAACCTGATGCTGTACTCAGAGTACCGAGCAAACACCGAGATAACATTTAGACATCGTAAGAAAATGAATCGGGGACTGACGCTTTCGCCGGTCTTTGCGCCATATTTGCCCGAGAGTGGCTCCAGACTTGAGAAGTTCCCATCATAGAGCCCGATAGGCTCCGCTCTATTGGCGAGCGGTAGAGCAGCCTAGATATGGTACAGCGCATAGCGCGTGAGAATAAGCTGAAGACATGATAGGTGGTAGGCGGGATGGGGGTCGGGGGCCCTGAGTGGGATGCAGGACCGGGCTCATTTGACTCGACCACGCGATACGATGGAGTGTGAACGGGGCACCTCGACGGCGTCACTACGTCTTGGATTGGATGGAGGTGCATGATAGATGGAAGGAAATAGAATTATCCGCCGCGCTATTATCGATCGGGATGAAGTAGCAGTCTTGGGCTTTAGAGGTATAAAGTTGGCCTCATATCCCTTGTTGGACTTTTTCTTTCTCTATCCAAGCCATTTATATCCAAGCCAAACACTACTCTTAAGCTTCTTTTTCAAGGTTCTTTACCTACCACATCTATATTCATCATGTCTCCTTGCACCTGCAACTGCTGCTCCGGCGAGTGCAACTCCTGCTCTTGTGCCAGCTGCAAGGTAAGTCATTTGCTCACTCCGTGTCTTATAGCCACCTTTGCTTAAAGTGGGATGTGGGCCTGGAGCGAAGTATATACTAACTACCCTTCTAGCACTAAGCCGGCTCACACGCCACCATCACCGCCATCTTCCTCCAATAGACCTCATACCAGACCCGGACTCCCACTGTTGTCGAATTAGCGGGGGTGCGGGTGTTCTCATTGTGGTTGTTCATGATCGAGATGATTGCATGTTGCGATTTGGGGACAATAGGGCCTGGAGCCTTGTGGATGGGGTGTTGATTTTATAGGTCTAGATTCGACCTCGTATACGTTCTTGTGATTTAGCCTTCAGCCAAGTGCTATAAGCTATAAATATGCTGGTTATATTGTTATCTGTGATCTCTTGTAGCATCTCTATGATCTAGTAAATGTAGCTAGATGATTTGATCCTGATCATGCAAGTGAATAGTCCACCTGGGCGCCTTTCGCAGAATACGTATCGAACTCAGATCGACAAGAAACAAATGTTTACTCTAGCACCAAGGAACAAGAACAGAAATGTACAAAAGCGCTCAAATTGCAATTCATTCCAACTAATGGGATGCATGTAAAGTAAATATTCAATACATATGTAACATCAGATCTAAAAGATCTAACTTGGCTTTCACAGCTCGTCTTTCGAGCGAGGCACAGCATCACTTGCCTCACCACCTGCACATGCAGCCGGCGAGGTAACAAGCATGGAGTACACGCACTTCTCTTCTTCTGCTGTCTTCAAGATCTTGTTCTCCTCACCACACTCCAAAATGACCTTGGTCGACCGGCTAGGTCCATTCCAGCAAGACTGGCCGCGGTCGTACTCAATCATCATCTTCTCGACATTGATGACCTCGCCAGCCTCGTTAACTTCTTCCACGCTCATGGTTCCGACATGAGAGAACTTGCCCATGGACACAGAACTGCCTCCCTTCCTCTGGTTCTGCTTGGTCGACTCAAGGAAGCAATGCTCATACGTGTACTCACCCGCATCCTGGGAGATACATACTCCCTTGAGTGCACGGAAAATGGAGGCAGGGCCATAGTCCTGCTCAAGGTCGGCACGCTGGTCGCGTAGCTTGTTCTTGAGACTTGTAACAGTGTCTTGCGCGGCCTTGAGGGCGTCGCGTGCCTGGGTCACGGCCTTGGATTCCGAGGAAGAGTCTGCATCGGCCTTGGGTAAAATGCCGTTTTCTTCAAGGAAGCTCTTGACAGAAACCACTTTGTCTTCAATGAAGCTGACAAGCGATGGTGGGAGATAGGCAGCGAGCTTGTACACTACAGTTGCCCGTTAGTAAGCTATATTAGGTGCCCAAGTGTCTCAAGAAACCAAGGAATAACTTACCTAGATCTGTATCATTGCATCCATCCTCCTCGTTTTCCCAGTGTTCCCAGTTAACACCACTGTCCTCGCCATCGGCCTTCGAAATCTCGTCTAAGTCACGGTCCACGGCAGCATTCGCACCCTCGGTACCTTGTTCACGAGCAGCGTAGTCCTCATAGCTACGGACCGCACGTTTGACACCCTCGTCATTGAAGTTGGGGTTATATTCCACCTTGACCTTAGCCAGAATATCCTCAAGCTCCTTCACCCGTTCGAGAGCTTCATCCCGTTGGCGACGCACATCGACCAACGCATTGCGTAGCTCATCAACACGGGCCTTGGCCAATTTGGAAAGTGCACTGACTTTGCCTTTACCCTTTCCAGTGCGGACCACCTTACGATCCTGCTCCTGAGCGAGCTTCAGATCAGCCTCGAGGTTCTGTTCCTTGACCTCGGCGCCCTGAATCTCGGCCTCTAGCCTAACGATATGATCCACAATCTCCTGCTGCTGGCGACCAGCATCGACAAGAAGATCCTTCTTCTTTCTCAAGGCAGCAGTCATCGACTTTTGGTTCTGCTCCTCCTGCTTCCGCCATTGCTTGCCAATTTCCTTGCATCGGTCTTCGCACTTCGTGCCCCCAACGCGAGCCCACTCGTCGCTACCATCGCAGCACTGCTCATAATCACAAATACCATCGTTGACACGCTGGAATGGGACGTATGATGGCCGATGGCCTTTGTTTTTGCAGTAGAAACCCGGGAGGGCAAGTGCGATGTCCAAATCGCTATTCCCGGGCCGGTCGGCCACCGTTAGTGGCGAATTGCGCGAGATATGGGCGCAGGCAGATGTGCCGGGCTCGTCGCTTCCGTCGGGGCAGTCACAGTAGTCATCGTTGACGGCCGAGAAGGGGATTTTGACCGAGGGATTCGAGATACAGGTGAATGTCGTCGAGTCCTGGTAGAATTTCACAACTAAGAATACTACATTAGTATAGACCCAGGAGAAAATGATCAATTACCTATCATAGATCACTGCTACATAAACCCGGTGTAGAAACACTAGTGGAGATCTAAAGGGTTCAGATACTCACATTCTGGGCCCAAGCCTCGGGGACGGGCAGGCTTGTCACTACTAGCCTGGACTGCCGACCCAGCGGTAGCCAATAACAATAACGACTGAGGGAGTCTCATGCTTGAGGCATTGAGCTTTGTTTGTGGAGGTGCGGAGAGAGCTTCTGGCCAGCTGTTGATAGCGGGCCCGGGCTGGATCTAATCGCCGCTGAGTCAGCCCGCTATCTTTCCAACTTTATCGTGGCGAAGTGGTGGGAGCATCTTACATCAACTACATCGCAAATATGGGTAATGACGGTGGCAGGTGAGTGGCTCTGTTATAGACGCGCTACAGACTCAAACTTTCTAACACAAGTCTTTCTAGCATTCCGACTCGCCGAGAGCTCGTCCGCGAGGCTGCTCGCGCCCCGAGCACGGCGCAAGTAAAAGAGACACAGCGCGAGCAGCAAGAACATTGCTGGACTACCTGTCCGCTCTCACACAAGTCACTGTCCCGGCCAATTGTATCAGACTCAGTCGGGAATCTTTATAACAAAGACGCTATACTGCAGTTCCTGCTCCCCGGCGACGATGTCGAGGGCATCAGCTCTAAGGCCGACTGCGAAGAGATCCTGTGCGGGCGAGTCAAGTCGCTCCGGGATGTGGTCGAGATGAAGTTTGAAATCGATACCGAGCTCACCGAGCACCCATCAGGTCGTGCTTACGCGCCCCGTGAGCGCCGCGAAGGCTGGATTTGCCCGATCACCGCAAAGCCGCTGGGCCCGAGTGTGAAGTCTGTGTACTTGGTGCCGTGTGGACATGTATTTTCGGATGAGGCTATCCGGCAGCTTAAGGGTGATAAGTGCTTGCAGGTAAGAATCACGCAGTAGATACAAAGCGATGACGGCGACTAATGTGTGTGTGCTAGTGCAACGAATCCTACACCGAAGAGAACGTGATTCCTATCCTTCCGATCAAAAAAGAAGACAAGCAACGTCTGATTGAGCGAGGCCATAAACTTGCTGAACAAGGCCTCACGCATTCCCTCAAAAAAGCCCCGGGCTCAAAGAAGCGCAAGAAGAATGCCACCACTGAGGGTGTAAATGATACACCCGGTCCCATCGAGCCTGCCGATCTGGTAGTACCCAAGCAATCCTCAGATTCTAAAAGCCAAAGCAATACTTCCACGCCGGTGCCTACTACTGCTTCTGGCAATGGAATCAAGAACGCTGCTACTTCTTCGCTCACTGCCCGTGTGTTGGCGGAGGAGAATGAGAAGAACAAGCGTCGGAAGATGATGGGTCGGAATGAGAATATTGACAGTCTTTTCTCCAAGAAGGACGGCGGGTCCAAGAATCGTGATTTCATGACCAGAGGATTTTCCATATCATGACCTAAGAGTTTTATATCTTTCTGCTGCGCAGAGGTAAACACTGGGCATGAAGGAAGTGCCTTTGCTTTTCAATGTGACACAAGATCATGGGGGGAGTTTTATTTTCGGAGTTCGCAGAACTTTTGCCGTTCTTCAATGATTGATGGTGAATACAGCGTTGTATGCACCAATAGACTGGTAGCCATACCGTACATTCCAGAATTAACCTGTACAATTATCTGACCTCATTTGACATGATGAAACGAAACAAGGACGAAAATGCAATTCAATCAACAATTCTAATGTACAAAAGATTGCTCTTAGATAAAGGAAAAGGACGCCTCCAACATTCTACAAAACATTCAGAAAGGCCTAGGCATTCACCTCGGTCTTCTTAGCCTGCTTCCAAGGCGGCAGCTTTTTCTGACCCAGGGCCTTGCTGATCAAACCACCCTTGTAGAGCGCAGAAACAATAACCTTCTTGCGGCCAAGATCTTCGTCGTTGTCGTGGCGAGTCTGACGGACGTCGGAAATCTTTACATTAGACAATTTAGCGGCGCCGTTCTTGTCCATAAGCTCATGGAGAATCACAGGCGTCAATCTGGCAGTCTTTTTGCGAAGTTCCTCCTGTGCGGTGAAAACCTCTCCAGTAGTGGTGGAAGAGATGATAGAGTCGGAAATACGCTGAGAGGTCAATTTGGAGAGGCGGCCGAAGAACTAAGATGTGGCTGTCAGTGATGTTGGTTATGAAGGTCGAAGGGGGAATACGAACAGCAAACTTGATGTTTCCATCAGCCAGCGACAGGGAATTGAGGCTGTTCTTCTGGTCCTTGGTCTCTGGGTCATACAGGCGATTTTCCAATGTGATCTTCTCCAATTGCTTCTTGAAGGCGACCTCAGTCATTTCTTCGCCGTACGCAGGCCCTGCTACATTTTGTAGAAGGGACTCCATCGTTTTATTGTCGGGGAACCGGAGACAGTCGCCCCAGTTACTAGAATCGCCTTCGATCTTAACCATGTCGAGCTGGTCTTGCATCTCTCGCGAGTGGAGTTGGCTAACAACGGTGACTTTTTTCCCCAACAATTGCATCAAACCAATCTCCACGGCAGCTTGATGCGCAGCCTTCACGTATGGGACAGGTTCTGGGTTGTGGTACCATCTGTTCGATCAAGGGGGACATTGTCAGCAAATCCATTGAGGAATCAAACCAGCATGCAGAGAGAATTGGAAACTCGGATTGAACGTACGGTGTGACTTTATCGGCTTCCCCATTAGACCCCCTAATACGCCATTCTTGCTCCTTGAGATAACCGATCTTGGGCATTCCCTCCCAGGTGAGGCTCTCATCAACTTCTTTAGATGGTGCTTCACCCTCTTGAAGACTGAATGCTTCATCTGCCTTGGTCTCTCCGGCACTGGACTCTCCAGGACTCATGTTAGACCCAGGCATGATCTGACTTCCAGAGTAGGGGTCTGCTGGGCCGGGAGGGTTGTCGGTTCCCCAAAGCTTGCGCCGGGCGCGTTCGAGGACTCCGGGCTCCTCGGAGGCATAGCGGCGGACTTGACCGAGCGGCGAGATACGGGGGGTGGCTCCAATTCTGCAGCTGGAACAGATAAAGTTTGCCTCCCGCAGAGGGAGGCGCATTGAAGGTCGCATTGTTAAGGTGGGCGCGAACGTTGTTTGAGAGCGTCGAGCTGGCGGAGAGGGCCTGGACGGAGAAACAAATTCGAGAAAGGTATGGGTCACGTGTCGGTGATGTTGATGCTTGGCATTTACCTCGCTCCTACAAGGCCAGGGCTTTGACCTCGCAAATCAATCATATTACGGCGATAGACTGTATATGCTAGTTTTCCTATGTTTTTTCTGCTTTTCTACTCTCAAATACCTGCCCGATGTTGAATGAGAACATTGAAACAATCTTCCATGCCTGTACAACATGGCAACACCGTCAATACCAGCAGGCCATAAAAAGAAAAGATATAGTAGAGTCAGGTCTAATTTTGACTACCAGCAAGTATACTACTCAGCGTATGATACACCTCAGAACTTTCTCAAATCCTAACCTCAAATCTTCGAGGCTACAAACTATAGTCGGACGGGAAAAGAATCATTCATAGTATGCGAATTGTATATACACATGCAACGCTGGTACCATACTACTTATATAAATAGACAGAAAGAACATTTTATGCAAATGAAGTAAAACAATTTACTCACGGACAAACATGCCCGCCATACCCATACCAGTACCAATGCACATGCTAATAACACCAATCTCCTGGCCACTGCGCTCCAACTCAGGCAGCAGAGTAGCCAATTGGCGAGCACCAGTAGCACCGAGGGGGTGGCCGATGGCAATAGCACCACCGTTAGGGTTAACCTTCGCCTGGTCGATACCAAGCTTGCGAACGCTGTAGAGAGCCTGCGAAGCGAAAGCCTCGTTAATCTCCCAAACTCCAACATCAGGAACCTCGATACCAACAGCCTGCAGAAGCTTGGGGATGGCCACCGCAGGGCCAACACCCATCTCATCGGGGGCACAGCCCGCGACAGCAGACGCGACCCAGCGCGCCTTAATAGAGCCAGACAGACCCAGCTCCTCGGCAGTGGAACGACGCATCAACAAAGCAGCAGCGGCACCGTCGCTAACCTGCGAGCTGTTACCGGCGGTGCTGGCACCGGTAGGCGAGAAAGCGGGCTTGAGGGCGCCCACCTTCTCGAGGGACAGGCCGTGGCGGATACCGTCGTCCTGGGAGACGGTCACTTCCTTGGCGGGGGCATCTGGATTTGCGGGGTCGAGTGTCTTGGTGGTGACGGAGATAATCTCGGAGTCGAATCGACCTGCCTTCTGGGCTGCGGATGCCTTCGCGTGAGACTCGACGGCGAAAGCGTCCTGGTCTGCGCGGGAGATGTCGTAGCGCGACGCGACGTTCTCGGAGGTAAGGCCCATGGGCATGATGCAATCGCGGGCATCTTGGGAGTGGGACTCCTTCAGCTCGGGCCAGAGGACTGTGGGGATTGCACGGGAGCCGTAGTTTCGGGTCATAGATTCCATGCCACCGCCGACGCCGACATTAATTGCGCCGGCGCGGATGCCGTTTGCAATTGTTGTGATTGCTGCGAGGCCGGATGAACATTGGCGGTTGATCGTGTTGAAGGGCACGGAGTGAGGGAAGCCTGCGTGGATCTGGCCCATGCGGCCGGCTTTCGCGCCGCCCAGTTCTTGTAGGACGGAACCGATGAGAACATCGTCGATCTGGGCGGGGTCTAGGTTTGGGTTTGCCTTCAGGGTGGCTTGTAGCACGCTGGCGAGTAGCTCTTCTGGGTAGGCGTCCTTGAAACCACCCTTCTTGGCGCGGGTGACGGGTGTGCGCAGCGAGGAGAGGATGACGATATCATTGGGGGACTTCTGGAGTACTTGGCGGAGACCGCGGGGAATTGGCGAAGCCATAATTGCGTAGGTTGGTTGGAGTATTTGAGATTAATTGAAAGTTGTATACCGAGAGTCAATGGTATTTCCGGTCTTCTCGGCGCTGTCAGTTTGGACTTGAATATGATGCTCTGGGGTAGTAACTCACATCTGTACAAAGGCTAAAGTATGCAAGAAATAGAAAACAGAGAAGCAGACAACAATTCCATTCAAACACCACCCCGGGACCCCATAATTACTTATAGGAAAATGCCGGACAAAATTCCGGGGTCGGAAGTAGTTTGGTCGCTCAGTACCGTTGAATCGCCGCGGCACTGGAGATCGGCTAAGCGGTTTCCCGCGAAATGTGGGGAGAAGTTAGATGTTGATGCTCCAACTTCTAGTATACCCTCAGGGCCTAGTCTCCTAGGTCATGCTAATGGATTCTACAAAGTGTCTCTGAACATTCTACCATACTGAATACTCCAAATGACAGACAGCCCGACGTCGGCTCTGAGCTGGAGCCCATCGGATGCTTATGTCAGCCATTTCGGATCGGCACTTGGAAGCAGAGAAGCCGAGGATAGATGGAGACATTCCTGAATTTGATATCTTGGATTTGATATGGATATTCTAGGATTCTGGGATAAACTGATTGATAACCCCGATGGTTGTCATATGAATGGTTCCCCTTGCTTATCCCTCGATGAACGCCATATTTGCCAGGCAAGTAGCCTCCAGGTTGTTCTCCTTGGGCACGAGCCAGAACTTAACCTGGACGACCATCTCAACCATTGTAATACCAGCTTCTGCCAGCTTGAACATTTCCGCATTAGCAACCGGAACGCCCTTGCAAGTCTTCCATCCGTTGTTCTTCCACTTGGTCAACCACTCCGTCAAGCTGCGGACGAGGTACTCGGAGTCTGTCTTGATCACGAAGGTATTTAGTGGCATGAGGACATTGCCCTTGCGCGTTATGTTGCGGCGTTTCTCGATGATGTTGGTTGCATTGCGCAATGCCCGCAGGCAGGCGGTTAACTCGGCGATTTGGGTCGTGTGAAAGTGGTCACCCTTGCCTGGAATGGGCGAGGAGATATTGCAGGCGTTGCCACGCCCATAGAACACTCCGATTGCCGAACGCTTTCCAAACTTTCCGGTGAGGCATTCTCCATGAATAGCGATGATCAGGGAGTCTTCATGGCCTTCGTATTGCTTGCAGTCTCGGCATTTGCTGGTCGAAGTGGGACATGCAAGACACATCCACGAGCCGATGTCGATTTCCATTTCCGGCAAGGTGAAGTGGGCAGGATACTCGTCCTCGGCACGGAAGCGGCGGTCTGCAAGGGTTATCTCTCCGTCCTTCTGCGCGGGAGAGCCAGCTATATGGTGGCGGGAAACTCCCTTGGTGCGTGGACCATGTGCAGTAGAGCTGTGAACACAACCCTCCATTTCCTAGCCATAATGATCAGTATTTGGAAGATGGTCTTCGTGCAGGGGGGAAAGGTGAGGTAAGTTATGCCAGTGTGACCCCGAGGTCAGGATCAGTGCTTACCTGAGATGGATGGTGGGACTTCTCTTTCTGGGGTATCTGTGACACTCGAGGGACGCGGGCTAAGTCCGACACTTCGGTTTCCAGTTTATCCTTTCTTTTCATTGTGTTGATGCGAACAGGAACAGCACCTCCAGTCACGGAAGGCATGGCTGAAGATGATTTTTGAAGAGCGAAGAAAAGTGTAGTCAGTCAACCGGAGAGTTGAATTGAGGAAGGAAGAAAGAAAGAAAGAAAGAAAGAGAAGGAAGATAAAAGTCAGGAGGGACAATTGACAACAAAGATAAATAGAAGATGGAAAGAGGGCAATCACAGTCAAACAAACACCTGGTGTCCAGATCTGACTATGCAAGAGTCAATACTTCATGTCTTAGCAAAAATTGTAGAATGTTAACACTATAACGACTAAAGAATTAAATGTCTTGAACGCATCAAAATAAGAATCGAGGCCTACTTTTACGGATTCTATATCTCCTTGACGTAGAACAAAGAGCCGCAGTTTGTCCCGCCTTTTAGGTTAGGAACTATGCCCATGCCATCAAGTTATGTAGTTATAATACGGTTTGACAGAGATGCGCTTGATAACAGGGTGTATTGAAATGGAAACACTAGGAATGTGTATGTCGAAGTAGAGGCACTATAGGCGCGTAATGAGTATGGACATTTATGTGGATGCGACAGCTTATTGCTGTTTTTCTAGAGGTTGACACATCAAAGGAGAGACACTATAGTAATGATGCTGAGAGCATCGCTCATATATTAGACGTGAACAGAGATGTCAAGACTCATAACTATCAAGAGCGAAGTCTAGAAAAGCGGACATTGAGGTATACGGTGCAATACGAGAATGAATTGAGCAGTTCAAGAAATTAGTTTTTAAAACAAAGACTATGGAATTGAATATGAGGCCACCAGGGCCGTTCACTTCATTCTCAGAAGTCAACTCAACCTCATTTCTTTATGAGGGGGGAGTGAGCCGGCCATCTCAACGGAAGATGAGATGGTTAGAGTGTCCAGGCACCTGGCGCCGGCACTGAGGGCAGCCCCTACGGAACCCCATGATGAAGCGGGGCTTCCGGCGGGCTGCACCATCAGGCCGGCCGAAGTACTGGACGCGGGTGCGGACACGGGGGGCAGGGAAGGACCGGGGATTGAAGCGGAACGAGCGAGGACTTTCCGAGGACGAGTCCGTCGCAGTACTCTCATTCATCGAGCTGTAGTCATACCACGTATGGGTGACTACGGCGTAGCCGTCCTCGTTGACTGGGCCAACGGTGCGAGTGTACGGCAGGGGCCAGTCCACATTGACGATGCCCGATGCCCCATCGTTGGGAGTAGAGAGGCGAGGGTTGAACTCGGCTGGCTGGGTGTTGTCTGTGCCGGAGAAAGGGAATGGGCCCTGGGTGGGCGCCTCGGATGACTCCCTGATATTCAGAGATTGGTTGAAGAGTGTGTGCGGGATGGGCGAGAGCTGGCCATTTTCTTGGACCAGGTGGGGAGAGAGAGCATCGCCATTGGCGAGTGGGGTCAGCTTGGTGGATAGTTGATTGGTGTTGGCTTCGTTGATCTTCAACACATTGCTGAACAGCTTTGCGGGAATTGGCGAGGGTTGACCATTCTCGGCCAGGAAGGGAGACAGGTTATCGCCATTGGCCAGATGAGTTGGCATGGGTGGGCATTTGAGATTCAGTGGCGCAGGGCGGCAAACTCGCTGTTTTGAATTAGTGGCTGGGGTATAATTAATATATAGTTAGATATAAAGTTGACTAACCTTTTTCTTGGACTGCTCCAGGCCCTCGAGGGCTCGCTTGGAAGGAACCATCGTTACCTGATAAAGGGAGTACCTGGTATAGTTCAGAATAACCATGCAAAGGTAAATTCGAAAGTTCGCGAGCGTGTCAGAAAGAAGCGTTGGAAGTCCGAAGTTGATTATATAGTGGAGTTCCATGTTAGAATGTGTTCTATTTTATGAGAACAATAGGAAATCTCTGAATGTCAATTAGCTTCATTGTGTTTGTTAGCTCTTCACTCAATTGAGTTGCTCTATAGTTCTATTGTTCTGTTCTGTTTTATTGATCATTACCCGATTAGGACTATATGATACATCCAACATTTTTTGATTTGATCAATCACGTATAAGAAAATGAATGGGCTTGCTAGTTAGTATGACAATATTAGAAGTACATGACATGATATGCAGGTCAGCAGATAGAGAATAGTCCTGTCGGTGTAAAAGCAGTCGGACGTGTATAACATTGACTGTGGTCATCTCCGGCCCGGTGATTGGATCAAATATGCACAAGACAGGCCAGATCTAACCCTTACAGTGTACAGTACATACGGAGTAGAATGTAGTCTAGTTTTATGTTTTAAAACCAGTAAGCCCTAAAAATAAGTAAAGAAAAGTCTCCAGTGTATAAAGCATCCCTTGACCCGTGAAATCTGTTGGCCCACTTTTGCCTCTTTGTTCCATTTTTCCCCTTGACAACTCTCCTAAAATTGTGAGTCATTTCTGCCAATTTAAATTGGATTTCGATTCTAGAGAATCATCTTTTATAATCATCTATAATTTATACTAATCAACCACTAGCGTTCTTGGAACATCAAAAATGCCTCTCATTAACACTCACGAAGTCAACGAGGACAGTCGTGGTATGTGGAACACTCCCTCAGCTCAATTGCGTATACTAATCGTCGTTAGTCCTTGGATACGATCCATTGCTGTCACCCTACTTCTTGCAGAATGAGATTCCTGCCGTGAGTCGATTTTTTTTTTTTTCTTTCAGCTTCACCCCGCTCTTTGCGGGGCCATGGCAACACCAACTAACGTCTGTATAGCCTGCCCGTGCCATTGAAACAGTCCGCGCCGGTCGGAATCAAGCAATCGAGATCATTGAGCAGCGCGATGACCGCCTGCTAGTCGTGGTCGGACCATGCTCCATCCACGACCCCGATACCGCCCTCGAGTACGCCCGCCGTCTTAAGGAGCTTTCCGTAAAACTGGAGAAGGACATCTGCGTGATCATGCGCGCCTACCTCGAGAAGCCCCGCACAACAGTCGGCTGGAAGGGTCTGATCAACGACCCCGATATCGACGAGACTTACAACATCAACAAGGGTCTGCGCGTGTCCCGTAAGCTGTACACCGACCTGACCGGTACCGGCCTCCCCATCGCCTCCGAGATGCTCGACACCATCTCCCCACAGTACCTTGCCGATTTGATCTCCCTGGGCGCGATCGGCGCCCGCACCACCGAGTCTCAGCTTCACCGCGAGCTCGCCTCCGGCCTGTCCTTCCCCATCGGATACAAGAACGGCACCGACGGTAACCTGACCGTCGCTGTTGACGCTATCGGCGCCGCCTCGCACCCCCACCGCTTCCTCGGCGTAACCAAGCAGGGTCTTGCTGCCATCACCAAGACCGCCGGTAACGAGCACGGTTTCGTCATCCTGCGCGGTGGCAACCGAGGCACAAACTATGACCGCGAGAGCATCCGCGCTGCCCGCGAGGCTCTCCGCTCCAAGAAGCAGCGTGAGGTCCTCATGGTCGACTGCTCGCACGGTAACTCCAACAAGAACCACCTGAACCAGCCCCTTGTCGCCAAGGAGGTCTCCGACCAGCTCCGTGAGGGTGAGACTGCCATCATCGGTGTCATGATCGAGTCCAACATCTACGAGGGTAACCAGAAGGTTCCCCCCGAGGGACCTGAGGCTCTTCTCCGCGGTGTCAGCATCACTGATGCTTGCATCAACTGGGAGATGACAGTCGAGGTGCTTGAGGATCTTGCCGATGGTGTTCGTGCTCGTCGCGCTGCCCGGAAGGCGCAGCAATAGAGGATTGTCTTTTTCTATAGATGCCCTGTCTCTTGCTTTTCATAGCCCTTCTTCCGACGGGAGGGAGAACGGGTCTGGCATAGATACCTCGTTTCGGTACCTGTTTCTTTTTCTCGGGTTTTGAGCGGTTTCCTTTGTACCTTTTTTTTTTCCTTGTTCCTTGGGAAACCCCCTTGGGATTCATGTGTGAATGTGGTGTCAAAAACATTGAGAGTTTTGCGTTGGGCTGGGACTGAGGATTGGCCAAAATTTTTTTTAGGAATATGATCAAAGACTGGATCTGCTTTTTATATTTTTCTGGGATCTACCGTTTACTTATAAGAATCCTTTTTTCCCCTTGCTCCACTACATGCATGGATCATGTGTGGCCGCGGCAAAGCGCTTCTCCGGATGGGTTCCCTGTTTGGGGATTAGTGCGCAAATCTAGGCTATCAGAGTCTATTTCGGTGAAAATCATTAAGTAACCTACTAGATAATGGGAGTGGTGGGTGGTATCTACATATAGTATACACATAGATTACATTGTAGGTGGGATTTGATGAAGTAGAAATGAGATAGAAGCAGATCTATGTACTGTACACGATATACATGGAAGCCCGCCCGTCCACTCCCTTCGGAGTATCAGGAAAAGACTATACTGACTAGGAACACATTCCAGAAAGATAAAAGCATAAAACGCCGTAAACCCCCTGGGAGAATGGAAGCAGGCCGCGAGAAAAGATCGCAGCTTGCAATGCAAGAGAAAAGAGAAGTATGGCAGATGGCAAGAAGTGAAGGCCGGAGGGGGAGAGATGGGTCTAGATTATGTCAATCGACCCATCTATTCCGCCCTTCCTTCGTTTTGTTTGCTTGGAGGACCAAAGGCGACACCAATTTACCGTCCAGTCAACCAGCTAGTCCAGCTCGATGTCTTGGCCTTCGCAGCTTGTTCCACATTCTCAGCCATCACATCCAACTGACCGGGCACAGGAGCGCCGGTCTTAGCCGCAGCAGTATCCAGAGCTTGCTTGGCCTGCACGGCCTCCATAACACTGCCTTGAGACTTGTCGGCACCCTCAATAGCCAAGACTGGTGCAGCAGATGCTCCGGTGTCTTCCATGTTGAGCTTCTCGAAGAGGAATCGCTTTGCCTTGGCCCAGGGCTTCTGTGCCTTTTCCTCCTCGCGCTTCTGCTTCATAATATTACCGATCCTCTCCTTCTTCAAGAGTTCCTCCTGCTCAATAGTTGCGGTACCGTTGGCGCAGGCCATCTCGGCCTGTTTGAGAGTCTCGAGTTCCTTTGCGATCCAAAGCGTGCGTTGGCGACGGTTATAGAGCGTGAGCGAGACCATCGAGTAGATTGTAAGAACACCGCAGACACCTAGTATAACCCAGTAGGATTAGTATAATTCCAGAAGGGGTCAATTGGAGGGGTTCCGTTGGTTGTCATCGCTGACTCGGATTTCCGAAGGGATCGTATGTTGTGTTGCTATTTTGCTCATATTCTGGACGAAACATACCGGACGCGGCAATCAATGAATAAACCATTCCCTTGTGCGCTTTATTGGCGAATCTCCGCCCAGACTCAATCCATCGATCCGTACCGCTGCCAGCTGCCTGTGCCTTCCGTGCAGCCCGTGCCTGTGCTCGCAGTCGTTCCACCTTCTCCTTGGGTGTCTCCGGTTGACCACTGGGGCCAAGTTGCTGTGGTGAGGGCTTCTTGTTGGAGGTCTTGCCAAAGTCTGGGGCTTGGTACGCGCCGGCGGTCTTGGAGTTGGCGTAGGGCCCTGTGGCCGTGAACCGCGTTGCGTCTGCGGCGGATCGGGACATGTTGGGAGTTTCCGGTTTCGGGGGGAGAGCTCAAGATAGGGATTGGGAATCAAATTATTAATACTGCCAATTGGCTGGAGGCAATTGGAGGGCCGTGGTGGGGTGATGGAGCTGGAGGCAGTTGATAAACCGGGGGATTTGCAGGTTGGAAGGTAAATTTTCATTCAGCACGGGAGATGCGCCAAGACATTCAACAGCTTCAACTGATATGACTTTCATCTTGTTATTTCTCACTTCTGAATTTGGGGGGATTTGTAATTTACATGCTATCAATGGATAAATTATACTTACCTTTTTTTTTTGGAAATTGATTGGCCTCTCTAAACACACACCCCTTCTCCATTCTTACTCTGCATATGTATCCTTCGACTGTCTTTGGAACACTTCACATCTACATCGGTCTTCACTCGCCACTCTCAATCCTTACTATCGACTAAGACTTCTAGGGTTGGTATATTGATTAGAAACCTTTGGATGAACCTACACATCTTTCAAATTCTATCAGGAGACTACTATTTCAATATGGGAGACAGCTCGTACAATGCCTCGGACCTGAACTCAGTCCTCAGCACTTTGTCTAGTCTAGCTTCTCAGGGTCAGGGCAGCACTAGTCAACATATACCCATACCTAACCTACCGCAAAAAATCATATCCTCTCAATCTAAGCCCTCGGAGGATCCACGACCGCCGCAGTCAAGGACAACGAGACCATCCGCCACTTCTACATCTACATCCGACTCGTCAACTATCACAACTTGGCCCGCAGCATTACGACATGTGATGCGCACCGTGGGTCAAAACGAAGAGACTCAGGCGCGCATTCGCGGCGTGATCCGAAGTCAACACCGTCATGAACAACAATGGTTCCATGCCCGCGAGGCATTATTGAAGCAGCAGCAGGGTCGCCCTGAGAAACAGAGGGAGCTAGATGCAGTCCTGTGGGTTTATCTCTATGCTACTGCTATGTGATATTTTACTATTGACTGATAACTGACACTTAAATAAGGAGGTCGATCGGTGCCCCGGTAAAAGAGGACGATGGCTCGGTATGTTCTCAATACCGCTTTACTTATTCACTCTGACTGATTTCCACTAGACCGAAAAGGAGTTTGCCGCAGAGATTGCAACCTACGATGCAAAGGTTCATAGGGCAGCCGTGCAAATGGCAGATGCTATCATTGCCGAATTGCGCGGTCTGGATATTCCGTTCTTTACGCTTCGGAAGGATCTGGTGCAAGATATTCCATCCAAGGTAGAAGGCTCACAGCCACAGAGCCAGACCGAGTCCACCCGAATGAACTCATCGCCTATCGCTAAATCTGAGCTTGTGAAGTTGCAGCAACGCATGTTGGAGTTGCTCGAGGATCTGTGTAAATAATGAGATTTCTAAGAATCCGAGACGTATCCTCGATTCTCATCCTTTTTGGTATGACATAGGTCCTCTTATAGTCGAGAATGATATAATTATGGAAGTTCTTGATTTGTAATCTATACCTAAAGAGGAAGTTATTTGAACCAGAATTTCTACAATGTATGTATGCGTAACAAAACAAACCCTCTAGTACATTCCTAGACTAAACCATACGCACAATCACCCCGGATAAAGCTAACATCATCAAGCAAAACATGTCCTGTAACTGACGAATCCTCCGAATCACAAGCAGCGACAATACTCAGGATATCATTCTCCCTCTTTGGTACATAGCTCCCTGTGACCTCTGTCCACTTCCCAAAATTGAACAGCTGCGCCGAGGCAATGCTGCCGATTGTTGCATTGCGGCCCATGTACACATATACCGAGCAATACTCTGAGCCGGAAGGCGATGGAATTTGAGCCTGAACACTGAATTTGTACTCCGTGTGAGGCTTGAGGTGTCTTAGGCCCTGGGAGATGGTGTTGCCGCGGTTTCCTACTGCGGTTTGGAGATCACTGTGCATATCACTTGGTTAGTGTCTGATATTGCAGCTTGGCTGGACTGGATGCATATATGGACATTCTTACAGGTAATAGTCACCACTGTAAGCAATTGCTCCGTTGCTGATTTTGGCCACATTCACTGCGGATGGATGCCATGGGCCCAGGACGCCGGTTTCAAAAGAGGGATTTGATACGGCATTACATGAGAGAGACATGATTATTAGAATGGCAACTGTGAATGTAACGAAAGAAAAGACAATCCGTCTGCTTTTGTAATGCACCTGGGTGAGCCCGTCGGCTTATATTTGAGACACCTTTGCGGGGCCTGTTGATGATCTACAAATAGGGCTACACATATAGCCATTTTTACAAAAATAGCTTGCATTAGGGTCTTAATAAGCTTCGGGGCCCCATACTCTGACCGTTGAAACATGACCTATTGATGAGGGTCATATTAATCTTACCATAAAAATGCTTAGCATAGGCTTCTTTTCCACCAGATTCCTTTGCTGTATTGGTAAGTTTATTTGTAAAATTATTATCTTTTGAGGCAGCATAAATCATACGAACACTGCTACATACCCCACACCATTCGGCCTTAAGCTAGTATGTTTATACCAACAGGGTTTGAAGATGCCACTACCACCAAAGGCCGTCCATCATTACCACTAGGCTTCAATATCGAGGAAGTTTCCCAGAATGGCACCGTGACTTTGGTGGAAACGTGGTCTTCCTTGGTCCCCCAATCACACCAGTCGAGCTTTGTCAGGCTAAGCTGGCACCGGGCTTCACAGTTAGGATTGGAATATCTTGTCTAATAATGGACGTCAGAATATCTAGTAATAAGAGATTGGAAGTATACTTACGTAGAAGCTAACATGCTTATTGGTAAGCTTGAAGCCGGAGGTGGCTCCCCTCCTTCCCGTACAGTAAACGACAGGTGGGCGCCACTGGGAAGAACTAGATCGGGATGTTCTGGCATCATGGTCTGATGGAGGTGACCTCGATCTGAATCCCAGGCCATAGCAAAGTGTACGACTTGCCTGGCCTCAATTATTCCCGGTAGCAATCCAAGCTGCAGAATCGGTTGAATTAAAGAGCTTACCGTATGTGTAATGCCATCCCTCTTGGTGAGAAATCCATATACACAGACAATTAGCTAACCCAAAGACATGAAAACGAAAGCTTCCCCAAAGTGATCAAGTTACCGAATGACTCGTCTCCTCACAATTTTCATTCGAGAACTATGCCCGAGGCTCCTCTACAGCGGGCCACCTAATAACACTCACCAAGCTAAATGTATACCACGCATTTATCCCATATCTCTCCATCCTTGAGATAACACCTCACCGTGATTGGATATCGGAGAATACAATATCCCCATTCAATATCCACGTACTAGGGTATATCGACGACACGAAGCTGCCGGTCAGTCTACGGCCGACGCAAATACAGTGCGAAAGCCCCCGCCATCCCTAGAATGCATGACAGCCTGATTACTGCCCGCGATGAGCCAGACAACGGTCAATTAGCGTCGATGTCATGGGATTCTGGGATATCTCAACGAAAAGCTCCTGTGTAAAGAGAGTCTTCGGATCCAAAAAGTCGGGAATTACGAAGGAATTCTTGAAGAAATGGCCGTGGGTGATTTGTGGAGTGCCGGAGTTAATTGAGTCTACGAATTATTGGCAAAGAAAGCGAGGAGAGCAAATGATTTTTTAGATATCTTTGAATTAATAGCCTCGAAGCTTTTACTGAACTATATGTAGTCATACGCATAGAGACAACACATAGTAAACTCACATGTCTTAGTATCCAAATGTGACATTCTATCAAACCGATGAAACCATACACATACAGGGTTGGATGCTTCAATAGAGATGAACATCCAGTCCCCTCAGAATGGCGTTTGTGTGTGTCGTCTGTCTGTAGATATATTCCCGTCCATGGGTACTCAGGGAGCGCTTCGAGCCCCGGGGGAGCCCTGAAAGCGATGTATACCTGTCTCTCTGTCCATCTGTCCAGACTTCCTATATCAACGATACAAAAGCACCTAATAAATTAACCAAATAATCTGTCAATTTTTCTTTGATCTGGAACTGTCGGAATGCCTCGGCCGACCGCCCGCCAAACGCCGATAGGCCGGGGATTGAAACGTCACTCTTCATTCCACCATTTCTTAGCATGACTCCTACAAGATCGACAAAAACAAGTGGTCTAGCCTCACTGGCTTGTACCGAGTGCAGAAAGCAGCATCTTAAATGTGACGCCAGCAAACCATCGTGTTCGCGGTGTGTTCAAAATGGACTTCTCTGTCAATATCTACCCTCCCGAAGGGGCGGACGCAGGAAATCCCGACTTGAGAGTCCATATCAACGCCACCCGCAAACCGTCAATGTGAATGTCAGTTTTCCTCTTTCTTCTTCATAATCATTACTAAATTCTATCCTAGACCCGATATCAGTCTGGGGGCCCTGTTCTGCCAATAGCCCCTGTGCAGACTCCACCAGATTCGCAGACAGGTAGGCAGACAGGACTCGATATTCCCACTGAGCCGGTCTCCTGGCCAGTGATGCTTGCGGGAAATGCTCCCGTTCAGCAACCTGTGGAACCACCAAGGAAACTGTCGCTCCATGACGAGCGCCTGCCTCGGCTGTACTATGAAAATTTCCATGTCGCACATCCGATCTTGGTGCCCAGCTCCTTATATCATGACCACAATTACCCTCACTTCTTACAGCTAGTTGTCCATTTTGTGGGCTCTCATTATATTGCTTCTATTCCAAGCCAGCCATACAAGGAACAAGTAGTGGCTGAGCTTAAGACAAACCCTGATCGATCGGCTTCCATGGTCCAGGCTTGGCTACTATATTCCATTGCTCTCTACGCCCGCGATGAATGGACGGAGGCACAGGATGCCCTCTCTCATAGCATTGATATTTCCCTGGAGCTCGGGATGAATCGCTGGTCATTCGCTTCATCCACAAACCCCGAAAGATCGCTTCAAGCCGAAAGTATGAGACGTACATGGTGGGAACTATACGTCACCGATATCTTCATGGCAGTGCCCCTCAAAACCACGACATTTCGATGTAGCACTGTGCCACCTGAGGTGGCCTTGCCGTGCGAAGAGTCAGCATATAATTGTGGAGGTGATATCCCGAAACCACGTATGATCATCGAGTTCAAGCGGAGGATCCTCGCGGCAGAGGACACTGTCTTTTCATCCTTCAGCTATCGTATCGAGGCTACGACAATATTATGCCGGGTTCTTGTTCTAAACCGATTACGCGACTGTCACCGGGATCATCTCCAAGCTGTCGAAAATGCACTCGTGAGCTGGATCAACCACTTACCACCCAAAAAGCTTGACATTGTTGATTCATACGGCAACGTGGACGAGATGATGTTTCAAGCGCATTTGACAATAGCCTACGCCGCCATGCTCCTCCACTTACCCCGAAGTGATCTTCCATCTGTGTTGTCCCAGTCCCAACCAGATGATCGCTTCTGGCCTGGTCTGACTGGCCAGCTCTCATCAACATTCACCCGTCTAGTTCATAGTATCAAAGCAACAGAGGCCTCGAGGCGTATCTCAGATTCCATATCTGTCTGTCCGAATGTCTCAAAGCACACGCCCTTCATCATCCCCGCCTTGACTCTCTGCGGACTCATCCAGCTCGCTACGTCCACCAGTCATTCCGAGGAGTGTTTCGACCATCACTGCAACCGTGTCACGCTCATTCTAGGATGTCTCAAGAGCACCCAGCGGACATGGAAACTGGCCGAGTCCCTATACCATGCTCTTCGATCTTCTGCAGCGGAAGTCTTGTCGGATTCGATGGAAAAGTGGAATGCAGAACCACTACATCGATTCACCCCGTCAGCCACAACGCCTAATGACCAAGAACAACCCAGCACCGGTGCAAATCCGGTCCCAGTTATGCCAGACGGACATGATTTCATGCCGCCGGAGTTTTCCCCAGCATTTATCGATCCGACTTGTTATAATGCCTCGTTTTTCAGCGCTATTCCTGATTTTGATATGAATTAGATCGGTTATACCCGGGAGCCAATGTGGTAATTCAATATATTCAAAGAAGAAAGATACAAAGAACTTATTCCGCTCGCTGTCATTTTTACCTAATAGTTTCTAGGGTAAATATCAGCTGGCCTCATGCAGCAAGCTATGGATCAGGTATCGGGCCTCTATTAAGTGAATGCCAATGATACGTAATAATGATAGGGGTCCAAACATTACTCCGTATGTACGGAGTAGAGAATTTTGATATGTCAAACGCCGACTGGATATTTTCGAGTCGCCGACCGTGCCGATGAGATATCTGATTGGCCCGTTGGAACTCCCTCGGTGTTCCATTCGGGAGGCCACGCATAGCAACATCTTGTGCGGCAACTGGACATTTCTCGTGAATAGAAATAAATACATCTGATAGATAGAGACTTGTTTCTCGAAGTACCTCGGTGTTGAAAATGGTATCAATTGAGTCTGGTGTTCTACAAAACAGTTCGTGTTCTACAGTAAAAGGGTTCGATAGTACGAAGTATAATCCTATGCCCTTTCCCACTCACACAATTATACATCGGGAGATAATGGCCAGAATACTCACCGACTATTCCTTCATTGAGTCTGCGTTGGTCGAATATCCGCTGATAACCGTGATAACGTTCTGTGTCTTGACATTCACAGTTAATGACATAGGGATCTGCTACATGCTCAAATCGTTCGCCGATGCATTGATCTACGAAGTCACATTAGTATGTACATCTGCTGGACTAATCTTACATCATTAATCACACGAGAGTACCAGATAGTTGAACCGCAGCTGCATGTCTACGTTTGGATGTTGTTACCATGGCGTTGGCGACTGTGTTAATTTCATCCCGCCAGCAGTTTTTACATTGAATCTTGAAAACTTGAAAACTTGAGAGAAATGTATTAAGGAACTAGAAAGACGTGTCTAAAAAAATGTCTAGGTTGTTTCAAGTCCCACTCAATTCTGGGGGAATATCAACGGTTGTACTGTGAATAGATACGGGTTTTAGGGATCTAGCATTCTAGCATTCTCAACATCTTCTCCCTTTTTGTTTAACATGTATTACTCGTCACCAAGAAATACCGTGCAGGCCTCTGGGTACTATCAGACGAGACTGTAATCGGTCTGGGGCACTGGCATGCAAGGCATTGGATCAATCGGCGATTGAGATCCTTTTTATAATTGAGATCGCACGGAGGAATTCAGGGGGGAACAGATACGAATTGCTTCCATATAACTCATCCATGAATCCTCTCCATTAGCTCCCATACTCTTCCATATCTCTTTCCAACATCTCTAAAATTTCCATCCACAATGCCCGCTGTCCTTCCCTTGGTCCCACTTGGCACCAGCCTATCACTAGGAAACAAGCATTACCAACCCCAGTACAGCCTGGATGATCTCGTACAAGACATCAAGGCCTACCTAGGCAAGAGTGGCGGTATTTCCTCCGCAGACGTCGACAACGAATACCTGATCTCGCTGGTGCAAAAGTATATTTCTGATCCGAACGACTGGGCCCGCTTTTACTACAACGACACCAGCAAGAATTACACGCGTAATGCTATTGAAAACATCAACCAGAAAGCAAATATCGTGAGTTCTATTCCCAGCGTTAGCTAGATGCTATCAACATTAGATACCGCGAATTAGAGATTAACCCCATATCCCAGCTCCTCCTCGTCTGGAACCCCGGGAAAGGTTCCCCCGTCCATGACCATGCCAATGCACACTGCATCATGAAGGTCTTAGCTGGCACGCTACAAGAGACTATCTACACCGTCCCCGATCAGGACTCTGATCTTGCTGGTCCATTGGAAATCAAGTCTGATACGAGACATACCATGAATGACGTCGCTTATATCTCGGATGATATCGGTCTACATCGCGTTCATAACCCGAGTAGTGACCAGGTTGCTGTCTCTCTTCACTGTAAGTGTTGGACCACAAAATTGACATGGGAATTGAATACTGATGGGTGTTTTCTAGTATATACCCCACCTAATGCTGCCGACTATGGATATAATATTTACAACGAAGTGACAGGCAAGGCGAGCTTTGTCCAACAGGCTCAAGCCGTTCCTCAGAAAGAATGAGGGCATCGGAGATGAGACAAAGTGATGGCCTGGTTTGATGTATTTTTGTTTCTTTATTTTGTATGCGCCGTTAGCCCGTCAGATACCATATTCCATTTCGCTCGGCGCTGGCGCTGGCAATACTATTTCGTTGTTCTACTCAATATTATGGAGTCATTTGATATATTTCAAAACAAATTGATGAATGTTTTCAATAAATAGCTAAGTTCCCCACGAGTTGATTTGAATAATAGGGGTCGTTTCATATCTTCTGCACTAAAGACTCTTTAACTATGTAGCCTCAATTTTTCATCGGGTTTTGGCAAAGGCCGGACTCTACTCCATTTAAAGTATTCGATTGTAGATCATATGAGGCTCCCTGGTCAATATATCATAGGTTGTCTGACATGTCGGGGGTCGGCGCTCATCCTCCGTGATTTGAACGGGTTTTGCGGGCTTTGGACAGAGCGCGAGAACGATGTGCATGGGAGATTATTATATTAATCTGGTCGATGTATCCGTAGACTGAATGTATCTAAAGAATTGATTCACCATGTTCAAAGCTCTCATCCCCCAGTCCATAACAGCAAAGTCGGCCGCGACCGTCACTTTCCTAGGCGTCGGAGCTTATTGCGCCCAATCACGTCTGATGTCAACAGCCAATGCAGAGTCAAATGAGTCTCCCAAAGTCTTCTCAGGATTTGGATTTACAACATTGCGCTTGCAAAGCACGAAAGATGTAAACCACAACACAAAACGACTCGTCTTTGAGTTTCCAGACGAGCACGCCACAAGCGGATTGTCATTAACTTGTATGGACTCGAATTACCCAACTTCAACTATTAGAGCTTATATACTAACATACTGCAGCGGCACTCCTCACCATATCCCGCCCCGAAGGGCGCTGGTTCCCCGTACTACGCCCATATACACCTATCAGCGATCTAAGTATGAGCAATACCCTCAACTTCCGACATATATAAACTAACAAATAACAGACCAAGAAGGCCAGATCGAACTCATGGTCAAGAAATACCCTAACGGCAAAGCGAGCACCCACATCCACTCCCTCGTCCCAGGAGACACCCTCACATTCGCAGCGGCAATCAAAGGACACGCCTGGACACCGAACCAAGCCCCGCAGGTCTACCTCATAGCAGGCGGAGCCGGTATTACACCGATCTACCAGCTGGCACAGGGTATTCTCAATAACCCAACCGACAAAACTAAAATCAACCTTGTCTTCGGCGTCAATGCCGAGAAGGACTTGCTTCTACGAGAAGAGTTGGAGAGCTTTAAGACACGGTTCCCAGGCCGATTTGACTATATTTACACAGTCAGTCACCCGGAGGGACAGGGTGATGGTTTCAGGAAGGGTTATGTCACCGAGGAACTGTTGCGGGAGGTTGTGAAGGCCGATGGGGATGCGAAGGTCTTTGTTTGTGGACCTCCTGCTATGGAGGATTCGTTGGTTGGATCGAGATCCCAGAATGGGATTTTGGCTCGGCTTGGGTTTGCGAAGGGTCAGATTGTGAGGTTTTAGCTCATGGCTTTGCGTGTTCTATTATTGTAGCATACTTCATATTCAGGGCCTGGGCCTAGCCAGCATATGAAAAGAAAACAAATCATAAATTTCATAAGAGATTGGAAGACACATATTTACTAGATACCGATCATTCCGCTTGAACGATTGGGTGTCCAGAGAGAGTGATGGTCTGAGATATATGGCTCTTATACAAGAATGGCTCCCAGCCCCCATTCCCTGTTCTGCTTCATAGAGAGGATATTCAATCGGATATCAATCGGATATTTAGACCTGATTCAAATATTCTGATATATCTACGGATTAAGCCCAATGCTACACGTCCATTCTGTATCGCGCTAGTGGAAATAATGACGCGGCCTCCCGATTTACGAACATTCGTCGTCAGCCTCATGCCGCGCCATCTCTCTAGTTTGTTCGGCGTACTCCGTATGAGCTTCGTCTGCTCCACCGCCACGTTTCCCATTCGCCCGAGGGGGAAAGGGCAAATGTGTATGTCCAGCGGTGTGGATATTGGACAAAGAACGGGGTATTAGGGTGGTATGTAACAGAACTTGAGGTTCATACTATACACAGAGACATGGATTTCATAAAACGAAACGAAACGAACCCGAAAATATATCCCGGAATGTGATAATACATAAAATGAGAAGAAAAATGCACAGAGCTCAGCTCGAGTCTCCATAGGAAAACAGTTTGTAAACAGCCCAGATATATGCAGAAACGTCACCAGCATGATATGTACACATGGCAAGGACGGAATGAAAATAACGCCAGACGGGGGTATGATATGCATGGAACGGCCATGACCAAAATGGTATATACCAAATGGTCTCAGATAGTCCTCTTTTTCTTTTTTTGTTCCTTTCGCGGTCCTCGGGCAAATTCGCAAGCCCGGCTTGGTGATGTTCGCGAGCAAAGATTCGATGCAAACGTAGTGCTAATCATGCAAGATGGGAAGCGCAAAAAGGCCAAAACATTCAAGACCGTTGGTTGGAAGAGAGGCGGAATTCTTCCACGGGGAGACCCTCCCCAGAGGGGACGTGCTGGTAGCGGCGGCCACGGCGGGTGCGCATGAACCGCCAGACAGCAAATCCGCCTCCGCCCAAAGTGCCAGCTAGAATGATGAATATAAGGAGATTGCCGATTGTGCGGACGACCTCGTAGGCCTTGGCGACGTTCTTCGCGACCTCCTTCGCGTCGGCATATTGGACATTTGAGCGGTCGCCGGAACCAGTGGAGGTACCGTTGATCAATTCGGCCGCTTTGTCGCTACTGGTGTCAGCGAGAGACGCCGAATTCGTGTTATCGTTGGCAGCGACGATGATTGAGGGGTCATCAGGAGTAGGGCCGGAACCAGAACCAGCCCAGCCGGCGGATTTCCAGTCGGGTGGGGTGCCAGTGCGCATGATTTCAGAAGTGTGCATGACATTGCCCTCGGCATCGATGGCCTCGGCAGAAACAAAGTCCATATAGCCATCGGCGATGAACATGGTCTCGAAGTCGGTTTTGTCGGTGGTGCCGATGAGTACGGACTGGCCGTGGTCGCGGGCCTGCGCGTAGAATTTCCACTGGACGACATCGGTCGCACCATTCCAGCTGACGTGGATGATAGTCGTCATGTCCTCGTTGCTGGTACCGTAGACGGATGCGACTAGGTCCGGAGGCGCAGTGGGGCGACCGGTGAATTCGCCCTTGTAAGAGCGGTAGGTTGAGTACCGGTCTGATGTAAACCGGGCGGTCATTAGAAGGTCGCCGTTCGATGCGTGCTCGCTAGAGTAGCCGCGCTCGCTCCATCCGACAAAGACGTTGCCGTTGGGAAGGGCGCGAGCGCTACCACGGAGTCGGGTGAGACCACTATCGGGGCGATTGATCCGCTTAATGACCTTGGCGGTCATAGGGACAACACTTGTGTCTAGCTCGATGAACAAAACGGAGGAGATCTTCTCGTCCTGGCCACGTTCGTCAGAGGCGTTGTTCAGCACCGAGATAACGTGGTGGGTGCCGTCTGACGAGACAAACTTGACATCATGCTGCTTGGAGAAAGTAAAGTCCTGCTCGAAGTCACTCTCCTTTCCACCCAAGCGCCATAAGATGTTTCCATCCTTGCCAGAGATCAAGTAAATGGTATTGGTGAACCGCAATGAGATCAGGTAGTCACCGGCCTCGTTCTTGTCGACTGCATTGATATGTACGTAATCCCAACCGGGCGATCCAGCTGGGGCATCCGACTCATGGAACATGTTCGATTCGTGCAGAACAATCTTGTCGAATGAATCCCACTGGACCAGAACCTTGCTGGTTTCGATATCAACCTCAACAAACCCACCAACCGTGACCCAACTCTCTTCCGTTGGGCGTCCGAAATCGGTCAGACTGACGATCTGGGGACGATATATGCAAGCCAATGCAGTCTTTCCACCGTCCATAATGTTGAATTCGTGCATGTTGAAATCATGGACATCGCTGAGAGCCTGGACCTCTTTTTCCACCTCGTAATGGTTGTTCACAATTGCGCCGTGGCCCTTCTTGGACTCATCATATTCCCATCCCACAATGAACGACAAGTAAGGGTCTTCACCGATGTTGTGTACCGGCTTAAAATCGAAGACATTCTGATTGTCGTACAAGGGTGCTCCAGCCCAGATAAGGACCTATTATGCCAGAAGCGAGTCAGCTGGTGTTTGTTGACCGGGTTTCGGGGACGAGACATACGCCACTGTCGTCGTAAATGTAGGGTCCGACTTGGTATTGTTGATATTTCATGGTGGGTTTCTCCGGGCTGATTTGCCCGTACGGCGCGACAAACCAGTATCCGGGGGCCAACCGCTCGCGGTCGTAGTATTCAATCTCCCATTTTAAGGCTCGGACTTCAGGGAGCTGGATTTTGGTTATTAGAACCACTCGATTCCAACAATGTCAAAGTTCAACCCACCGTCACAAAAGACATCAAATCCGAGTCATGACGCGTTGCAACGGCATTACCCGATAACAGGAGTAATGCAGCCCAAAACATGATTGACTTTTAACGAATGGCTAGGAAGATCGACTCTTCCTATAACAAGAACGAAAGTGAAAAGGGAAAGGAGAGTGAAGAAGCTACATAAGAGCCGATGCCAGCCAAAACATTCAGACGGTCGTCGTCGTCAGTGGCATCAGTGAAGAGGGGGGGGGAAACGACAGCGCTAGGCAATTAAGAGGATATAAAAATTCATTTAATTAAGATAAAGCAGATAAAAACATTAAAAGAATAAAAAAACTCCAAGAGAAGCCCAGATGCCAAAAGAGAAGAGAGAAGAGGCCGAGTCAACGTAATGAAAGTCTTGGCAACTATTTTTAAGTGGAGAAAACATGTGCCGTTGCCCTATAAAGTCCCATCCTCAGGGCTGATGTTATTTCCACTAGTTCTTCTCCTTTCGTCTGTGGACATGTTTGTCTATTATTCAGTGATATGATGGCGTGGCCTACATTTCGAAGTCTGTCCTTTGCCTTGAACTGTAACTGGATTTATCCGGCCTTTCAATTAGCAGAAGATCGTCCAGGGGGACATCTTGGCACTCTATCCAAACCTGGTGAAGGATGGAGTCTTCAGGGGTTTCTCCTGTTTCCACTCCGTCAGGCTTGATGATCGGCAGGAAAATCCTTATGAATATCATTGTGTCTACTCCGTACTCCGTATGGAGCAGATATTCAGTCTATGTTGTGCAGTTAAATATGTCATCCACTGACCTGCAATAGTTGGTGTACAATATTTTACTCCGTAGGTACGGAGTACATATGTACCATATGTACATACTCTTGTCTAGTCGGGAGTGGATAGACATGTCGAATTTCTCTCACAATTTATTTATGTAGTCTTATGCAAATGAAGCTTCACCTCTGATTTTAAGCCACAAAATGTACCTTGACCCCACGAACCACTTTTTAATTAATTACTGTACTTTGCTCTCTGCATTTTAAGTGAACGATTATAGAAGCCCCAATTAAGGAAGCTCTAAGTTCTCCGGGGTAGAGATACTATATAGAATACCGGATCAGGGGTTATTCGCTATTATATTTATGAACAGACACATTTTGTTGGATACAGTAGCAAAAGACAGGAATAGATTTAACAAGCCTCACTAGATAACTGCTTATTGTACAAGCCCATCCCAATTGTTCGAGTCCTTCAAACCAAGCAGCTCCGCAACATCCTGACTTTTCAACCACTCCTCAAACTTCTGACCCTGTACACGAGACTTCAATTGAGCAGGCTCAACGATGTTCTCCACTCCGGCAGAGTATCCAAACTCATCAACGAATGCTGGACCTTTTAGAATCTCAACCGGGATGCCAAACTTTTCACTCATATCCTTGATTGTCGTCTGAACAAACTCAACTTCCTTTCCAAGGGCTCGAGTCCAAACCTTCATCAGCTCTTCGATAGAGATGTAATCGTCGTAAGCAAGTAACTTCGTCCCTGCGGCCTCATCTTCTACCAAAGCCCTGACGAATGGACCATTCGACCGAGCCGTATCGATGATAGGCATGCGCATAGCTTTGCTAGCCGGCATGACAGAGACGAACTGCTTGCTCTCCGGCTGAAACTTGGGATACAGGAACGGATTGCTGATGTAACAAGAAACGTAGATGAAGGATGTCTTCCTTGCCAGTTCGGGTTTCTGGGTCTCAATGTAGTCGACGATGTGTGCCTTGGTCTCCCAATGGTGGCAGTCCGAGTACTTCCCACCCGAGGCCTTGTTCATTGGGCCCAGAGCCGAGTAGATGAACCTTTCCAGCGTTGAAATGGTAGCAGCGACATTCACTGCATTCTTGCCGTGCGTGATTTCTGCCTCGTAGCCTTGCTTGGCACTTGTCAGTTCATCAATGCCAGATGCGAGAGCCTCGCGATAGGGTTGCCAAAAGTCGGTGTTGAGGAAGATGGCATTTGCACCGGCGAAGGCTCGACGTAGGGACTCTTCGTCCTTGAGGTCGGCCTCAACTACCTCGGCGCCCTGTTCTACAAGCTGTCGAGCTTTCTCGGAAGCTGGATTGCGAGTAAGGCATCGAACGTGCCAGTTTGGAAGGCGCAAGAATGTGCGAGCAACTGATGCTCCTTGTGTGCCAGTAGCGCCGACAATTGCGATGATCTTCTTTGTGAATGCCATTGTTTGCAGTGGGTGGTTTGTGGGTTGTAATGGAGTGTTGCTGATTCTGTATTGTTTTTATTCATTTTTGAAGCAAAATGTTGTCCATTTTATATTGTCCGATTGATAGCGACCGGTGGAAGTATTGATGTCAGTCTTCGATGCGTATATAGTTCGAGTAATCTGATTGGATGAGAAGCGTAAGCCAGTGTGGCTTACAGGGTCGGAGTTACGGGGTTAAGGTCTCGCCGGCATTACCTCCATCCTTCGCCCAAATTCTCCTTTAACTCCAACAGAGTCAGGTCTAGCATTGATTTAATTCTTAGCCATGATTTGATTGGAAAGCCACGACATGCTTACGCCTATCAATGACTTGAACCAGCCTGAGACTCCCTCGTCTAAAAGACCGAAGAAGCGAGTCCTCACACTAGCCCGAAAAGAACAAAACAGGGCTGCACAAAGGGCTTATCGTATGTCGACCCTGCTCCCGTTAGTCTCGTAGCACTGACCAATAATCCTTCTGTCTCTAGGTGAGAGACAGAGAAAAGCCCGAAACTGTTCAAACACCTATGAGAGGCAGACAAGGAGACTTGCACCTCGACCACCACCAGAATCGTCGGAATCAGAATCAAACAATACACCCGGCACTGTTTCCGACTCTGAGAGGTCAGTCGATACGTCATCCTTAATACTTTCAAGTGTCAGCCATACAAATGATGTTTTATCAACTTCGTCCGTTGATCCATGGATGAATACTCTGCAAACTCCGCAAGCCACCATGTGGATAGCCATATTCCGAAACGCCATAAGTCTGGGGCTTGATGTGGAACAACTATCAGCCTGCTCATTAACATACATGTCCCCATTTTACAAACCAATCACAGCGCAAGACAACCCCCGGGATCTGGTAGTATCAGCTATGAATCCCTCCTTCCCTGTTCACCTCCAGCCGACGATGGCTCAAATTCTGGTTCCTCATCACGCCAGTCTGGATTTGATTCCCATACCTCTTCTCCGGGAGCGTGCTATCATGTTGTGTTTTGCTATGCCTGATCTCTTTGATCTCTGGGACTTCAAGTTGGACATTTATACACGAAATGCACTTATTTGTCGCCGGTCTCGTGCTGGTAAATCTTGTCAACCATGGGATCAAAGGAGCTGGGAGGCTATGCCTTGGTTTTTGAAGAAGTGGAGTACTACAGCTGATCAATCTGGGTTCACATAAAGGGCAAGCATACTATCAAAAGTCCTTGTGCTAATATGATCCTTATTACCTCAGTCTTGAGTTTTTCATTTAATGCTTGGACCATATGTGCATAATAACATGTACATGCTATAATGAGATCGTGGCAAATTATTGGTCCGTGTACAATCTGAGCACATGGGTAAAGAGCCATCGAAAAGGGAAAGCTCGGCGGGGATGTGTGACTTGGTGGCAGCTCTAGGCTGTCTTGTTTAATATCCACCATGATGTCTGTCACTTAGCCGAAGTAGGAGCCTTCAGCTTTCATATAGCGACCGCCATCATTGTGTATTCCAAAAAGTAGATTGAATGCACAAACACGGTCTATAGAAGCCCCTCATCGGTTGCACTGTAGTAGTCGGCAATCCCGAGGTTACGTAGTGCCGTCTGTTGGTACCCAGTATTACAGTAAGCCTGGTCGGCCGTGAATGGTGCTCGTAAGGAAAGAATGAAACCATTAAAATTCAGGGCAAGGTACTATAATACCAAGGTATGTATGATTTTTGTCTACGCATGAACTACCCCTTCTGAAAACAAGAAAAAATTCAACAAGCCAAAGATTCTGCGAATCCATCCTCTAAATCAAACCTTCTCAATATCATACCGCATCTGTATGTAGGGGATATACCGACCTCCCCAAGTCACAATCCTCGCAATACGCCTCGTTCCTCTCGGGAAAGCCCCTATAATCAAATATGCCACACCTTTAGCAAGCCTCGTACCCAGCAGAGCCTGATATTCAGCGGTATTCTCCTCCCAGACATGCAGTCTATCATCTGGCCAGCCAAGACCATTATCTGCAACATAGAGGCTCTTTTGTACAAACAGCATAGTCTCAGGGTTGATGATATTACATTGGATGACGTAATTCAGGTCCTCGATATGGTGCTCTTCTTTGTAAACGGCCTGCGCAATTTGCGCCCAATATGCCGAGTCAGCCCGGAAGCTATCCAAGGCAAAAATCACGCCTGGCCCTGTTTGTAACATGTAGTCATGCACCCAGTACTGTCCGCGCCATACTCCGGATTTCCATAGCACGATCTTGCGGTAGAGCTTTTCTTCTGAAAGTCCTAGTTCGACGGCCTCTTCGTAGATTTGGTCTGGTGGAAAGTGTCGTTTCTCGTGCCGGAGCCCCCATCCTGACTCTGCCATGTTTTGCATTGTGAGCTGTGAAGGGTTAATTGGGCATCTTTGGTTGGGATCCCTTATCCATGAAGCCCTCAGGGCCCCTGTTGCTTGGAGCTTGTCGTACTTCAATGGCGGGGTGTGCTCACTCGATGATTGGGCAGCAATAGTGTCGAGCATGGCTAATGAGTGAAGAGTTTGTTGAAATGCTTGATTGAGTAGTGCAACTCTAGGGTTTGAGTGGACATTTGCCGTTGAATGTGGGATGGGAAGAATATAGAATGATGGAATTGACGCATATCGCTGTATATATATTATATCTACAACCAAGACAAGCATATGAGAAACTAGAAAACTTACTACAAAAGAAGAGGGATAGAACAATGGAAATCAGCTATCATTAGTGGGAGCCGATAGGCACACAAAGGATGGCGAGCTAATGTAGACAACATTGTCTCGAGACATAAAGGGTATCTGGGAGACATCCGTGACTGCGATAATTTGCAAAGTCAAAGATGCGCACAAAGATATTATTGACAAAGACTAACATAAATGAAGCACGTAGAATATATAGTCTACATAAAGCATTGATCATAGACACAAGACATTGTGGGGGCTCAGCCCTGTATCAAGAAACCTTATAATCCCTGCGTGTAGTGTATCAACTGTGCTAGTGATATTGTTTTTACATGCACTAGATATTCATACAACACAGCCACTCAAATATCTTTTTATTGCTTTGTTAGAGTGCTCGGATGATGAGCGACCCGGTGGCCATGCTGATTGGTGTAGATGAGGATGCACCGATTGTGGGATTAGCCAAGGACACGGAATATACTTGAGCAGCGACCTGGGAAACCATGGGAATGATCTCCAATAATAATGAAACGCCCTGCCTCGCTGATGTTGTACTTGCCTTGTAGCTGGCCACACCCTCATGTCGGGCACTAGCTTGATCCTTGACGATCGATTCAACCTGCTGACGGGTCAAATTTCCCCGTAGGACTCTAGCACGGACGAAAAGATTAGCCCTAGATGTAGGAATCCTACCTTGCCCTCATGCGACCCGCCTCTCTGAACTTGGTGTAGACGGAGTCACCTCCAAGGATATCGTTGCCTTTCTTATCCCCTCGGGCATGGTGATCTTGAGATTTACACGAAGAACTACCGAACTTGTTCATTACCAATGCTGCCTTGCTTTAGATATGATTTGATTCCTGCAACGTAGGCGATGGTCATGGTAGTTCATTGGAACATCGACAAAGTTGGATTTTAGAGATCTGAAACGCGATGGAATGTTGATCCTTTGGAAGGGTATGATTGTGATACAGGTTGACATCGTGGACACAGAGTATTCAATATGAGGCTCAAAGGGACCCTGTTACCTGCCGTGACAGGGGCAAAAGTCTTGGATATACCTAATTTGACAGTTCTAGTGTTGAGATGATCGGAGCTAAAAAGGAGAGATATCGGGAAATACGTTGCATTAGGGTATTGAACCGTAGCAATATTGAATATGTTTCAGATTCAGCCAAGATTAGAAAAAAGAAAGGTCAGGGAAAAAAATAATCAAAAAGAAGAGAGGTGAGTTAAGTAGAATTAGTTCCACATGTAACCATCCCCCTCCTAGTTGGGCCCGACTACCACCGTTGCACTCAAGGGGGTCATTGAGTATGGACACTGGGAATGCCTGTACGGAGTCCGTATTATATTTATTTGGAATACTAATTCTAAGCACCAATAGCTCTAATTGAATTTATACTATCATACACTTAATACTTCAAATAATATAGACGCATGTAACTCCACTCCACTGTATACAATTGTATGGTATTGGAAATGGCTTATCAACAAATGTGACTCTACATTTTAATCTAATCACCTCATTCTGGCACAGACATGAATTACCGTTACAATACCATACTTGATTGCGAGGGCTTCTTTCTTTCCAGTTGCACTCCCGGTGACACTGTCAACACAAGAATGGGCCAATGTTGATCCATCGGGTTAACATCCTTCTCCCTCCTTTCCTTCTACTTCTCCCGGTGGGGATTATTGCTTCCACACTCCCACCGATCCACTCAAGACACAACTCCAGTGGGAGTGTCACATCAACTTGTCCACTCTTCCAAGGTGTTATGTTATAACTTTGGATCTTTCTTCTTTATTTGCTTCATGATCCTTACTCCCTGAAACTCATCTGCGACCTCGCCTCTCTACCTCCCTCCCCCGACGATGTCGGCCCCACTGGTCAAGGTGCTACACCGACTGCAAGAGTTGTTCCATAACGTCGTCGCCGCACTCGAAAGCATGATCCTCTTCCCCTCGTTGTTCCGCGGTCTTTCGCGACGCCGCCGAAAGACTTTCCTCGGCGCCTATTGGAAACGCCGCAGCCTCGATGACTTCGCCGAAGAAGTGGAGACCTCGTGCTCGACGCCGCTGTCAACGCGCAACATGGTTGACATGTCTGAGAAGATCCGCGCACAGTTCCGAGAATGTTTACAGAATAGCCCGTGCTGCATGCTTCCATCCTACGATACCACACTTCCCGCTGGCTCGGAAAAGGGCACATATCTGGCATTGGACGTGGGCGGATCGACGTTCCGCGTAGCTTTGATCGAATTGAATGGCCGGGATGAGGAAATACGCATCTTGAAAGTATCATCTATACACATTGACGAAAAACTCAAGATGCTGGAGGGGACACTGTTTTTCGATTGGATGGCAGGGCAGATCGAGACCATGCTGCAGGAAGTTGGAACAGACTACGGGCGTGGCGATGTACCGCTGGCGATGGGGTTGTCCTGGTCTTTCCCCATTGAACAAACGTCGCACAGCAGCGGGTTGGTGATACATATGGGCAAGGGATTCAAGGCCTCCGAAGGCACGGTAGGCAAGGAACTGGGTGATCTTATTATTCAGTCTTGCCGCAAGCGCAATTTGAACGTAGAGGTTGCCGCTATCCTTAACGACAGCTCCGCGGCTCTGCTCTCACGTGCCTACGTCGACCCCAAGACCCGCATGTCTCTCATTTTGGGTACCGGTACCAACATGGCGATTCACTTCCCCGTGCAGGAGGTTGGAGCGTCCAAGTTTGGAGTGCGTCCGGAGGGCTGGTTCGACCACGCCAAGCATGTTCTCATCAACACCGAGATGAGTATGTTTGGCGGAGGCGTGCTGCCTATGACGCGGTGGGATGATACACTGAACCGTACGCATCTGCGTCCCGACTATCAGCCGCTCGAGTACATGATCACAGGTCGGTACTTGGGTGAGATTGTGCGTCTGATTATTATCGAAGCAACCGAGACTGCCCGCCTATTCGGCGGCGAGCTACCACAATCCATGCACGAACCTTATTCCTTCGACACAAGCATCGTCGCTTGCCTCGAGGATGACTCCTCTGCCTCCCTTTCCACCTCCGCCGCGCTCCTGCAAAAGCAGCATACCTTCAACAACCCCCCCTCTGTCGATGACCTGCAGTTCCTTCGCCGCATCTCCCAGGCAGTCTCTCGCCGTGCTGCTGGATACCTGGCGACAGCCATCCACAGCATGTGGTGCCTCCGTAACGAGGTGGAATTCCCCTCACCCCCATCCACCGCCGACTCTCTCGCCAAGGAATCACCCGAAATCACCGTCATCGAGAACGGAGACTCAGATAAGAAGCTTTCTATCGCCTGCGACGGTGCCGTTATCAACAAGTATCCTGGATTCCGCGCTATCTGCCAGAAATATCTGGATCAGTTGACCGAGGAAACATATCCGGGCACCGGAACTTGCATTCGTCTCAACCCGGCCCCTGAAAGCGCTATTCTCGGCGCAGCAGTCGCAGTGGCTGTGTCCGTTGCTGAGAACTCCACTCAGCTGTAAATCTGGTTAACATGAGTGATGCCTGAACCCACACGCTGAGCATAGATCTCTAGCAGTCTCTTTCGTTGTGATTTTTTTTTTATACCATGTCCATCGGTCCATCGGTGCATGTCACGTGATGGGCTCCGTTCGGACCTTTTTGCTTCATCTGCATGGGCATTCCCGGATGGGAGTTGTGGAGAGAGTGTTTTTCTTGCCTTTTCCCCTTTTCAACAGTCCAATCATTTAGCATCAACAAGGAGTTTCTGGGGAAGCTACATGGACCTTTCAATTTGGTTTTCTGCTGGATTTTTGATCCTAAATGGAGTTCGGTTTCGTTCTTCAACGCCCTGTCATTTTTTATTAACGGGTTTTACGTTTTCTCGAATTCAAGGAGGCACACTTGACTTGTTCATTCCTTTCTATTCTTCGAGGTAGTCCATTTTCACTTCACCTCTATGTGGAATCTAGCCTAAAATGTTAAAATACCACATGACCCGAACTGGCTCTATTATGATGTACCTGTCTTGCTCTCGGGCTCTTACATATAATGCCGTACGGCCCTACAAAAAAGAAAATAGCAGCCAATTGCTACTATAAGGAGCTCATGTCAAGCGCCCTACAAAACCTACACCTGTCTAGCATATTTTTTAATTTTGATTCTGCTTAAGTTCCTGCTACCTGAAGTGGCTTTGTATTCTAGATCCTTTAGAGAGGGCCGGGGTGAGGGGCGTGTTAATACCTGCCGCACTAAAAAGTGTTCCGCGAGTCACAAGGCACCATTTTAGAGGCGGTGTCCTATTTAGGAGGCGGTGTCGCTGTACAAACCTTTTTTTTTCTCTTTTCTGTCTCTGACTCTGCAAACCCCGCCAATTCTCTCGATACGCCGAAACCACAACCATAATGGCTCCCAACGTCGAGGCAGATGCGCCTCACAACAGCTTTGACGTACGTACCATCTGCATCCTATGGAGGGTTGGAACGGTGATGTTCGCTCTCTACTTACAATCGATCGCCGTGTAGGCGCAATCGTGTTTTTTTTACAAACATATGAAGAATGGATTGGCTAACACTTGATTTTCTAGACTATACTCGTTCTCGATTTCGGCGTATGTACCTGGAGTCCCCTTGCCCCGCAATCCCTCTTTCGGCGTCTCTTTCGGCCTCTTTCAGAAAACGGAGCTTCATTACGACAAATGCTAACTCCCGGTTACATATGAAGTCTCAAACCAGCCATCTTATCCTACGTCGGCTTCGGTCTCTCGGCGTCTTCGCCGAGCTGCTTCCCTGTACCACAAAGATCGCTGATCTGACATGGAAGCCTAAAGGAATTGTGTTCTCTGGAGGTATGGAGTTATTATTGCATGGTTTATTCAAGGTCTGACTGAGCTACTAGGTCCTTCTTCTGTCTACGACGAGGGCTCGCCCCGTAAGTTTTCATTCCCAGAACGTCCTGTTACCTACCTATACTCATGTCTATGCAGATGTTGACCCCGCCGTTTTTGGGCTTGATGTACCTATTCTGTGAGTCTGATATTTGCCCATTCCTTAAGTTGAAATGGACTAACACGGGATTTTTAGGGGTATTTGGTATGGCTTACTTTAGCATCGACACTGGTATGATACTAATACTATTCACCTAGCTATGGCTGCCAGGAGATCGCATGGCGAATTGACTCAAAGAACGTTGCACGCGGAGAGACACGAGGTTTGTAACCTTTGGAACACGATCTGACATTAATTCTGACACTTTCCTCAGAGTATGGCCACGCCGACGTCAAAATTACTAAGGTTAACAGCAATGTCGACCGACTTTTCGCTGGTCTCGGGGATGAAATTCCTGTGTTCATGTCCCACTACGACAAGCTAGTTAGCCTGCCTACAGTGAGTGCAATAATTCCGTTTCCTGAGCACTGTTATTAACTCCAATAATAGGAATTTGTGGTCATTGGTGCCACTAAGAACTCAGAGTACGCCGGCATTGCCCACGAGGAGAAGCCTATCTTTGGTTTGTTTCCACTAAGCTGCCTTGCCTACTAAGGGGATATGCTAACAAGTACTAGGCGTCCAGTTCCACCCTGAGCTCGAACACGTTCGTCCCTAAAGATCCCACTTATACTACCTTTCTAACATGTTTCGGATCTAGACACCCCGCGGAACCGACATTCTCCGCAACTTCAGTGTTGATATCTGCGGAGCTCAAGCGAATTGGAAAATGGGCGACTTCGCCGAGCTCGAGATCGCTCGTATCCGGGAACTTGTTGGTGACCGAGCGCTTGTCCTAGGTGCCGTGTCGGGGGGTGTCGATAGCACTGTAGGCGCGGCCCTTATGCGTGAGGCCATTGGAGATCGCTTCAAAGCTATCCTTGTCGACACGGGATGCATGCGACTCAACGAGTGCGAGACGGTTAAGGAAACGCTCGGAAAGCATCTTGGTATTAATCTTACAGTTGTTGATGCTGGCGAGCTATTCTTGAGTCGTCTTGCGGGTGTTTCTGACCCCGAAAAGAAGCGGAAGATCATTGGGTCGACTTGTGCGTACTCCAAGCTATGATGTGATATGGATAGGGTACTAACGATCTCCAAGTCATCGATTTGTTCGAGAAAGAGGCTATTAGGGTATGCTCGACCTTCTCTATCTTCACTCGCTAGATCGAGATGGCTAACAGGACTCGCTAGATCGAGAAGGAAGCAGAGAACACCCCTAACTCCGGGAAGGTGGAGTTTTTCCTACAAGGGACATTGTACCCTGACGTGTAAGTCGTTTCGAGCTAATTGCCATGCTTAAACTAACATTGTGTTTTAGTATCGAATCTTTAAGCTTCCGAGGACCTTCAGCCACTATCAAGAGTGAGTCCAATCGGGCGTAGAAAACTCTGCCAAGGTCATACAAAGGAAAGCAAACAAGCTGACATTTGATAGCTCACCACAACGTTGGCGGTCTACCAGAGGTAAGCAATGCCGCCGTCCTAACGAAATTATCTCAACTAACCAGGATATAGCGGATGATGAACGGAGTAAGTCGAAATAGACCACTAGTCGTTTGAATTTACTAACCAACATGGCCCGTTTAGCAAGGCTTGCGTGTGAGTTTACTTTCTATCTCCTTGTTGACGCAGAGAAGGCTGACTTTTATTATAGCTGATTGAGCCGCTCAGACTTTTATTCAAAGATGAAGTGAGGGTATGTTATCATGATAATATGGATCCTACCTTTCCATGATACTAAATTGTATAGGCAATTGGTCGAAAGCTCGGCATTCACGAGTCGCTGGTAAACCGACACCCCTTCCCGGGCCCTGGTATTGCCATTCGCATCCTCGGCGACGTTACCAAGGAGCGAGTGGAGATCGCCCGTAAGGCCGATCATATCTTTATCAGCATGATCAAGGAGGCCGGTCTTTACGACCAGGTAAGTTAGGTCATCAAACTAACATAGGCATAAGCTAATTCTTCTCTCCTAGATCTCTCAAGCCTTCGCTGGCCTCGATACTAACCGCAGTGTTGGTGTCTTTGGTGATCAGCGAGTTTGGGGTTACATCGTGATTCTCCGTGCTGTTGGTACCAAAGATTTCATGAGCGCAGACGTGTTTGACTTCGATAACTCCTTCCTTAAGGTGAGCAATTCTATTCGCCGTGAAGGCCAATCACCATTCTTTCCACATACACCTACTAACTTATATTTTTCTAGGATGTATCGCGCGCTATTTGCAATCAGGTAGAGGGCGTGGCCCGTGTTGTCTATGATTTGTAAGTTGAAGTCTTTCTATTGGTCTCAAGACTGGAGCTAACATTGTCTTTCTAGAACCTCCAAGCCCCCTGGTACAATCGAGCTAGAATAAGGGACATGGCCCTGGGAAGGCAGACAGAGGATAGATAGATCACTTGTGTCACTCAGAACACAAGGGGACGAGAATCAGATGATCTGATTAAGACCAAAATGGTGACATGATCAGGGGAAAGAAAAGAGAAGAGAAACGTTGTACACATGAGGGTATGGCCCACAGTCCTGATAGAAATTGAATTTGGCGTTTAGGGACTATTAGAAAGGCACACAGTTGTGGTAAAAGTGTGTGAAATGATGAAAAATCAGGGTGCGGCCGAGGATAGAGCCACAGACTACTCAGTTACGTTAATGCTTGTAGAGATCGATTTAACCCGTTTACAGACAATATGGAATCATTCACTGAAGTAACAAGCAGTTCACTATCCAAGCTGATCCTTGTATATTTCAATATCATGGAAATGAAGACAACATCAAACTACTTTGGATCTTGGCGACGGTTCCGAATCTAGCTCTTACTCGGCCATTCACGCTTCCCCAGATTGCGATTCAAGGTAATCTCCAGTGGTGTATATTGAGATGGCTACAAGGACACATAACAACTTGACCGGCGTACGGCAAATAACACTTCCGACTACCAAGTGTGTGGCAGCCAAACGAGCACACCTTATGGTCCAGTCTCTAGAAAGGCTGTATATTCCAGACGGAGCGAGGTTGAAGCTTTCCGCATTGAGCGCAGAATTTCCAGCGGGATATTGAGACCTTAGCGATGCTGTTCTTCTAGTCAACAGTTCTATCATTGGGTGGGATATCTTGGAATTCTGCGGGTTGTGAAGTGTCCTGTCCGCATAACTGAGTCCACAGTGAAGCCAGTGTTCAATTGGAGAAGATTGTGAGCGTAACAAGTTCATTCTTATTGAGCCATGGCCAATGCATCGTATAGCGGCGATACACCATGTGTAGTGTAACTTGAAGAGAAACAGAGTGGCTTGGGAATTTCGAATATAGATACCATGATAGATATTCGTTTCCATGAAGATAGAGACTATCATGCATAGTTGATGTGAGTCGGAGCCCTAAAATCCGTGAACCCGCTGAGCTTTGAATGTTAGAAAAAGCTTGAGCGTCGATCATCTATTGCGTATCATCTCAACTTGATTGACAGAGCTATTTTGAGCCATTGATACTGCGCTTGTCCCTTGGCAGCTCCACTAACGGAGACACGGACATTCGGGCATAGCCGATAATCCGAGTGAGCCTAGATGAAGCCATACATTACCTCGGTTTGGGTTGTTCCTAGATTCCCGAGAACTTGGTGTAAACGGAAATGGATATAAAACCTATCAGGTAATCAGGATCCATATAGAATATACATAAATCTAACGGCCTACCGCACTACTCTATATCGTTTTCTCACGAGTACGATGAAAAACGATATATCAACGGAAAGTGCTTTACGTCTGACAGGGGTTCATCTCCCTTAGCACCAAAACCATGGAAGTATTGGTCAGATCTGGTAATATTGGCCTATTTTTGTATGAAATATACAATACCATGTTTTCGAATGTCTTGGGGTGTGCAAGCCGTAAGTATCGGATGTGACTGTAAGAGAAACATAAAGAATACATAATCAACTTGTCACCATACTACAATGCTCTTTCTACTATTAAGCATGCTTTTGAGCCCGTTCCGACCATGCGAGGGTTCGCCAACCTTCCAAGAGGAATATCGGGGCAGCTACATACCAAAGGTTATCGAAACAGAATTTGGCCCCCAGGTGGTGGCGCCAGATACTCCATACGTCGCAGCCGCAGGCCCAGACAAGTTACACTTCATCGACACACGGTTCGATACTGAGACTGCAAAGCGCATGAAGGAACACATCGAGAAGGCAACTGTGCCGGAGCCGAACGAGTACATCGCCATAGACGAGATTTTGGCTACCGCGGAAGTGAAACCCCGTGTGGCTGGCGAAACGACATTCGTGCTTGACCTCGCCCATGCCAGGATGTTGTTTGCAAAGGGGATGAACAGGCACAACCCAGAGCTCAAACTGCCTGAGTTTGAGTCCGCCGGCGATTGGTTGATGACCTACGACCTGGACAATATACCTACGGACCATTATTCCAATTGCCGATAATGAGGGACTATAAGCTTGAGCCTGGAGGAACTACCAAGTCAATGAAGTCATGCCGAGAGGGGCCATAGGTCCTTGTTGACTTTGGCTTGATGCTGGGAGATTACCGAATACTTGCTATTGCATACATTATAGATGAAAATGGACATGTGGACAGGAAAGAATCAGTTTATCAAATAAAAACAATCTACAGATAGTCAGGACACAACACATAAAATAAACCTAACGGTTCGTATACCGTCGCACTGCTATCATCCTCTTATTCGGTGCAGGTATAAGCCTGAGATTGGTTGAGGATAATCTCAGCCAGGGCCATCAAACTGCCACTGGACAGCAACTCCATTTGATCCTACACTGTAAACAATACCACTGCATTCAATTCCAATGTATGACTGTGCAAGCTGGCCCATGGCAACCCCAATGTCTTTGAAGTTGAGACCGCTTGCTTTGACTTGAAGCTCGATTTGGTCCTCGCCTAGTGGTAGGGGATTGTCGTCTACAAAGTAGAGGGAATCAAGAGCACCTGGATTGTCGATCTGGATCTCGAAGCGTCGCCCGGGCTGACTGAATGGTTGGGTTGAAGAAGGGAGCATCAAAGCGTGCAATATCTTCGTCGAGAAAGTAGCCTCCCTTTGGGTTGAAGCAACCAACCTTGGAAGGGTGGCGGTGTGCTTCGACTGAGAATCGGTCTTTGGGTATAGGTGACCTAGGGGGTCCCAGATTCTCAAAGATCATATGGAAGATAGTTAGATGAACTTTGACATATATAATTATTCCAAAAGTTAAGTACAACCCTGGAAATGTGTATTTCTTCCTGGGTTGGCACGCTTGTCCGTCCAATCATAATTATAGTATACCACTGGCAATACACAGGAGATATCTAACACAGAGGATACTACCCCAGATCCTAATAATCGGGACTGAACGAAGTACGTGGACAGTACATTTTGCCCTAAGACATAAGGCCACCTAGAATTCCTTCGAACTATCATGTATCGAGTATCAGGTTATTGTTCTATGCAAATCTGAATGTATTTCTTAAGTACCAATGACTTCAGGTCTGAGTTTCATACGGTTGGCCTGTTGATCTGTTCTAAACTGACCTAATTCAAATTCACCTTGTTCCTCCTTTGTACACCATGTAGGTTTTGATGTAAGAGGTTGCATAGGAATTTGACTAGCATCTAGTTCAATTCTGAAGTTTCTTTAGGCCCATATGTAATACCCATATATTCAAACCTTGGTAAAAGGGCCCTTGCTGCGTAGTATCTAATATATCAGCTATGAGGTGAAAGATATATTTAGGATGACAACACGGGTGATTAACATCTCACGGGCAAAACTCCGTATGCAGCCTGCAAAGAGATTTTAGGATCAAAGAATGTAGATATAATCCCATATTGTATATCACCCAAGTGTCCATGGCCCAGCCTTCTGGTACGCGAGGTGCTTGAACGATGACCGTGTCCAGGTGAAAGAGACTGTTGACATACATTCCCAGCATTTCTATTGGCTATTGTAAGGACATGCCCAGGTTAAGAATCTTACCTAATATCACTCGCTATGTTTGAAGCCGAAGACGTACACAAATACACAACCGCATCGAGGTATACAGATCAGCTAATCCCGTTTCGGCGATCCCTCCTTTTTCTTTTTCCCTCTTCAACAACCCCAAGCCTCCCTCTCTATGTTTTCTCTAGCCCGTCAATTCTCCGGAGTCCGCTCCAAGCCTCTCATCCTCAAAAAATTCACTCGATCGACCCAGGTACCCCACCGCCTGTACTCGAACCCTCCGAGATCTTCGCCGCCACGCGCACCCTCCGCCCCTCAATCCAGCCGCTCCAATTTCCCAATCATTCCCATCATCCTCATAACTGCCATCAGCTCCGGCGCCTACGTCTACCTCGTCAAGTCCCGCACCGGCATCAACAAACGCCCAAACTAGCTTGAAGTAAGCACCGAAGGGCCTAGCCCGTACAAAGAAAAAAAAAAAAAAAAAAGCAAACTAACGTCCGTTTCAAGTCAAGTGTTGCCCCTCCACCGAGCCCCCACAAACAACCTCGACTCCAAACTCAATCCTAAACCCCCTTTACCTTCACCTTCACCTCCCTCACCAACAACAAACCACAACCATCCACAATGGCCACCCCCCGCTTCTCCACAAATGACGTGACAGTCGTCTTCTTCCTCGGCGGCCCAGGCAGCGGAAAGGGCACCCAATCCGCAAACCTCGTCAAAGACTACGGCTTCGTCCACCTCTCCGCCGGCGACCTCCTACGCGCCGAACAAGTCCGCGAAGGCAGCCAATACGGCGACCTGATCCGCGAGTACATCCGCGAAGGCAAGATCGTTCCTATGGAAGTCACTGTTGCATTGCTGTCGAATGCCATGGCCGACTCGCTAGCTACCTCGCCGCCCCCTGCCGGCACCAAGGCACGTTTCTTGGTCGACGGATTCCCGCGCAAGCTTGACCAGGCTGTTTTCTTCGAAGAGACTGTTTGCCCCTCCGAGCTTGTGTTGTTCCTTGATTGCCCCGAGGATGTTATGGAGTCTAGATTGTTGAAGCGTGGTGAGACCAGCGGTCGTGATGATGATAATGCTGCTTCTATTCGCAAGCGTTTCCACACTTTTGTTGAGACTTCTATGCCTGTTGTTGAGGATTTCGAGAAGAAGGGTAAGGTTGTTTCGGTGAAGGCTGATAGCTCGATTGAGCAGGTCTATGAGCAGGTTAAGGCGGGTATTGAGGCTCGTGGTTTGCACCGACGTTAAGCGGGATGTGTTTGTATCGATGTATATAGAATAGAGGTGGGATTCAATTTTAAGGGGGGGGGGAGAGTTATTTGATTTCGTTACTCCAATTGGAAATAGAGTATAGAAGAATGTAAGCATTTTTAGACCTGAGCTTCGTGTTTTAGATGGATGCTTGACCCCTTTTAACCCAATGGAGTAAGGGGACTGTTGTCAGTCAACTATCAACTACGGATATGAACCAAGACCAGTCTAAAGAAATATGATATTCTTTAAGCCAGGGTAAAAAAAAAGAACAAAAGAAAGGTCATCCCTCCGGAAAACATAAACAAGACTAAGATTGACATGACATGACTCGTGGGGTCCCAAATATCCAACGGGGGCAGTAAAAATCCAACCCTACAATCGGCCAGGGAAAAAGAAATGCACGAGGAAAAAAAAGACAACGAAATTTCCCCTCTATTAACTGAAAGATTTTTGTGTTCTGTGAGCTTTTTTTTCCATTCATAAAAAAAAGTACACATCTGTTCCATAGAGCGTCATATTTATTCGGCAGTAGCCTCAACCTCACGCGGCTGCGCGGGTTGAATGCGTCGGCGGTCACCGTTACCGTTGCGGTTGGCGTTGGCTTCTTGGTCAGCTGCGGCCTGGATACCCTCGCGGGCGAAACGCTCACGCTCGGAGCGGATGACGCTCAGAACGCTCTCGAGGGAACGGCGCCAGACCATCAGGCGGCCTTGGACCTCGGACCACTGCTTCTCGCCGAAGACGCGGTAGGTGGCGCGGTGCACAAGGAACTCGGACTTCAGCTGGGACAGACGGCCCTCGACGAGGCCGGCACGGATGGTGTCGATGACCCACATCTCGACCTCGGAAGCGGGGACGCGCAGGGCAGAGGCGATGGTGGCGTAGGGGAGCGAGCGCGAAGGGGTGGAGGATGCCAGCGAGGTGAGGGTGAGGAGACGCATCTTGGTCTGCAGGGCATCGGCGTAATCGGCGAGCACACCGCCAGAGATGGAAGCGAGCGGGGTGGCAGCAACGAAGGTCTCGTAGGCATCGAGGGTGTCCGAGGTGAAGAGCTCGAGCAGCTCGAACAGAGTGCTGTCGCTGGAGCGCAGGGCCTGCACGGCGTCTGATGCGGTCAAGGGAGTGAAGTCGAAGACGTTGGAGCGACGCAGAGCGCTAGCGAGTGCGCGCACAGCCAACTCGCGGGCTTCGGGCTTGCTGACGTCGGCAGCGTCGATGGTCTCGAGCGCTTGCACGATGTGAGTCTGGGCCAAATCCTCATCACCGGCAGCGGTGGCGGCCTCAGCAATGGCGACATGCAACTTGCGGGCGTCATCGCTCTCCAACTCCCACGCGGAGAGCCATGTGGGGAGCTGGGAAGAAAGCTGGGGCTTGAGGGCTTCGAAGGCAATTCCAGATCCAGACTGGCGAATCACGGCCACAACAGCGAGGAGAACGTGGTACCGGCTCGAATCGTTGGAAGACAGAGTGTTGAAAATGGTGGTGAGAATAGAGATAGCGAGAGTAGGGCCGAACTGGGGCGAGGTGGTGATGGGCTTAGCGAGATAGGTGCAGATGCGAGGAAGGAACACGTCGGCATCGGAAGACTGGTGAACGAGGTGAACCAGAAGGTTGTAGGCGGAGGTGATCTCTGCATTTTTGTAAATCTAGGTCAGTTTTTGTCCATCAAAGATCCCAGTGCCAGATTCCGACTATCTGCAGATCATTCCACACTCCCACTTACCCTTCTCGGGGGCACTGTTCAAAGTGGTAGCAGAGGAGACGAGCTTCTTCAGGACTTCATCGCGCTGCTTGAGGTCGGCCTCGCCTTCAGACTGTTCCTGCTGGCGGAGAGGTTCGAGGAGCGGGGCGATCTCGGACTGGAGGCTACCCTCTTTGCGGAGGGCATCGATGTACTGGGCGAACTCGTCGGCGAGCTCGGTGAAAGAACCCTCAATGAGGAGGGTATTGGTAGGGGCGGGCATGATGTTGGTGGGAAAAGGAGAGGAAGAGAGAACGTGAAGTTCTTGATGGTGGAGTCTATCGATAAGTTGAGAAATTTCAGTGTGTGCCAAAAAAGTCTTGGCGAAAGGAACACCACAGTTGAAACATCTCGACTGATCTTTGTTTTTTTACTCTTTTACTTGATTTCGAATCTTTTATTGGGGTGAGATATTTAATATTTTGCGCTGCAATATTTACACTACTGATCTTTTTTGTTCAATGGGTTGCCAATAATTGGTAATATTACTTTTAATCGAATAGTTCATGCGCGAAATCGTCACCTGCGCAGATAGAAAAGGAACTCCCACCCATAACAAAACAAGAAAGGACAGGCGCCACGTTCATAGACATGTGGACAATCGGGGAATCGAATGCCTTGAAACAAAAAAGCAAAATGGCATCGCGATGAGTTAAGGGAATACAACAAAGAGGACGCTATGCGACCCAATCATCAAGTGGGCAATTAACAGCCCAAAGACTTCAGCATCTTTCCTGTATTTCCTTTACAGGACCATGCGCGCAGCAACGAGCATGAGGCCAGCCATCAGACCAGTGGAGTACTGAGTCAGATCACCGAGAGCGACAGCGGCGTTGGTGGTAGTGCTGGCAGGAGCCACGGAGGAAGTTTCGGAGCTGGAAGACTCGGTCGCAGTGGCCATGGCCAGAGTGGTGGAAGCCATGGCGGAAGAAGAAGAAGAAGAAGCGGTGGTGGTGGTCTCACTGGCGTTCTTGGAGCCACAGACGGCGGCCTTCTTACAGGCGCGCTGACCCTCGGCATCGTCGGGGTGCGCGTCAATGCACTGGCCGAAAGTGGCTTGGCAGACGTAGAAAGGAACGGTCTGCAGGTAGGGGGTCACGTCGGGGACGGAATCATCGCTGCAGACACAGGTGAACTTCAGAGTAGCCTATTGAAACCGTTAATCGCCTGGGTGCACAGACACGATACATAGTAACATACAGCGTCGCATGAGTTGAGCTTGGTGCCTTTCTGGCAAATATCGGGGCAAGTGTTACGCTGGGCAGAACACCAGCTGTCTATATCTTCATTAACAATTTATCATAGTTAGCACGGTCAGGACACATACTGGGCTCGCCGGGTTTCACCAAGCCAATATTGAAGCCGGCGGGGAGAGTGTAGGCAGAGTCAGTGGAATTGGCGCCCATGACGGCAGTAGCCAGAGCCGAAATGAAGATAATTGAAGAACGCATGATGGATAGAGATGTGCAGAGAGATGGGAAGTGAAGAGAAGAGGGAAAGAAAAACAAAAGAATGGGCAGGTGCTTAGGTACTTGTATCTAATCAAGGGCAAGGTACCAAATGGGAAAGCATAAAGCCATCGATTTGCCAGGGTAACCCCCCTAATTGGCATACCAGGAGAGTTAAGATCACTAGTGCCATTGTTTTATTTTGAATTTTTCTTACACAGGCCTTGTTTTTTGCTCAGAATTTGCTATACGCCTGACCTAAAAGAGCCTGCAAAAGATACCAGGCTAAATTGGAGGGTCCTTGGCTGCGTGTAACTAGGCCTAGTCAGGCTAAGTTGGCCCCTGCCGATTGAATCCGTACGAATCACAGGTCCCCGACGGAGATTGTTGAGTGCACATTACCGCCTGAGATAAATCGCTTGTCTGTTTACTCTAAGCATTCTTGCCCGAATTCCCAGATCTTCCCATCACCGTGCCCCTTACGGTTAACTACCGGTCACATGCCAGGGGTGAGACAATGCATGTCTGTGCTGGATAACGGGATGATTGGTTCTTTAGTTCAAGGACGCACATGGGGATTATCTACTTTAAAGCGTCCAAGGTTCTGATGTTCGCTCCACCGCAAATCGATTTTTGCAGATCCATTGGACCGTGTAAAATGATTCGACCCAATACATACACGTGATGTTTATCATGACCTAATCGGTCATAGCTGGAGCCGAGGTTAAAGGTTGCCGATTGACCTACGCCCTAATGTACTACTGAAACCGCTGAAACTGCTGAAACACCTTGACAGGCCCTTTATCTACTCCCAGGATAACCCCCCCCAAATAATAAGTCCAAAACGAAGAAATGGCAGACCCGGCCCCGGCAATCGCGCATCTCCGCACCAACTCATGGGCAAACAACCTCATCTCCTCGGCCGACTATACACCCATCCAAACCGACTCACGGCGCATGAAGCCCACAACTGGTGAAGATGGCTACTTCGCAAAAACTCTCAATACACCCACCACGATCCCTCACTGCCTAACCCTGCAACGGCGCAATCTCACACCCGCGCCCGCTGAAATCCCCACCTGGCTCCCCGCAACAAAACAAGATGCCGCATCTGCCACAAAGCCTACCCCGGATCTACACCCAGCGGACATCATTATGATCTTCGATCTTAGCAGCCCTGGTATATCCGGCCACCCATCCACCGTGCACGGTGGCATTGTCGCGACGCTGATTGACGAGGCCATGTCCCTCGCTGTCGCGGCACACACCAACGCGCCCACTGCCAGTACGACCGAGGATAACCCGCGCGGGAAGATATTTACCGTGCAGCTGGATGTCAGATATAAGAAGCGTGTGGCTACGCCTGCTTTGCTGGTTATCAAGGCGCGTGTTGTTGGCAGGGTCGGGAAGAAATTCTGGGTCCGGGCGCAGGCACTGCAGGAGGATGAGGAGGAGGGTGCGGGGGGACATTTAGTGTCCGCTAAGAGGAAGGTTGTCAAGGCTGATGCTATGGCATTTTGGCTTGTGACGTCCGACTCGAAGTTGTGAGCGTCATCCCTCCTTTCCAGGCTCCAAGCTTGAAGGATAGACCGGAGGATTGATTTCCCTGCTATACATATAGGGGGTTTGATCCTGTACATACGACCACCGATTTTGCACATACAGAACCAGCTAGATCATATATAGAGCATGAACCTAAGCCTGAATATATATCACACCCGAAATCTCGTCAAATGTATATACATCTATAAACAATCTACAACTTGTCCTTCCTAGTCCCAATGTTCCGACTAGCACTAACAACCAACCCAATCTGCGTACTCACCGCAATAACATCCCCAGCCTCATCAAGAACCGTAACGTCCAAATCCGTCCGGCCATCTCTAACAGCCTTAGTAACAATCCGAGTATAAAGCCACTCCACCCCCTCAGCAGGAAGATGCTTCTTCATATCCACATTGAGCGTAACGGTAGGATACCAAGACTTGGCCTTCTGCCCAGCAATCGCAGACCCACTCTCCTTCGCCGCTGCAGCAGCAGCCATGGTATCAAACCCATCCAACGCCATGGGAAACATATCAATAAGATACGCCACGGCAGCATCCGTCCAGCGACCATTAACATCACCCCCAGGCCGGAACCTAGCCCACTGATCGATATTCAGCGTCCCCGAGCGCTTCTGCTGCGCCTCACCAACACCGGGACCAAACAGCTCAATATGCGTCGCAGCCTTGCGAAACTCCGAGAAAGGCGGCACAAGCTTCGTCCAAGCCCCGTCAACGCCTGTCCGACCCAGCACCGCCAGATTAACGGACCCGTCCGCGCGCGAACCCGCCGCCGGAGCTGGGAGAGGCTTCCACCCTGTGTTCACGCTAATGCCGACTTCGGCCTCCGGCGGGCTGACGGTGATATAGCCAGCGAGCATGAGATCTAACTGGCCGGCTTTCTTTTCAGAGGCCTGCAGTAGCTTGATGTGTATTGTGCTTGTCCGACGGCCGATCTTGACGTCTTCAACTTCGAAGGTTACGAGGCCTGAGGCTGTGCGTCGCAGGAAGGAGAGTTGGATGGAGATCGGGGATGCGGGGTTTTTGTATTGCTTTGGGTGGGCGTGCGCGAAGTGCGTTAGGGCTAGTTGGTAGATCATAGCTGTTGTGTAGCCGCCGTGCGGGACTGGAGCGTTGTTAGTTTTGTTTTGTCGACGGGAGATGGGTGTGATGGGTCTGTACCTGTTCCAATGCACCATTCTGGTCGGAGGAAGGCGCTGTATTTATTGGAGCCTTGTGGAGTGACCTTGATGGCATCTTGGAAGGATGGGTTGACGGTGGACATGACTGTGGTGAGTTTGAATATACAGGGTTGAGAATGGAAGTGGTCTAAACAAGATCATTTATATAGTCTCATATATTAACCTTCCCCATACATCAGTGGACCTCGGCGTTTTCCCCAGACCTCGGACGGCCCAGGGAATGAGTCAGCTCATTAGCTCGGCCATTTGGCCCCAGTTTTCCAAAGACATATGCAGCAAAGTCATATTTAGAGTCAAAGAGCTTTGTGATGTAAGAGGGCTGACAGGAAAAGATCGAAGTGAGAAGGTCTCTATATAGATGAGCCCTTGCGATAGGTCCATCGGGAATAATGAGATATGGATTGCGCCAGGCAATATTACTTGGCGGGGCTTGGGAGCAGCTCGCGTAGGTAAAAGGGGTCCTGGGCAGTAATTAATTAATTTAATATCGAGAATACAAAAACAAGGCTAAATTTCATCGGCCTTGTTATATAAAACATCTGACCCCTCTCTTGCAGTGAATCTGCAGGGAAAAAAAAAAGATGGATCACCATGCAGGTATTTTCACTTCAACGTTCTCCAAGGCTTATCACTTCCGACTAACGAAAACAAATAGAAAGATCGTATGGATATGTTGACCCCAACTTTCCAAACCCGGGCGGCGAAAGAGACACCCCCGTGATCATTTATGGCTACACGCCTTCCATCGCTCTAGCTGCCTTCGCAGCCGCGTGGTTTTTTCTTCACTTCGTCTACCACACGACGCAAACCATCAAGGTCCGCAGCTGGTGGTGGTTGACCTTTTCCGCCGGTCTGATTTTCGAGGTGATAGGGTACATTGCGCGATCCCTCTCGGCCAAAAAGGATCCCTATCACCTTATCTACTTCATCCTCAACTACTTTTTCATCGTTGTGGCGCCTGTATTGCTTGCCGCTGGTATCTACACCATTCTATCAGCCCTGATCCCAAGAGTAGGGAGCAAGTATTCAATCCTACCACCGAAGATCATTCTGGCATTCTTCATTACTTCAGATGTCATCTCAACAATCGTCCAAGTCGCCGGGGCGTGTCTCATTGGCATTAAAGAGTCGCGCCGGCAAGATCCCACGACCGCGAATAACATCCTCCTGGGTGGTCTTGCGTACCAGGTCTTCGTTATGACTATCTTCGTCATCGTCGCGGCGAGTTTCCAGCTCCGAGCGAGACATGCGATCAGAGAAAATGGGCTAGGGCTCTTCTGCTTGGCCTTTTCCGTTTCGACCCTCATGGTTTATTTGAGGACTATCTTCAGGCTTGCGGAAACTGGTCAAGGCCTCATGGGAGAGCTGCAAACCAATGAGGTGTATTTCGCATGTCTTGAATTTGCGCCTATTGCGATAGTGGTTCTTCTCTTTGCCATTTGGTATCCTGGCCGCTGCGTAGGCGTAGCGGTGCGGGTTGATGATAAGCCATAACTTTTGACATTGAAGCAAATATAATGTTTTTTTGGTGGCCTGTATGAGTCGTGTCTACATTCATCCTAAATGATCGCGTCTCGCAAATGCCAACCATATCTTCTCTTATAGCACCATAGGCTTCTATCTTAAGACTACCAAAATGATGGAGTTGTAGTTGTTCATAAGGAACCACCAGGTTACTTTCCAGATGTTCAAGCAATATTTTTTTCTTTTCTATCCTTTAACCCGAAATTGTAAAAGAATTAAGATGTGTGGAATGCGTATGTCTTCCTGTAAAGCCTCCATGTATGTACCGTCTCGATGTGATTAAAGATGTGCCGCCGTAATAGATGTGCGTGGTAGCACCGAATCATAGTTGGTAAAGGAAAAAAAAAAAAAACTCCGGTCCGTTTTGCTGTCTTCATGTATTCGTCTTCGCATGTTCATATCCTGGAAATTTGAAATTAAATTGCTCACTAGATCACTCTCGCGATGCCAATTTACTTTGGCCCGGGTGTGCTTCCAAGTGGCACAGACGCTGCCAATTGCTGCAGACAAGAAAGAACGCCTGTAGGAAATTAGTCAACTGAAATAACATACGGTACTCATCTCAAACTTACCGGTAACTCCCTGTGTCAGGGTGGCTTTAGCCTCGGTGCTGCGCGAGCCCAATGTGACAGTCATGGCATAGTCGACAGCCTTCGCGCTATGCAGCTTATTAGCCCACCGGAAGACCGGTTCATCCTCACGGTTATCGCCGACAACCAGCAAGAAATCAGGCTTGAGGGCATTTTCATTTTTGTTTGCTTTTGCCATAGCCCATTTCCAGACCCTTTCGGCCGCAGATGCCTTGTTGGTGTGAATTGTTTCCACGATCAAAGCACCTTCAACGGGAATCGCATGCACACCCAAATTAGCACACGCGTCGTTGATATTACCTGCACATTCAGCAGCAGATCGAGCGGCGACATGGTGGTCTTCGGCGGATCCGTGGTGGAAGACGAGGGAGCAATGGCGCTCTTCGATCCAGCTACCCTCAACACGAGCCTGGAAGTATGCTAGGATATTAGACACGGATGCCTTCCATGTTCTGACATGCGTCTTGTCTGCAAGGTGGGTCCAGGACTCGGCGTTCGGCTCGCGCACGAAGGAACCGTTCTCGGCAATTAGACCGAGGTTGTTCACTTGTCGGAATAGTCGTTCCATTTCCTCTGGCATGCGCGCACTCATTACGTAGACAACGTTGGCGGGGTCTTCGGTCAAGTCGTTGAGAGTTGTGATTGCGCGCTGTGGCGTGGTCAGAATAATGCTGCGAGGTGACCCCCATGAGGCTAGAGTGTCTTCGTAATCGATGATCATGAGCCGTTGCTTGGAGTTGCGATACCGCTCGGTGAGTCGGGATACGGATAGTCGGGGCACGGCCATGATTTCTCGCGAAGATTGCTCGTTCCAGACACGGTTGAGTGTTTCGCTGAACGATTTCACCCAGTTGGCAGTCGAGTTCTTCAGGACTGCACGGTGTAGTTCCTCCCAAACCTGCTTTCGTGTCTTCTCGTCCCGTGTCAGTGCTGTGTGAATTGCTTCGCAGCACTGGCGGTAATCCCATGGGTTGACCAAGAGAGCATGGTGTCCAAAAACAGATGCACTGCCAGTGAACTCGCTAAGAATTAATGACCCGTAGGCTTTGTTGCCGCATCGACCATCCTGGCAGTAGACAAACTCATGACTAGTCAGATTCATTCCCTCGCGTAGGCTGGTGATCATCAGGGCATCTGCCACAGTGATGAGAGCAAGGTACTGCGGGAAGGCTAAGTCTTGTTTGAGGAACACCAAAGGCTGATGAGCGAGGGTCGAGTGTGTGGAGTTGATCCGCATGGCAATATCAGAGATAGTAGCTTCCAGCTCTGGTTGTTCCGTGGTGCTGGTTGCGACTTGAATCAACACAACTTTATCAGCCCATTCCGGGTAGGTGTTGAGGAAAAGCTCATAGCTAAGAAGTTTTTGGCGAATACCGCGAACGGAATCAATCTTATCGCGCGAGACAATGAGACGCTTTCCTTGATAGCGCTCCGAGATTGTCTCGACCCATCGCTCCACGTCCGTTGCCTGGCGGCGCTTATCCCACGAAGTTGGGTCGATGCCGATGGGGAATGTGCCGACGTTGACAAACCCATCTTCCAACTGGATTCCTTCGGGCGTTGCTTCCACACACAAGATCCGACTGCATGTCTGCAGGAAGTGTCGGCAGTATTCATGCGTTTGGAAACCAATAAGGTTGGCACCAAGCATGCCCTGGAGAAGCTCCTTGCGTGGTGCCAAGCATTTGAAGACCTCCGACGAGGGGAAAGCAATATGCAGGAAAAACCCAATTTGTGCATCTGGCACCAGTTTGCGAAGCATAGCTGGAACCAGTAACAGATGATAATCCTGGATCCAGATCGAATCACCGCGCTTCCAATGCTTAGCGATGCGGTCTGCAAAAGCCTGGTTCAACTTGACGTAGTAGATCCACGAGTGGTCCTCGTAAGCTTTGCTCTTCGGGTTATCTGGGATCTGATAATGAAATACAGGCCAAAGAATGGTCTTGCAGAAATGCGTGTAGTGCCCGTCAAAGTCAGAGTCATTTACAAACACTGTCAAAGACCCATACTCATCTTCCAACTTCTCCGCGATGTCTCGGCGGGTGTGACTTGCCAAGACGTCAGTAGGCATACCCAAGGTGCCCACCCACATCATGTTATCCAAAACCCCGGCGTCTGTCGCGGATCGTACTGCATTGCGCAGGCCACCATTTCCCTGTTCCGCGGTCTCAATGGTCCATTCGGCTTTTGAAAATGACAATTTTCGGCTCGCTGTGCTCCCCTTTCTTAGTCTAGCATAGGGAGCAATGGTCTCGGCTGCAGGAAGCCGCTGCGCTACAGGTTGCTTGGCGGGGCGAGGTTCTTGGTGCTTGAGAATGGATGGAGATGGCGACACGACTGGCAATGGCTTTGGCTGGTTGAACGAAGTTGTGCCCCATAGCGGAGAATGACCCTCACTCTCCGTGAGGAGCCGGTTATCCTGCTCGAGGGCCAAAGGGAACGGGTACCCGTTTTTCTCTTGCTCTACCTTGCCTATGTCGGAAGCAAATATACGTTCATGGTTCGTTGTAGCCCCTGGTGTAAGACCCGGTGTTTCCCCTGGGATGCTCTTCTCAAACAAGCTAGCCGCAGCCTTGGGGATGGGTGTGATCCCGTCGATGGTGGGGTTTGCGGACAAAGGAGGGCTTAGAGCAGGGGGAGAGCGGGTGCGCGAGTTGTTGAGCTGAAAATTGACAGTGTGAGGCAAGAATCTACATCAGAAATTCATCAGTTAGCCATAGTTAATCTTCAAGATCGAGGGATAGCCACGTACAGAGACGCTATGAAGACAGTCATGTTGATTGGGTCCGGCCTAAGTGGATAGGCAGAATAATATCAAATACACAATGAGAGGGAGAGACGTTCCAGCTTGTGGCAATATGTAGATATATGCGACGAGAAATGGGCAGCTGGAGTTCCAAGGCCAAGCTGAAGAGAAAAAATAGTTACACGATTACGATGTGTTTCTCATGACTACGTCATGTGAAAGTCCACAGCGGGCCAAGTAATGGAGAAGCAAGTTTGGTAGTGGGTTGTCAGGACAAATAAGAATGAATAGACGGATCTAGATGCTGCATTCAGAGATGACATGAAGATATAACTTGGAAGGTTTCCTTTCCAGGTTTTCCATAAAAAAAGGAATATGGGCGGAACCAAAGGACGTTTATCCATCGCCTGACAGCTTGACCGTCTCGTACCGGGTTTACTCCACTTACAGGTTAGCTGGGAATGTTCCTGTACGGTATTACGGTATTCTATGTACAGAACTATGGCAGATCATCTGTGATTGGCGGGATATCTTAAAATATATCACCTGACACGAGGTAATATTTCTCCCTTCCGTTCTCATGTTGGAAGTTCATCCACTCATGCCATGACCTTGCGTCTTACCTCCGCTCCGGTATCTGGTGTCAAGAAACGCAAAGCCTCTGCTCCCAAACCCCGTGCTTCGCCCTTTGCTGCCCATGCGCGCCGCAAACCTACATCTGGCGGAGGACTAAAACCCACTGCAGATCTAGGTTTCGATGATCCGCTTCCAGATGTAGGCGGGTCTCATTTCATATCGGAAACCGCCCCGGTTCAGAATGTGCTGCAGGCTATCCAATATATCCGCGATGGCATGTTCGAAGAACTTCCAGCAAGGGCGGGAATGAACAGCACACGCATCGCAGAAGTCCTCAATCTACGCCGGTCTTTGCCTCCACTAGCCTCCGTGGCCCATGTCCATACCCTCATGGAAGCACCAACACAGGTGGAAAGGGAAATCGTTGAGCAGATTCAGACGGGTCGGATTCGGCGACTCATTATACCGGGTCGAGGCAATGATGCGGCAGGGCTGGGCGATTGTTTGGTGCTAGCAGAGGATTGGGACAAACTGGTACAGGAAAGCCCTGCACTGGAACAACCAGTCAAGGGTGAGTTTTTGAGTCAGGATTCTTTGAGAGTCATGGACTGACGGGTCCGCAGAGAAATTCCTTGATATCCTGAAGCGTATGGGGACCTCCTCGGCGATATCGCAGGGGGTCTTCACGACGGATGAGTACAGGGCCTTGCTGCGCGCTGGCTTTATTGTCTCGTCCTCATCTTATACACAGGGTACATTGAGTATTGCATCACTTCCTAATTTACCTCAAATGGCGACTTCATCGGCAAGTCGATGTGAGTCTGTCTCGCTTTCCGAGCGCTCCGTGCAGTCAGCTGCCCAGGCTCGTGCTGCAACTCTGTTCTTGTCTCTCCCTAACACGGGAACATATCTCCGCTTGTTAGGATCAGGTCGTGCACATCTGCTCGCTCTTCTCCGGCGATCTGCTTCTGGCGAAGCCCCTCTGGGTCTCATGAAAGATCGATGGGATGGAGCTGTTGAGACTAACAAGAGCTACGATGTAGCCAAGCGAGCCCGTGGCGAGTTTGCAGGAATTCTACCGGGTAAGACTAGGAAATGGAAAGAACTATATGGGATGCGCTTTCGATGGGTGCTAGAGGAAGCACTAGGCGCGGGACTTGTGGAGATGTTTGAGACTGGCAGCGTTGGACCTGGGATCCGCTGTTTATAGTCTATATCCTTACCTAACCTGTTGTCCCGGTACTAAATAAATCTATAAGATCATACACTTTGATAATTTGATCATGAAGTCTAGAAGATAGTTGGGTTCATGAAATCGTCTCAAAGAAACAACCTTCAAATTCTCACATAATTCCGCCCCGAGCAAACAAATTAGACATCACGTCAACATGTAATATGTTGGCTTCTCGCACTTTATTTTTACCCTCCTCCTCTCTCCATCTACATACCTACTTTCTTCATCGCCAAGCCTTCATACCTCCATCATGCCGCTAATCCAACTAGAGCCACATCTGTTCACCAGCCTCCCCCGTCACCCAGATCTTCCAGGGGACGCCAACACCCCGGATCTGCGGGGGTTTATCCAGGCAGTCCTGCTTGAGGCCCAGCCTCTTCTAAACCAGTTCCCGTCGACATTGAAACCAGACTGCAAGCTACGCTCATCTCCACCATCCAAGGCAAAAGTGAAACTTTCACGGGGATGGCGAACACTCCAAGCCCCCCAGGACTCCAAGCCCAAAATGGAATACTGGGTATGTCGCCAAAGCGACCACCAAGACTCTGATCGGTTGCCTGGAACAGTTTCCCTCTGGGAATTCCACGACGGGTTGCGATACAACCATGCCGCGCACGAGATGGAGTACACCCCCTCCGTGACGAGCGTAAAGCAACTGCTGAAATGGAACGAGCCCAGACAATGGGGTTCCAACGAGCCAATCACTGCTGGAAACATGAACTACAAGCATTTCGAGGCCGAACGTATGTACAAAATTCCCCGGGACATAGCTCTCACACAAGCATAGCACGCTAATACCCAGTCTAGTCAATCTTATTGTCCACACCTTCCATCCACGGGCACTTATCCGGCCCCGGGCTTTCATATCCTGGACTGTGTCGGCGACTTTCGCTAGCTCTTATCAAGCAACCCGGGTCAACCCAGACTACGGCTTTATTACCGTACAGATTCCTTTCTATTTGACGAAACCGATCATCCCCGGGTCCCGGTACGAGGGAATCTACGCTCAAATCATGGATGCCGTCCCGCGGCGAGTTGTCTTCGCTTACTATGCCAGTGTCGAGCGGGTTGAGCTTCTATCGCCTCCTTCTACTCCCGTATCTTCGGGCCTGTCGCCTTCAGCAGAGTTAAATACCACTGCCACCTCTCCTGAGCGTTATCTTCGATGGACTATGGCGACGACTTCTGAGGCTGGTGGGAAGATTCCTAAGTGTGTTCAGCGGAACTGGACGCTTGGTGGAGTGCCGCGGGCTGTTGTTGGTGATGTGGGATTGTTTATTCAGTGGGTTATCAAGCGGAGAGAAGAGAGGAGGTTGGAGCAGGATTCTCAAATGGGGGAGGGCTAATTTGTTGTTGGTCTGTCGGGTGTCTTTCTCGATATTCAGTCTACTGTGTCATCTTGGATAATCTCAATGGCCGTGGATTATGATCAACGTACAGAAGCCAAAAGTCAGAAGCAGACAAATACAAAAGCAAAAGATAGTTCTTTGTAAACCACCCAAATCCATCAGATGTACATGTATCCTTCGACCATATATATGCCTGGTGATAATTTCATAGACAAGCCTTACCAACACCGAAAGCCTGCAACGCAGCAGATATACCAAGGACAACGGCAGTATCATTGATACCATACTTAGCATACCAGACCGAGCTGGCCCAAAGCAGGATATTTGCGATTCCGGCCATGGCTTTGTTCACTGGGTCCTGGAGGAGACTAGGATTATGCGCCCATTGCCAGTGAAGAAGACCTGTCGATGGTTATGGTTAGAGTATAACTAGGAGCGATGACATTATGAGCCTACCGGTCAATAGAAAGAAGCCACTCCCCTGTTTATAGGAACCGAATAGAAAAAAGTCAGCATAAGCTAAATAGGCGTGATTGATATTGACACAAGACACCAAAGTCAAAGTCCAAAGTCCAACGCACCTGGTACCACCCCAGAGTTCCGCAAGTCCACGAATTCGTGCGTGCGATAGCTTTGAATCTTGGGTCCGCTGTCCATTGTCTGCCCTTGATCTACCTAACCATCAATATGGTGCTTCAGGGGTTCTGAGTTTGGGAATAATACCGTGTGTCCAATGGAAAGCAACACAAAGGATACAGCCGATGCCTGTAGCAGTGTGGGAGACATTTTCAATGTTGTAATATAATGTTTTGTAGGATAGAATGTTCTGAAGGTTATGAGTTCGAGATGTGTACTGGTTGCGGAGTATGTCTCTGAAGTACCTCGGCTCATTGATGGGTGTGAATATGCCACCGAGTGATACGATGGGGGGATATACATTGCAGCTACTAGATTTATTCTACTTTATCCTTTTTACAACTTCACTCTCAACCAAAGATAAAGACTTGATATCTAGAAAATCAAGGTAGGGCAGAGAGAAAGCGTTGACCCCTGAGTTTGTCCAAATAGTGGGAGAGCAATTTGACTAGACCATACTATACCCCTTATCGAGGAGATGATCGGCAGCAATACTCAAGCAATAATCCTTGTAGATCCCTGTCGCAGGTATCAGAAAAAGTCCAGAACTCGATTGGTGTTCTAGATGGCGGAGCCACGAGCACCGTCTACCAGCTCATGAGCTAAGCTTTACCCCATATAGATCCATTCCGTTTTGATCCATAGTTGCTGCTCTGGGTCATCAGATTGAATATGTGTTATATTCTTAGATATCAGCTGGCCTTCGACAAGACCAAAGAGGAGGCTATCAAAGATCAAAGCATGCCGTCTTGCTTCTGCCGTTTGGATAAGATTTCTGAGCCGCAAAGGATTCTATAGTCTCAATCTATATCGCAATCGTTCCGAGCTTCGTCAATGCGATATCGTGTGAGTGAGTTCTATGGTGATTTCACCGATCATTGCACCACCAGGATGTGAATAGTAAACGCTCCCATCGAATGGGAATCCATGGGCGGCGGTGGCCATATATGTAGAGCCCAGATCATCTTTCACGAGGATGCCCGACGCCCGAGGACGAGCGCATTGATTCGCCTTCGGTATTCGGAGCGGAGCTGACCATCACACCTGGTCTCAGCGTAGTGTGTTGAGAACCGTCCAGTAGCATTCTGCAGAAGGGGCCGGCGTTTTGTGGAGGTGCTGGTTCTACCAAGGATTGTAGCTCACGGTCAGGGCTGGTATTCAGCCTAGCGTTTAGCACACTGACATAATTCGCACAACTCTGCTGTCGAGCAGATGATATATAGATGACGAAGCTACAAAATCTCTAGAACAAAAGAAATTTGTAAAAAAATTATAATATATATCGTAAGAACAGTGTCCCCCTCCGGGGATCTACCTATGAACAATTATATACCCATTCATCAGATTGAAGAGTATATTATCGCTACCTAAGTTGGGAATAGCAGCATTACGAAAAACTCCAAACCCAGCGTAATCCATGCACATATCCAAACACAATCACATGACACTGACATCTTTGACATGGAATCGACGCCAGGACGGGATCCAGGTCGCAGTTCGTTGAGAAGGAATATTCTCCATCCCATAGCGATGCCAGACCATTTTGGACACGCCAAACTCCTTCGGCTGTTCAAAAAAATAGAAGAGAGGGAAAAAAGACGCACTTTGCAGCTCACCGAAGGTATGAATAAAGTAGGCTAGAACGGAAAGGCTCTCCCGGGTGATATGACTCGGGGGAAAGGGAAATAAAAAAAAGGAAACAAAAGAATGATGGGGCATAGAAAACACCAACGTCGGCAGCTGTCGGTATGGTGATCATGAGGGCATGAAGTTTGACCCTCATAAGGAGGATGGGACAATCAAGACGTATCAACAAAGTGGAGAAGGGGAAGAAAGATGGGAAGGTATAAGAGCCAGTTCACGTGGCTGATAGTCAGCCATATCGTACACACTAGAGCCGCAGCCAACGTATCACCGCGGTCCGGAATTATTCAAGTTCACTTCCACCGGAGCCGGGGGCACTGAGTTGGACGATGCGACGTGTGCCCGCAAAGCGGCAACTTCGGTGCGCAAACCTATCAGCTCATCGTGCATTGTCCGCACGTATGCCCAAAGCTTATCGATTTGGCTGGCGTCATTGGAACTGGAATCCGGCCCATCGAATCCTTTGAGATGAGATAGACTGTGGGTACTGGAGTGGCTGTGTGAAGGAGTGTGTTTGGTTGCAGCTTGCATGCCAAATCGAGCATCCGGGGAAGTCATACCCGGCGGCGGAGGCAGCTGTGGCGCACCTGGCTGGGGTAGGGGCAAGCCTAATGTAGGTGGTGCGTGGTTCGAAGATTGATTCGCTCTCCCGAAAGAAGACTGCGGGTGTGGCAAGGACTGTCCCATACCGGGAGAGTGTGCGCGATGTGGCGGTGCACTGTCATGTTGCGATGAAAGAGCGTTCGGAGACAGCGGCTTGGGACTGTCACTGATATTGTTGGAAGGGAAGATAGAGGAGCTCGAGGTGAGTCCCGCAGGAGGGAAAGTCATGTGTGTAGACTGCGAAGCTGATGTCGACACGTTTCCACCATGATTGGCTGGGGGTGGGAAAAGGTGGCTGGGACGACTGGCGGCAATTGGCGGGTAGGTGTTCGACTGGCGTGAGTGAATTGAATCAGACCGAGCAACTGTATCTGCCTCATGCTTGCGGATGCTTGGCATGGTCATTCGTCGCTCGTCTTCTTCGTCCATGCGCTCAGGCTCTGCTGTATACATCAACCCATCCATGTCGTCCTGTCCCCCGGTCGTACCATCGCCATACTCATCGTCTCCAGCAAAGCTGCCCATACTCGCGCGTCGACCCGCGCAGCCTCCCTGTCCTTTATTGTGCCGAGCAAGCGCATCACCTCTGGCGAAACGACGTCCACATTTTGGACAGATGTGTGGTCGCTCGCCGGTGTGCAGCTTTGTGTGACGCTTCAAATCGTGTAGTCTTCGGAAACGTGACTGGCAGGTTTGACAAACGAAAGGTTTTTCCTGGCTGTGGGTGAGCAGATGGCTCTTGAGATTATGTTGCCGCGTAAATTCTGTCGCGCAGTATGGGCAGCGGTGTTTCTTCGCTGACGGAGAGCGAGGGCTGCCTCGATTGTAGCCTGCGTTCGGTAGGCTCAGCCCGCGACGCGGATCATTAATATTACCCGTAGGCATTGGGTATGAGAATGCTTTGCCATCGTGGTCGATCTCGGAGTCATCGCGCGACCGTCGATCACCATCCTGAGAATTGGATTCCTCGATAGGACCAGGGCTCGCTACAGTCGAGGTATGAATTAGTGAGTTGTGATGATGGTCGTTTGATCCGTAAGGGTCCGATGGCGATTCGGTCGCGTGCGAGTCGATCTGCATATGCTCCGGGGATGCATGGACTGAAGGCTCATGAATCGGGGCACCTGGCGACTTTTCGCTAGCACCGAGAGCCTCCCGGGCCACCTGTGAGCTGTTTCGTTCAGCATCCTTCTCATGCTCCGGCCGATCCGCCGGTACTGATGTTGGACTTGTCATCGGAGGAAGCTGATCTCTGGATCGCGAGACGTGTAGGCCGGCGCTCGCAATCGAGCTTAGGCTCTCGGGTTTGGAGGATTTAAACAAAGAGAGGGGTTCAGAGCTGGTGATGGAATTTCCGGATAGCGAGTTGGAGACGGCAATGGGCTCGTTATTCGACATCAACGTCGCCATGGAGAAGAAAGGTTTCGCGCCAGCCTCAAAGGGTGGACGAGTAAATGCGACAGCTACTTTGGATGTCATGTTAGGGTCATGTAAGGAGGATTGAGGGGAAACGAGCTTGACTAACTTTCATCCACCGGGATATATCAAAGATGTCAAACAGACGAGGTTGGGGGGAAAGAGAGCGAAGACCAGCGCGTGTGGGGCGTTTCTCACGAGTGTGGCGCAAGCTGACGAGTGATTTCAGCTTTGAACCTGTCAAGATCCACCTGAATGGTCCCAGGGGCTTAATCCTTTAAAATCGGGATCGGGAAATGAGTGGATGAGATTCAATGGCCTGAAGTTTGGAATGGGAACAAAATAAGAGAGATGGGGAATCTGAGTGGTGAAGACAGAGAAGTGGATGGTAATTATCATTCACACCAGTCACCGTCTATGATTCGACGAAGGCAAAAAAACAAAACACGCAAAGAGCGTGAAGGTGTGAACAGAAACCGGGCAGGGGATATGTTTGGTGGGGACTAGAGAGGTCGAGGCTCTAGGAGAAATGAACTCTTGAGGCAGTGAAGTACTGGGTACCTTGTGTTTCACAACAGTCACCATGTATTGATAAGTATACAGTACCTTGTTAAGATTGAGGCTGTGTAGACCGCTAACACAGTGTGGCTGGCTCGTGGGGCACTTCCTGCGGCTGGCCTGTCTTCAAGAGTACACGTTGCCTTACATTTCCTTACATTGCTTACATTTCTTATACTTTACCCAAGTATAAGAATTCACGATCTACATCTAGAGGCTGCACAGTATGAGATCATGTCTCTTCAAACCGGTATTCTTTCTGGCCTTAGTAAGTGCAGGCAACCGGAGTGATGTCACCTGGGGACATGCGCACAATATAGGGTATATAATATAATACATTCTAATTTCAATTAATTGGAATGCCTGGTCTTTCGGAGATCTGCAGATCGAATGGATATGCTTGTATTAAAGGCTTTGTATGTGTATTCCTCTCCGATGTATACTATACATACTGCATATACGCAGACCCTAGGTAATATACTGACTCATTGGTCGCTGGCCACTTGTATCCTTTGATTACATTACTAGCATGTATATTTTCCAAGGCTGCCTTGGTAATACAAGGCGCAATACATTTGCTGCGCCCTGTTTCAAGCCTTGTCCGGAGTCCTAACGTTGTGCGTTGCGAGCGCCTCAGGCGACTGTCAGGATCGACGTCCACGGGGAGCCCCAGAACAGTACATACCATTTCTTATAACTTACAATGATTGAGAAGCAGATCAAACTACATCCTACAACACATGACATTAAGGAATAGAACTCTGCGGAATCTCCTGGGGACCTTAACCTTTCACAGTTGTGAAGGTTGCTTACCCCACTCCCAAAAATAGCTGTGGCTGAGACTCATCATTCCTTATATATTAACTCTAGATGCCTTCATGAAACGCGAATCTTTTTAGCCAAGTCTCACCCATGACTTGGAATGTTTGTGTTAAGCCACGTGCTCGAGATGATGGCTGTTTCGCCCACCGTGGCATTGAAGTTATCCATCAAGAATTGACTCTGTCACAATCCCAAACAGGTATCTTCTATAGTAGGTACGAATGACCATCTGTTTGCCATCAGCAATCATCCCCCTACACATTGTATTATCCTTGCGGAATAGATATCCATGCAGTTGCCACCCTAAAGTCTCTACTTACTCCGTTATGCCTATGATCAAACCCGATGTATTCTGGACTTTCAGATGACTATAATAGCAGGTGGCATTCTTGAACCCGGGGGGGGGGGGTTCGCTAGAGTATCCATAGGTGCGTTACAGATAGGGTGCAAGGCAGCTGAATTTCAGGGACAATATTTCTGATCCTAGGGAAAGCTAACCTACGGTATCCTAACATTATACTACTTCCGAAAATCGGTCTCCACTCTTTGACCGATTCCCGAACCTAAGGCCAAGATCAACTAGAATTATAAGGATACTAACATCAGTGCCACTATAGCAGGTTTCTTGTGTTATTGGAAAACACCTAAATCAACGATACTAGGTGAGTACTACTCCGTACATGCTCATGTCTTATTAGTGTAGGCATAATGCACAGCTGTATGATTGGCCACTGTCCCAAATCAATCACACCAATAGAACATAGTTTCTGCCTGTTCACCGTCTCTGCAGGCAACGCCTCCCCCAGCTGCCTATCTCCTCTCCAGCTCTCAGACTTCTGCAATCCTTAGCTTGTTGCCTCTACTTCTGCGAGCACGGAACGGAATCCGTGTGTTCCCTCACAAATGGATGGACTGTCAGTTTTGAGCAGGTTTTGGTTCGATCGTTGTCTTGATTTCTAAGCTCTCCGCGACAACAAACCTTACCTACCCTGTTTGGGAAGTTCTCACTCTCTACCGCCTCCGCCAGAACTATTGCAGCCTACGCCTGAAACTTGGTATACTACAGGCATTAGCGCTTATAGCAATATTTCCTGACGCTAGGCAAATCGTGGATCGAGTAGAAAAGCATGCCCGGTGCCAAAACAAACGAGGTGATAGTGCTACGAAAATCAATATCGGAAGATTGCACAATGCTAGCTGTTGCCGTATGTATGAGATATCACTCAATCAAGTACGAGAGTAATTCTGGTATATTCATAGGCAGCTATTATAGCCCAAGTTGCTATTACAGGCTTAGAACTTGAAGATCTTAGCAGGGTCCATTGGATTGCAGAGGCTGCATTTGTGACCAGCTTGACAGCTGGAGGTCTATCAATCTTTTATGCTTGCTTGGTGCAACAAGAAACGAGCAGTTGTTTCACCATTGATGATGCCAAAGACTTTTTTTTAGCAAGCCCAGCAGTTCAGAAGAAATTGAACTCCTTGAGCAAGATCTAGAGCGTTTGTGATCAGAGATACGAAAGAAACATTCGAGACATCAAAACATGGCAGAACTTAAATCAACGATAAAGCTGTTCAGGGGCAAAAATAGATGGAAATCTGCTTCCTTCTATTCTATTCTTATGGTGAAGGCACCGTCCATTCATTTGAAATATGCGATGCCCTTTAGGAATTTAACCTGATGTGCTGCATAAGGCAACGTATTTGACCGAGAGTGAGTGTAATATAAATCTAATTATCTTTCTGTCACTGATCGTATTTTAGGGAAAGTTTTCAACCGTTTAACGGCAACGAACTTACCGTTCAAGTCGCTAAATCTGCACTATACAGCGTTCAACTACTCCTTGAATCTCCTAATAATGAATGGTCAAATTCCCTGCCCAAGGTTGGCGCATTTCTCGGGACGTATTGCCCTCACTTTTACATCGGGTAAGAGTCTCCCATGACTATGATGCGCTTGGAGTCGTACTGTAACAATAGGGTCTCATTTCTTAAGACTTAGTGAACTAAAAGCTGTAAATAATAATATCCCAGGGATGGATCGATTTAGTCATAAAATCCCCAATACCTGTGCTTACGACCGCCGGCCATCCGTCTCTGCACGTAGTATCATCTAGGACATAAACCTAGGTCGCGAATCCGGCATCTGTATTGTTTGAACAGACCAAGCATCGGTGGTGACTATTGTTGTACACCTAAAGAACACGCTTTGGATTCATTAATCGAACGGAATGTGTAGTGGATTCACTTGGAATATCATTTAGACTTGGGTCTGTTGACTTAAACATCCAACGGTAACCTACCTGCGCCGTGGCATAATATACAAGTATGCAGGGCTTCACTGCAGCAATTGAGATTCAACTATGATCAGGTGGCTAGGAATATTATGATGGAACATAAGTTTGTGCTTATATATTCGCAGATGAATTCAAAGCAAACTGAACGTGCAGCCATTTTAGGAAGTCGGCGATCGACATCCTTTCTTGGAAAATGGTATTTTAAGAAGCCTAGTGAACTGAGTTCCACAAAGATACTGGCATATATATTCAACTGATAAGGAATATGTACCCTTTCATAGGTGAAGATATACCTTCGCTAGCTCGCTTTTCATCAACCCCGTTATCCTTGCTTGCAACCTGAAATACTCTATATGGTTCATTTCGTAGAATGACTTCGTTTTGGAAGTACAGTCGCTTGGTTCTCGACTTTAGATGGTTTATGAGCTTTGTAACAAAAAGGATTATGCGAAACCTACAACGAGCTATTGCAAATTGAACAGTCTGCGATTTGGGAATACGAGTGACAGCTATCAAGATAGCCATTTGCATGTAAGCATTTGGGAAGACGGGCATATGAGCTCGACAGCGAATCAGAATGCATTAGAACAGCAACTTGGTGATGTTTTGGAAATCTTGCATTTGAATAAGGATGTCACCTTCCCCTTGTCCTGGGGGTCGGTCGTAAAGCGCAACAAATGGGATGTTCAAAGGGGCCCCGATACCTCTGTTGGGCTCCACGTAGACCTCCTGCGCCGAGTAAGGCTGCTGGATAGGGGTTAGTTGGGGTACAAGAGGAGGGATGTTTGGAAATTGCGCGCGGAGTGAATCGAGGTAAACACGAGTGAGTGGGCGTGGAGCGTTGTTGGGAGCTAATTGCCACTTTTCGAATGTGACCTCGGCCGGCTGCATGGAGATGACCATAACAATGCGTACCTCACCCTGCGAATCCACGAACCATCTCTTGGCGTCTTCGCGAAGTCGATTTAGGGATTCTGAAACCCCTGTCTCGATGACAAAAGTCGGCCATCCTGACCTTGGAAGCCCGATAGGGCAGCGAGCTGGTGGCAAAAATGCTTGATCTGCTTGTTTGCCTTTGCTAGTGGTGGGCTTATAGGTCGCTGTTGCAACCCAGGCTGCGTCCGACCAGTCGAGTCCCATTGCATCAAGCTTTTTATCGATCACCCTGGTAACCTTGTCTGTGGTTGCATCGTGGGCTTTTGACGGGACCACCTTGATAAGACCAGTGGTTCCTTCCCACTGGAAGCGGTATTGAATGCCCCCAAGGCTGCTGTCGTGCTCTTCGTCGAGCTTTTGTATCGTCCGTGTAGACAAATTGAGGACAACGATCCACTGGTTACCATTTCCGTTCTCTTTTAGGGACTCCAATAGCTTCTTTGCTTCGATCTGGAGATTCTTGAGACGGGTAAATGTTCGTACAACATGCTCCGGGGGAAGGGCGCACATAAGGGAAGTGGAATATCTGTCACTCTGGGACATTTTGTGAGGTGGGAGGGTACATTCGGAATCAGTGTGATCAATAGAGACGGACGACACGGTGATGGATGTATATAGGCGGATACCCGGTAACCGTGCCACCTGATTGGACGCGAGATCTTGACGACCCTCAACTTAAACTTGAAATTCTCAAGTAAGCTATGGTCGAAATTGAAGAGATAAATACATACCTGGTTATACTGGTCTCGTACGTAGCGTTATCAAGCAACAATTGCATAACAGGATGGGATTGTATCGAGGAAAGGCGGTTACCATCTATCCAAATTAACTATCATGAGGTGATCACTTGACCTGGTACCTTCCTTTTCCTGGCCTGCCAGCTAGTGGATGTATTCTTCCCCTCTTCCAGATAATGAGGTGATGCCTAACTGACTGAGCAGGTTGGGAATTGTTACGGCCACAACAGGTTTTACTAACTAGCGGCACAACAAATTATGTAGTTAACACCCGCATCACATAGTTACCTGTTGTGTCCGTATCATCCCATTCCCCCGTTAACTATTAGGCAATCAGTTTTGTGGTGTGGTTAGTTACTCAAAAGCTGCGGTGTCCTTAATACCAATTCACCTGAGTGATCACATGACTGGACTGCCGAGAGCATGAGCCTGATCGACCTCATAATAGCGGCGGCAGCCCAGACAGGAAAGCTCCGCCTGGCGGACATTCTCCTGTGTATATAGGTGCATATCTGTAGGCGAGGTGGCGTCCCTAGCTGGGCGCCAATCTCAATATTCACACATGCGATCTAGAAAGTATACTTATATCTAGCTCGGTTCTAAATTAGGAATGAGAACAGTGAGAAGGTTGGACAATATAGTGGTCCATATTACTAAAAAAAGACTTAGAGAGCCCTGGAGATATAGAAAGTCATATGCGCGTGAGCAAAGCACTATCACAGGTGTGACCAAAAACAAAAATAGCTATGTGCACAGACCTTTTCCTTTCAAATCAAGGGATTCAAGGTGCTTAATCGAGTTCTGTGACTGGACCTCGAAATTGAGTTGACCGGGTGTTTTCATCCAGTCGTTCACCTTCCCTGTTTTCCTCTCGCATTCATCTCATACACTAGAGCGGTTCTGCATTGCGTCTGGTTGGACGATCGGCGGGTTAGCGCCGGGGTTGGGGGTGACAAGAGGTGCATCGGGAGCAAGTATGGCCTCTACTCGATCTTACTGGCCCGTTACTCCACTGTGACAAGCTTGGCTGATCACTCCCGCCGGCCAGTCACACTCCCCTCTCAACGCCTCGAGGTACAGTGCACTTGCAGAGGGCTTGACAGGCTTTGGATCTTCCAATCATGTCTCTGGTTACTGCAAAATCCATCTCGGCGCTTACTCTGGCCCGCCCTGGGTGACGAGAATCAAAAGTCTGCATTTTGGTCCCCCGCCTCTCGGATGCCAGTACTCGTTATTGATATTCAACCCAGGCCGGTTCCTGTCACTTTCTAATTGTTTTCCTTTTTCTTTCTTTCTCACCATCTACTGGTTAATATACTTGTGTACGCAGGTTTCGCACACAGTATCCGTGATTTTACTGCAAACCTATAGTTCAATCGTTGTCCCACCGCACTTGAGGTTTTTGGTGTATATTCGACTCGTTTCGGGTCGCTTTATTCCCCTCAAGCCAGTCTTGTAGCTGTCAAGTCGAGAGCTGGACTCTTGACCTAATTGTTTGATTTCTTTCCCTACATTGCTCATCGATACAATGGCAGTATCAGACCATAGCCGAGACAACTCTCCTATGACCTACGAGCCCGTTGTTCCTACGGATCTCACCCGCGGCTCTTATCACAGTGCAATGGGTCCTCTACCACAGCACACTCCACAGCATACCGTGCCAGAGACTCGCAGCGGCTCTGATACAAGTAATGCCTCCCTCAAGAGTCCGCGCACTGCTCGATTCGCCGAGGCCACATCAATTCACTCTCCCATCGATCACACAGAAGCTGGACGATCACCTTTCGCCGATCCTCCCAAGACTGAGTCAAAAGGAGATGTTGGAGATGTGGGATTCGGTTACGTGGCAGCGAACAACGCCGCCCAGCATGCGGAGGATCAGGTGCCAATGTCGCCTTTCCGACCTGACTTGAGGGTACCGCAAACTGCCAAGTCATTGAACCCGCTCAGTCCAACCTTCCGCGAGGAGTACATGCTTGAGAAGCAAGAAAAGAAGGCCGAAGTCGAGAATGCCCGAGACCTGGTAAGAAAGCCGCCCTACGATGCCAATCAAATGCAATTTACTAATTGTCACCAGAGAATCAAACTCCGTGTTCGGATCGCCAAAGTCTTCCTGCGTTTCGTCAACTTCGGCTGCAGTCTGATTGTATTGTCTCTGCTAGCCGTGACATTGACTGTCTTCAACGCAACCAGACATCTTCCCACTCGTAACAGTCTTCCTGCTTGGGCAGAGGGCACCAACCCATGGGCCCAGTACCTTCTGTTGAGCATGGCTTGTGTTTCCTTAGTCGCCTGCCTACTCGTCTTTTATGCCTACCGAAAGGGTGGCCACGGACGCGCCGAAAAAGCCGCCGTCTACTACACCAGCTTCTCTCTCGCCTTCTTCGGCCTGAACCTGATCATGTGGATTGTCGGCGCAGCAGTCTACCAGCACTCCAAATCATCAGGAGAAAACAAAGACATGTGGGGATGGTCCTGCGCACAGAACACCCGCGAACAGATCTACCACAATAGCGTCGACTACGCTCTCCTCTGTCGTCTACAAGACTGGGGCCTCGTCTGCGCCATCATCGAAATCGTCATCGAAGTCCTAGTCATCATGATCTACGTGGTAGTCTTCTACCGCGTGTGGAGCAAGCGCAAGCTGATGAAGTCAATGGATACCCGCGACAACGCCCGTTCAGATCTATACCTCGCCCAGCTGCGTCTGCAGTCCGCCCCGAACACCCCCGGCTTCCCAGGCTTCACTTCCTACCCTCCCAAGTCCCCCTTCTACGCCGCCGACGCTGTAGATCTCTACTCAGATGCCGAGAAGGGCATGGCTCAACCCCAAACTACTCAGTATGCCTCACCGCGCTCGCCTACCCGCCCTACCCCATCCTTCCAGCTCCAGCCCCCTCCTATCAAGGTCCAGCAGGCAACCCCACAGTCTGCCCAGGAGGAGTTTGCTCCTCCTGCCCCTTACTCGCCGCCGCCTCCTCACAGCCAGCGCCAGAATCCGCCTGTGAATAAGGGTAGTGCTCCTGGTGAGCGTACCTACGATTCCGTGCCGATTCCTGGGGCTTATCAAAGTCCCATGGTGCCGGCGTTCCCGCCCCCTGTACGCAAGTAAATGTTTATGATTGCAAGATTTCTGTCTTCTTTTGACTTGGAGTGTTTTGGTTCGATTCAATTTCCCCTTGTGGGAAATGAAAGTGCCTGAAAACAATGAAAACATGAAAAAAAAAGTGGAAAATCCGAAAACTACAATTCAGGCCGTCATTTTTGATTGATCTGTTTCAAAATCGGACACTCGTTCGACTTTCTTTTGTTTACCCTCCTCGTTATGGAGTTTAATGTACACCCTGGAGCACGGGGAGTTTTGGTGCGAGATACAGATACCTATTTGGACTTTGGTACACTGTGTGTATTTACTCTTTTGATCTTTGGTTTTGTCCAATGAATGAATATATTGCAATGATACATAAATGAACTCCTTACCGACTTGTTCCGTGCGCCGTAGACTGGAAATTTGACAGGCATTAGTGCTGGCATCCAACAAGGCGATAAAGATCCTACCTTAGTTTAAGTCTACTTGGGTATTTGATTAAAAATTATGTGAAATTGTTTGAATTCATCACAAGAAGTAAACCGAAGAGGCAAGAAAACCCAAGAACGCCATTCACTGCGAACAGGGAAAAAGCAAAACCACAACGCCGCAAGGATCTACCAAGTCACACCGTCCTGTCCATCTCGTCACTCGTGACCAACATGCATACTGTAGTGTTTCTACCCGTGTCAACTGTACATGCAAGTAAAAAAAAAAACAAGGCTCTCACATCCCGCCTGCCTCTTCAATGATAGCGTGCGTATCCCTAGATACGAAGATTTCTTCCAGGGTAGCCGCATTAGCGCCTATCTTGCTGAGATCGCTCTCGAGTACGAGACCCTGTTCGTTGGCAAGATGCAGAAGACAAATAAACCCGAATGACGTGCTGATATCACGTAGGGTCTCAGTCGGGTAAACTGTCTTGAGGGAGTTCATGATTTGCGTGAATCGGAGACGGCCATTACTCTTGGAATCGGCAGGTTGCTCTGGGCTCTCGGCCTTTATTGTGGGAGAGGCAGGGACATCTGCTTCACTCTCGGGTTCGGTTGGAGCCTCACTGGACACGGCCCCTGGTTGTGAAGCCGAGGCGAAATCCACAGCATCGACCAGGCGCTCGCCCATGCCCTTCCACATCTCCGTTTTGAGGCGCCGCACATCAACCTTCTTTGCCACACGTGCGTATGCCACGTAGTCTGGTCGTGCACGACGACCACCTTGTGTCACTAATTGTGAGCCATAACCGCCAGCTCCGGGTCGGCTAGGTGTGGCGCCAACCATGTTCAAGAGCGCGCTGAGTCCAGTTGCCCCGCCTGCTTCCCCGGCTGATGTGCCTGGAGGCCCGTCTGCCGGCGGAGAAAGCATCTCCCGGGCATCTGCGAACGGCAGGTTGTCGTCGTCATCGAGATCCATGCCGTTCGGGAAAGCAAGACCATCGTCATCAGCAAAGAAATTGGCATCATAGGCACCGGCAGCACCTTCCTCGCCGGTGTTTTCTTCCGGCTTGCGATTTGCCCAAAACGCCTCGTCCATATCTCCATTGCCAGCGGTCAAATCTTGGCGACGGCGTTTGCCCAAAATCTTCTTTGAGCCCATCTTTGCCTTTGGCTTGAGGAACAATGTGAGTAGATTGCGGGAGTTGAAATGCTTGTCGTCGGGAAGAAGGTTACGACCCTTTGTCTTCCACTGTGTCTTGGGTAATGAGACGGCAGAGTTGGAGCTGGCCGGAGTGTAGATTAATTCTGCGATAGCAGCATCCAGAGGGGCAGCAAAATCAATCTCGAAAGGCTCCTTCTCTTTGCGCGGCTTGGGTGCCGATGTAGCGGGTGTTGCATGCTCTTTGATTCTTCGAATCTTCCAATGTTCTGGGCCAGCCCAGTTCTTCTGTAGCGCGTTGTCGAAGTAGCTCAGAATGTTTTCGTGGTCGTGACTATTATTTTGATGAGACATAGAGATGGCATATGCGTCTTCGTCGCCATCGTCGCCCTCGCCATCATTATCTCCATCGTGGGCAACCCGGTGAACGTTCAACATCGGTTCCAAGGCGGCTTCCCGAGCCCATACCTCTCCTCCGTCACCAAACCCAGTGTCACCACTGAGATCAAATCCGGCTAGAGTAGCATCATCGTCATCAAATCCGACAGCGTTGTCATCATCGAGCATGATACCAGATGGATCGTCAGGTGCTCGTCCGTCTTCGTCCATCTTGTCGTGCCGCCATTCCTCTGGCGCTTTGAGGAGAGGGAGATCCAGTGACCCGCTGGGATCGCCCAAATCTAGGTTCTTGAGCGATGGACAGATATCTTGCTCATCAAGGCGATCTAAATCTGGGAAAAACTGGCTCGCTAGCGTGGTAAGGTCGATCTCTGTGTTGTCTTCAAAGGTATCGCTTGCGGGTTTGTGGGTTGGTTCTGTTTGATCCTCGGTCTGCTGGTCTGGATCCGTAGACTCTTGGCGGTCATCTTCGGCGGTTTTGGTACTATCGTCCACAGCATCGTCGCTGCTGTCGAACACAATTCTTCCATGGCTATCAATAGCAAGGTGGTTCAGAAGCAAGCCCTTGGCGCCTCCTTCATCAAAGTCTGCCGATGCTTTCTTGAACAGTGGGTCCACGGCAAACTCTAGCTCGAACTTCTTCAGTTGCAACGAGGAGAATGATGGGGCGAGGGTAGCCTCATGGGAACGTGTCTAGACATTATCTAGTTAGTCAAACCCTGGATATCTGGCACCGTATAGACCATACCTTTTTCCGCGACTTGTGAGCCTGACCATCTTCGCCTTCCTCGTCCTCATCGCCATCTTCCACCTCCTCTCCGCGCCCTCTCTTATCGCGACTATCGGCGAGTCCACTCAGAAGTTTTCCCGTCTCCGTGGCGACACTGTCCACTCGGCTGGTGTAGATTTTAACACAACCGTCAAGGGTGCAACTGGCCTTTTGGAAGTTCACGCTATCTCCTTCCTTCAGCAATGACATATCGTGAAAGTAGTCGATCAGTGCAAAGTTCCAAGAGTTATTCGCATTGATTTTGTTATCGGTCGCCATCTTCATCCACTCCTCAAAATTCGCCAAGATAGGCACGCGCTTCATCGGCGTCACTGCGCGGCCATTGACGTCGCTTGTGCGACCGCGGTGACTCGAGGCTCGGGGAGTCGCGGGACTGTCGCTTCCTTCACGATCGTAGGTGTATCGACGGGGTGGCATAGGCGTCTTGACTGCGGCTTTAATCTCGCTCATTTGGCGATCATGACGGGCTTGACGAGCCTCCATACGGGCTGCCTTCTCGCCTTCATCGTCGTTGAGGGGGATCCTGATGCAATTAGTTGAATGTCATAGCCAGATATCCAGATACGCACTTGACCGGAGAGTTTTTATGCGGGGTCGAGTTGCCGTTAGAACGGCGATGCACCTTATTTGCGACACGCGGCATGGTTGCGGTTGCCCCCGATAGGGGAGATAACAGTTGAAATGGAAGGTTTGATGGAGGGGGTTGATATCGAAGCAAAACAAATGGGGAAGTCAACAAACATACGGTGGGTCAGATAGACCAACAACGCACACTCTTTCACGTAATCAGAGATTTATGCCTGAAATATCGGGCATTAAGTTACCCAAGTTGGGCTTTCCGTTGGTTCATCCTTTGAACCTCCCACAAGCCGTTTCTCCTAATATTTGATCTAAGTCATGCTATCAGACCATCGTATATTATATCAGTTACAATTATCCTACCTGCGATCGATCCTTCTGACCTATTTTCTGCAGAGGTCGGTGCAACGATCGGCGGACGTGCATTGGCCCACTCCGAGGTCCGCCACAGCTCCGCCACAGCTCCGCCCAGTTGACATCACTGCACTCACCTCACTCGCGCTGGCAGATACAAACCAACACCTGTCGGACGCGTGGGGTATATATTATACAAGCATTGAGTCTTCAATGCTGATCTTCTTGGTCTAGGTTGGGCTACATAATCTAAAGTTTTCGGCCCACGATGCCGCTATACTTCTCGTCATAATGAACCAACTGCTGTCCTTCCTGCAGCCTGCCGTCCGCAAGCCCCAATATTCAATTCGACCATTCTATACCACGCTGTTGGTATTTACACTTATTGCAACAGCGAAGTGGTTACTGGCTGGTACTACAAATGAACATGCGCAGGTTGCGCAACCAGGTACAGGGCCACATGTAAACCTGTTCAAACGAGAGGGTGAACTAGAGGTATCTTTTCCCTTCCCGAATCCTTTCCTGTGAGATGATGCCGAAGGCTAAATGATGTTCTGTCACACAATGGTATAGTGCCGCTTGGTCCGCAACGTCGAAAATCAGTGTGCCTACGTCCGCGCCAACTGCCCCGATCACGAGGATGGCCTGATCTCATACCTTCAATTTTACTATTGTGGGCTGGCTGATGCAAAACCGGTAGCATTCACGATATTGATCCTCTGGCTATCACTGCTCTTCAGTACCATCGGCATCGCGGCAAGCGATTTCCTATGTATTGATCTCAGTACATTGGCCAGCATCCTAGGTTTGAGCGAGAGTCTTACAGGCGTGACATTCCTTGCATTTGGCAATGGAAGCCCCGATGTGTTTTCCACCTTCGCCGCCATGCGGTCGAACAGTGGGAGCTTGGCGATTGGTGAGTTGATCGGCGCGGCGACTTTTATTACCTCTGTTGTTGCGGGCTCCATGGCGTTAGTTCGGCCGTTTAAGGTCGCGCGAAGGAGTTTCGTCCGAGATGTGGGCTACTTCATAGTGGCCGTCGTTCTCAGCATGTTTATGCTTGCCGATGGGAAACTCCATGTATGGGAGTCGGCTGCGATGGTAGGCTTGTACGGCTTTTATGTCGTAATGGTGGTGACCTGGCACTGGTATCTGGTACGACAACGCCGGAAGAATGAGAGAGACCTCGCAGCGCGAGCTCACTTTTATATACCGGAGAACCAAGAGCTGGAGATCGAAGAAGCCGTTGAGGATGATGATCCCGGTGTAGCATCAGAGTCACGAAGTCTTCTCCGCGGAGCCTCAACCGAGGATTTCGATCTTTTGGAACGCGCCGAGGCTGTTCCTCTATGGAAAGAAGAGGACGGCGAGGACGACGAAACGCGCAACCGCTATTTGGCTGAAATCCGTGATAATATGCACGTCTATCGGCCTGTGAAATCGAGGCGTAATACGATGAACCCCATTCGACCCAGTCTTGTCGGTGCATTGGAGTTCCAGTCTGTTCTTCACTCGCTACAGAAGTCAAGAAACACCCGTCGCAATCCCACAATAGGCCTGAACAGCTATTCAGATGACGGTGACTCTGATTTCGACACGCGCTCGGTAGCATCGCATCCTCGCGCCAGTCGACCATCTGCCAGTAACGACCGCCTGTCGCCATCCAGCGCAGCAGGTTCCTCCCGGGTTCGAGCTGTGTCGGCGAACGATGCTGCGGGGTTAAAATTTGACTCTAGTGTTCTGGAGCCGTCGCCAACACGAGGTCCATTGCTTACAGTAAGCAGACCTTCTTTTGAGGATACTTCGGGACAAGAAGCCATGGAGTCACGCCAACTCCCTCCAATTGACACTGACATGGCACTGGGTGTGTCTTCTGCGGATCGGTCGCCGAGTCTGAGTCCAGGCACGACAGGTCCTCAGACTCCTGACCGGCTCGCTCCATCCGACGCTTTTAACCCTCCCAATTACCACAACGGAGAGACAAATGAACGGCCCTCGCTGTCAGTGTCTCCTAAGGGTACTGCAACCCGCCTTCAGTCAGGCTTCGGGTTAGAAAGCCCTTCGGTGCCCTTCCCAACGTATACTGATTTACCCTCCATGCCGTCCTCACGATCACCCAGCATTCGACTCCCAAATTCAACCAGCCCGCTAGAACGGCTACAAGTCCACGATGACTATGATGATTTTGCTCATGTAGGCCGCACTTTCCACAAATACCTGAGGAATTGGTGGCCTGACTCGATCCCCCCTCCCCAGCAGATTGGTTGCACACTCTTCCCGACCTTGGTGGGATGGAAATCTAAAAATGTCTGGGAACGACTGCTCGGTATTATTGCAGCCCCCAGTGTCCTGCTGCTAACCATAACGGTCCCAGTCGTTGAGCCAGAGGCACCAGAGTCTGTGGAACCGGACCCCATACCCTCGGTGATCATTCAGAACATCGACGAGGAAGGGAATCCCTCCCCAAGGGTTAGACTTCCAGCTGATAGCCCAGTGATCGCGGCTCAGGCACATGACTACGGCGGATCCGTCTCTAATGTTCCGCCAACGCACCCCCATCGGAAGTCGTCGTATGAACAGACTACTCGCACGCGATGGGACTCAGAACTCCCGGCAGTGCCAGTGCCAGGCTCACCTTCTTCGAATCCCGTGCCAACAAAGGACTGGAATCGCTGGCTGGTCTCCATCCAGCTTTTCACAGGCCCCTTCTTCGCCGTGCTCATCGCCTGGGTGACCATAGACGAAGACCGTCAGCCGCGCAACCTTATTCTTCCCTCCCTCGTCTCCCTCTTATTCTCCTCCATCTGTCTCACAGTTCTGATAATCAGCACCCGTCGTCAACGAAACAGCCGACGTCTCAGTTCAAATATTTCCCTACCACTTCTCCCCCATGAATCCCAACCTCACATCCACACCCTTCCAACTCCATGGCGGCCCTTCCTCTCCCTACTTGGCTTCTTAGTCGCCATAGCCTGGATTGCGACGATTGCTACAGAAGTTGTCTCCCTCCTCAAGACCATCGGCGTCGTGCTCAACATCTCTGATTCCCTACTCGGATTGACCGTTTTCGCAGTCGGGAACTCGCTCGGCGATCTAGTCGCTGATGTCACAGTAGCCCGACTCGGGTATCCGGTCATGGCACTGAGCGCCTGTTTCGGTGGTCCAATGCTCAATATCCTCCTCGGTATCGGGCTTGGTGGTCTGTATATGACCGTCAATGGCGGGAACCAGAGACACAATGAAGCACTCCCGGATGTCACCCCTGTGCAAGTCCCCTATGAGATCGCCATCTCCAAGGTGCTCATCATCAGCGGCGCGACGCTTTTGGTTATCCTCATTGGGCTTTTGGTTGTTGTTCCTATGAACAATTGGAGAATGGATCGCAGGATTGGCTGGGGTCTTATCGTTGTTTGGTGTGTCAGTACCCTAGGTAATGTGATTGCGGAAGTTGTCTCGTGAATGGGCGTTGAAGTCTTGAATACACAATCGAGAATGTCGACTGTTGCTTAGTTTTTCGTTTGGTTTAATTTGACTGCCGGTGTTGGTCAGGCATAGTGGCGGTTTTATTTTTCTGCTTTCCTGTTTTCAATGTACAGCTAATCGCATGCCGATAGTACAGTCGCATGCCGATAGTACAGTCTTTCTGCATGTAGAGTGAAAGGATTATGATATACCGAAATGCATCCTCATTCAATTCCGAGCTTCCATATCTACATATATACATAGGTTGTAGTATAACAGCGAATACCCTTTCCCATATGAGTCTCTCGGACCCGAGCACGCTGCACTAAATGTAGTGACTAGGAAGAGAGGTGGGTATCGCAATGGCAGAAAGATCACAAGTTGCGAGAGTGTCGATAAATTGCTGCTCCTTTGCAGTTGAAGACTTAAACTAGCCAATGTCTCATGTTTCTGACAACCGGTTGAGATCACATATGGCAAGCACGGTGGCTCTTCAGCATCCCCACCAAGTAACCTCGTAACTACACCAATCCTTCCCCGAAGTCCTCAGGCCCAAATATAAAATTGTCAAAGTCAAAGTTGACACCCTTGAAAATATCATCGAAACATACACCCGCAGACTCATCTACCATCGAGCCATACCCACTGACACCCAGACTAGTGTAAGACTTGCCCGTGATCCTAGCCGCAAGGGTCTCAAATGTGCACAAACATTGCTGGACATAGGGACTCAAGTGTTCATGGATGCGGAGCGCCAGCAGCACACCTTTCCAAGACTGGGAAACAGAGTCTGTGAATAGCTCAGATCGGAACATGGCTGCGAGGAAGGTGGCACCCGCGATGTGAAGGTAGTATATCCTGTACCACCACGGGAGAAGCCCGATGGGCTCATCTGGCTCGAGTGTTTCCTGAACTAATAAAACCACCTGTTGCGCGGCTTCGATGCACATGCTGGCGCTTTCACCGAGGAGACGGTGGCTTAGATTTGGTGATTTTGGCGAGGGGTGGGTCTCGGGTTTCATTGAGTAGAAGCGGGCGAGCATGGGTCTGTATAGAAAGATTCGGTGGTGGAGGTAGCTATATAGAACTGTAAAAATCGACTCTAGTGAGGGTAAGGGATTATTGGCTGACCGAAGATGAAGCAGGTACCGTTCAGCTCGGGACGACCTGTCGGCAACCGTTCTGAGGTTCTGCAACTGCCAATCGCTGGGGAGACTATTTTCCCAATTTTGAAGATATGCATCTAGTTGCAATGCCGAGTTATGGTACTCGGCTTGCTGAGATAGGAATGGAGGGCGAAATCTGGCTGCAAGGCTAGTCCGCGTCTGTATCTGCGCCAACTGAATTTGATCCCCAATTTCGTGGAGTCCCAACACACAGTTATTATGCAACGGGTTTCGGCCTACTTGTTGGGAGCTACTGGCTGGCGGTGATGGTATTAACACCAATGCCGACGTCTTACCCAGCGACCAGGAGATGCATCTGTATGAAGTGAGCTGTTGACGACTATAGGAGAGCGATCCTTTCATGGCTTACCGATCGAGCGCAACACAGCTAGCCCATACTTTCTGTTTCAGACCTTTGTCGTCCGTAGAACCATTTGACGAAGGCGCATCGGCGATATGGCAGCACATGCTCTGCGCAATTCGCATAGCCAGCCCTGCTGTCATCCATGTCTTCTGCTGATTGCTGGTGCAGTGGAGGTATCGATTCATCAACATCAAGCACTGCACGAGCTCGAGTGATCCAGGTTCCCATAGCATAGATTCGGCTGGAAGCAGGGCCCATGCGCGCCGGAAAAAGCACTGCCCTTCCTCGTTTCTCTGGTGTAGCGGGTTTTGTTCTTGTCTTTGAACTGCCAGGGCAAAGACTAGATTGAGAATACTAAACCAAACGTTATAGTTTGCGTAGAGTGGTGTTATTGGTGTTGAATATGCTTTTCCATAGTTCTCAAAAAAACGCTGGCGATCTAACACAGGCTCCATAGGGTCGACATATCGCCAATATATGTCAATCAGTTGATCGGAATATGCCCGGGGAGGCAACTCGGTCGGCGAAGATATGAGATAAGATTGAGAAGATAGGTCAAAATCTCCAAATAATGGGGCGTCTACTAGTGGGACCTGATGACAGGTGGCAAGGGCGAGCCCTGCCCTCGAGTCTATGGCGGCGGCGACCTGGCCGGCAAACCGCCCATGTGCGGTATAGTATGCCCGGTCTTGCTCCAGGTCAGCCTCTGCCTGTGGATCTTTATCCACATGGCGAGGATCGGGTGTTGAATCGGCCATAGGTAGTGTTCTGGTCACTGTCTCCGGTTGGACTTCGAATGAAGTGGCCGAAGATGAGGGGGAGACCAGCGTTGGAACAAGCTTGTGGACTGATGATGCTGGCCCACGAGGGTTACGCGTCGTTTGCTTCACAACGGCACTGATAGAATGGCCATAAGCACACGTCTTGCCTCTAGCCTGGCATGTGGTGCACACTTTACGGTTCATGTCAGCTCTGTGGACGCGCTCTGGGGATCAAAAACAATGGAAGTAAGAGATACCCGGGCGAGCCCCATCACATTTTATCTTCCTCAAGCGACATAATTGGCAGGCATTTCGGACTCTCAGTCTCTGCCTGCGTAAAGGACTTGAAGGTGTGTGCTGGTCAATCATTACTTCGTTCATCAGCCCTGTATTGGACAGTTGGGGACGAGTGCCATCGATCAGGGCTATCTGATTGATAATCAGAGTGTGCATCAATCAGATGCCTTCCCGTTGCAAATGATCCACCTACGGAGACCCACAACGGAAAGCGATTTTATTCGCTGGGAACTCCCACTTCCCGCGAGTTGGCCAATGAAAGAGCAGTCCGTCTTTGATGCCTTCCGCAGGTAAACAGTTATATAGATCGCAAACTACGGCAAAAAGAGCGTTCCTCGTGGACAACACGAGATTGAAATTGGCCTCTCAATACTCTCCAAATATGTCTAATATCGAATCGAAGACTCCTGTCGACGCAGGCGAAGTGGAAAAGAGTCACATCTACGATGGCTCGGGCACCGAGGATGACCCATTCGTGGTGGAGTTCCAAAAAGACGATCCCAGCAATCCGATGAACTGGGGTGAGCTCCGCAAATGGTTCATTGCAGCGATTGCAACTTCCTCGGTCTTTGCAGTGACCTTTACTTCCTCCGCTTACTCGGTGTCGGCAAATGAAGTCTTTCATGGTTTCGACATCAGCAACGAGGTCTTCATTGTCGGGATCTCTCTCTTTGTGCTCGGGTTTGCGATTGGCCCTGCTATATGGGGCCCCTTGGTAAGTTGCTGATTCTGCGTTCCACTTTGAGGGAGCCCAGCTGACCATATTTTGTTTGACAGTAAGTCTCGACGATGTCATCCTACACACATACCATGGCTAACGTTGGCGCAAGATCGGAACTATATGGGAGACAGATCCTCTGGCTTATTACTCACATTGCCATGGTCGCCTTTGTGGGGGGATCCGCAGGCAGCCCAAACGTGGCTACTCTCCTCATCTTGAGATTTTTTGCTGGCACATTTGGGGGATCGCCACTCGTAAACTCTGGTGGAACAATTGCAGATCTCTTTCCGCCTGCCAAACGTGGCTTGGCATTGACCATCTACTGTGTTGCACCCTTTCTCGGTCCCATCTTGGGCCCGATCGTGGGCGGGTTCGTGTCTGAGAACATCGGATGGGTATGGGTCCAGGGTGTCTGCGTGATCTTTATTGGCATAATCGGTATATTTGGTATTGTATTTATTCCTGAAACTTATGGCCCAGTGCTACTTCAACGACGGGCGCGTCAATTAGCCAAGGCCGATGGCAAGGTCTACGTGAGCGTTTTGGAAAAGAACCAAGGGAAGAAGAAACCGTCGGAGGTCTTCAAGCGTGCTTTGGTCCGTCCGTGGATCTTCCTCTTCCTCGAGCCCATCGTCTTAATAGCATCACTCTACATGGCTATTATCTACGGCACAGTCTACATGTTCATGGGCGCCATGCCCATCGTGTACAACGAAGACCGTGGTTGGAGGGAAGGCATCGGCGGACTGTCATTCTTGGGAATTGCTGTTGGCATCATCTTCGGTCTGATATACGCCATCTGGGACAACAACAGCCGATACATGAAGCTGTTCGCGGCGAAATCTGTAACGGCCGAATCCCGCCTGCCACCTGCGATTGTCGGAGGTATCGCCCTCCCTATCGGCATGTTCGCCTTTGCCTGGACCAACTACCCCAGCATCCACTGGTCAGCCAGTATCATCCTGTCTGCACCATTTGGATTCGGCTGTGTACTCGTCATCCTGCCCATCATGAACTACTTGATCGACACTTACACCATCTATGCGGCTTCTGTCTTGGCTGCAGCTGCCATCTTCCGCTCGGTCGTGGGTGCTGCCTTCCCTCTATTCACGACACAAATGTATCACAACTTGGGGGTTCACTGGGCATCCTCTATCCCGGCATTCATGACTCTCGCGTGCATGCCATTCCCGTTGATCATGTATCGATATGGTGCAGCGGTACGAATGAAGTGCAAGTACTCATTCGAAGCGGCAGAGATGATGAGGAAGATGCAACTGCAGCAAGCAGCTGCTAGGTAGTCCAGAGAAAAAGAGATTCGGCGCCTCAGTGAGCCAGAGATATCTTCGGTCAGGGGCGGTTTGAGGATATACTGAGCAGTGGGTCAGAAAACTTAGAAGCGTGATTCGGAAGGGATTTCGTAGAGGCTAGACATAAAGCTTTGATAGGGGCTGAGGTCCAACTATACATTACCAGACCAACCGCGAAAAGGTCGGCTGATAGGATAAATCATAGGCTCCTGAGACTCAGCCAAAGTGGCTCCGTCGTCTTCTTTGATATCTGGTTATCGTCTGAGAGGAAGGGAGTGAGGTCGTCGGATACTTCCTCTTCCGGCACATCAGCGTCCCTGTTGACAGCTGTATAGCTAAAGAAAAGGGGGAATTCCCTCCCAAGGTCGCATATTTCGAAGTATTTGATAACTCATTATGTTTTGCAGTCGTTGTTGGACAGAGGCTACCAAACGCTTCTTGTTGGCCTGGTTTTCAGGATGGTATAGGATGTAGTTTTAAACAAGCTGGCGAGATTTATGCCAATCTAAGGTGATACACTAGTTCTAGAAATACAAATATATATTCTTTTGTGAAAACACGGAGTAATATTTAATTCAATTTTTAATACCTCGTACGTCCACATACAAAACAACATTGAAGGAACAGTTGATGTGACGGTGATTCCGAGGTCCATATCAGCCTCCTGTACTTTGCAAATTGAGACAGCAATAATGATGCTCATGTTGCTCAATTTGGTGTTGCCTGGACGATCATATGAGCGATAATAATAGCCAGGTAGACTCAGTGGCCCAGACACTGAGATAGGTGATGTGGTAGGCCTGGAGCTCAGGATCTAATTGTTTGCTGTAGCTTGTGAAGGCTTGTCTCTGCCACTCACCTCATCCAACTTCAAACTATTCATCTTACAAGGTCGCACGAAAACGATGTTTCCTCTATAACCGTGGAGGGACTCTCGCTCAAATCATCCACGAAGACCGTGTCGGGCTGAGTCGATTGACCTTCTAGTGGATTTTTCCATTGTTATCTGGAAGTCTTCCCTGGATTGAATTCCTCTTTCTAAAAGACATAGCTTATCTCACCTTTACATTTAGATCGGATCTTCTCGGCCTCTGAGTAGTCTGGCCTTCTCTTTTGTGTTTTGCTTTCCTAATTATTAGGCATTATGTATCACGATGGTCGAATGTTCTTTGCAAATCCTTCTTGAGTCATTGGAACGGGAGCGGAAGGAGTCCTACAGTTTCTAAGGTTGCTTCCAAGGTTACTATGTACTAGGTAGTAGGCAAGCGCATGTATAATAATAGACAAGATGAGTATTTCAAGAAAAGTACAAAAGCACAGCTAACTAACTACTTCCCCCCATTATCCATTGACATCGTCACCATGCTCTGCAATCATGTAGGTACGGTCATGTCTTTCCCCCCCTCTTTGTACAGTATGTGCTCCCAAAACAGAAAAAAAGTAATGAAAAAAAAGCTCTCCAGTTCTATTCTCACAGCACACGTCCAGCTGACGAGCTTGTGCTGCGGTCATTCACTTGAGTCTTCTTCAGGGCCTTGCCTTGCTGGATAGACGCCAGGAGGGCGCCTCGGCCAGCGCCAGCGGCCGCGGGAGCAGGTGGGATGCCAGCTGGAGGGGGTGGTGGGGGAGCAGATGGGGCTCCGCCAGGGGGCGGGGGAGGGGGCATAGAAGGAGCACCGGCTCCTCCTGGGGGAGGAGGCGGAGGTGGGGGGAGGGGGGGAGGGACGCCAGATGGCGCGGCTGGTGGGGAGCTGGCATCGCCAGAGCCTGGAATGGCCGGAACAGGAGGCAGAGTTACTGGGGGTGGGGGTGGGGGTGCAACAGGGCTTTCTTGTACGGGGGTGGCAGATTTCGAGGCAGACTTGTCTTCGTCCATGGCACTCAGAGGACGCGGGGGCGCCATAGTGCCGAACAGGATGCTGGCAAGTTGTTTGGCGCTGCCGCCAGCTGGGCGATCGTCCTCGTCATCAGACGAATCGAAATCGGAGCCAGCAGCGGACCAGTCGTCGTCCTCTTCAGGGCGGGTACGGGTCTTGCGTTCCAGGGGGCGGCACCAGTGAAGGTGGGCTTGATGGGTTCTTGCTGGGTCAAGCGATGGAAGGGATTCGTAGACTGAGCTGTGGCGGGCGGCGAAGTCGCGGTAGTGGGCTCAGATGGCTGACCCAACTTCTTGAAGTAAGGGTTCTTGGATTCAGCATCGGGAGTGGCGGCAGGAGCACCACGGCTGCTCTCGGGGGAGCTCACTTCGCTAGGCACGCTTTCGGGGGCGGGAGGTTCGGGAATAGCTATTGTGGGCACGGGAGGTGGGGTAGGAAGAGTCTGGCTCTGCGTCGGGGTGCTGTACTGGGGCGTGATATCGGCAGGTCCTTCATCATCGGATGATGACTCGTCAAGTCCCTCGAGTTCACGCTGCAGCTGTCGCTCACGTTCCTTAGCCGCCTCCAGTTCAGCGCGTTGGGCTGCAAGACTGGCCTCCTGTTCTTTGGACTGTCGGCTAGCCTCTTCCCTGCGGCGCTTCTCTTCCTGCTTCTTGATCTTGCCCTGGCGGACCTGTTCCTCGAGAGCACGAAGTCGAGCGGCTTGGGCATCCTTCTCACGTTGGAATTCTAGCTCGCGTTGGCTTGCCTCACCCCTGTAAATGTATTAGCCAACTCCACTAATTTGGTCTCTATCGGCCGTGGATAACTCACTCTAGACGCTTAGTCTCCGCCTCCTGCACCTCTTGCTCTTCCTTGATGGCCTGCTCACGAGCAGCCTGATCCACTTTAGTAGGTTCCTCCCCCTTCTTGGCATCAGCTTGGCCGGCACTATCCGTCCGAGCCCTGCGGGTGGGCGGGGCCGGTGGTGGTTTCTTGCCCACGGTCTTGGGAGCTGCATCACTAGGACCGCCCCGTTCCTCAGCCAAGCGACGTTGTCTTTCCTGTTCCCGCTTGGCATCCTCTTCCTCGGCCCGTCTGACACGCTCTTCGCGCTCCTTCTTCTCACGCTCCTGGCGTTGTGCAAGAGTCTCAGTAGCGTCATTTGGCTTCAAACCAGCAGCAGCCATGCGCTCAGCAATGCGCTTCTGAGCACGCTCTCGAGCAGCCGCCACACGATCTTCGTGTGTATTACCAGGAAGAGAGGTTGAAGAGTCCACGGACTGGGGCATCGAAGGGCGCGCAGCAGATTCGGCAGCTGGGGATGCTCGAGAACGCACCTCTGGGGAAGATCTCTCTCGCCTATGAATTGTCAGCATTGATAACTTTTCCTAATTGACAGGAATAACATACTCTTCTTTACGAACATTTGCAGTTCGCGCATTACGGCTCAGGTCGTAGATGAAGTCACGGGTGACGTCCTCAACTCCCAATGCCTCTTCCCAACGACGCTTCTCATGCTCGCGTGAGGAGGTTTGGCCCTCGACCCGGAGACTGTCCTCCAAACTGCGAGCGAAATCACGGACACTTTCCTCAACATCACGAGTCATAGTGTCATTGCGCTCGCGCTCCATCTTCACATTAGTGCTTTCAGACTCCAGACGACGAGCCGCTTGGCCATCGTCATCTTCCGTCACAGGGGCGGGGCGCCCAGAAAGCTCAGCAGCCCGGGCTTGCATACGCGCACGCGCGCGGGCCTTGATTCGATCTGCCTCGGTAACAGTGCCACCAGGGCCAGTGCCAATGATGTTAGAAGCGCCACCGGGGTGCGCCTTGGCGTCCCTAAGACGGAACAGCTCAAGCTTCGCGTCTGCGATCTCGCGCTCAAGACGACGCACGTCCGATGCAACCTGAGGAACTTGATCTTCAAAGGACTGCAGTTGGCGACGAAGAGCCCTACGCTCTGCCCCGCTGTCCACTTGACGGAATACGGCATTGGGGTGGGTATCGAGGTCATCTTGTACACGACGGATACGCTCCATAAGACTCTCTGCCTCGCGGCGATCCTGGCGGTCTAGATCATCATCATCCTCGGCTCTGTTCTCGTCTTGGAAATCAGCAGCGTCAATCATGACCTTGGCCTCACGGATCTTCTTTTGCAGTTGTTCCACGGAATACTCCTCATCCGACGCGCCAGAGGCGGCCGGGGACGGGGTACGAGCCTCGTTACCAACGCGACGGCGTGCACTAGAGCGGTATCCACCAGCGGAGTCATTGTTCTTGAACATCGTCGCATCCTTGCGACCGGCCCCAGCAGAGCCTCCGGCACCACCACGGAAAGAGTGATCCTTAAGGTAGCTGACACCAGTCTTTTGCGGCTGCAGGAACGCCCCGGTAGCCTTGCGAGTTTCAGCATCCTGGGAAAGAAGAGACTTGACTGTACCGATAGAGTCATTCAAGTGTCTTGTAGAAGGAGGAACAAGCTCGGGTGGTAGACGGCTAGGAATTGGGTATCCGTTTAGAGCACGGTAGATCATGTGCATAGCCACGGCGAACTCATCCATGTTCAGTCGGCCGCGGTTATGGGGATCAGCCAGGGTCCAGATCCGTTCCAGGTCCTTTCTATTCAGACCACTTTGGCCCATGATCTCGATGGCAGTCTCGCCGCTGATGAAGCCCTTGCGGAAACCGTCCCATGCGCGGAAAAGATCATCGTAAATCTTCTTCTCCTCCTTGGTAATTGCCCATGCAACTGTAGCATTTCCTGAAAGGCCAACAGCACTGAAACCACCTTCACGTCCAGGTTGTGGCATGAGCTGTTGCTTCATAGCCTCGATGTTGGGCAAACCCTGAGCTGGTGTGTTGATAAATCCCCATTGACCTGGCATGCCGGTAGGCTGCGCTACCAAACCCGTAGGCTGCACGCCCAGGCCTTGCATTCCACCGGTCTGGGAGGGGCTGAGGTTTGACCCGTAACCAGTAGGCATAGGCGGCATCGGAGGCCGAGGGCCGGTATATCCAGTAGCCTGTGGGTTACTCATAAAACCGGTTTGTTGAGACTGGAGGAACTGGGACTGGTTCTGGCCAGGGAAGCCGGTCTGGTTGGGCTGCTGGATACCTGTCTGCTGAGGGAAGAACCCAGTAGGTTGTGCTGTCAGCTGCGACAGGAGCTGTGCGTTGTTCGGTTGCTGTGGGACAGGCTGTTGAACAATCGGGGGCGTCGATTTGTTCTCCATGAGAGGCGCATCGAAGTTAGGGACGTTTGTTCGCTGTTGTTGGACCGGCTCCTCGGGGACATCGAATGAAATGATGTCAACCATACTGGAAACCTCGTTCTTGATCGTCTCGGGTAGGGAAGAAGGAAGCTCGCGGCCAGTAAGACGAATGTTGCACAGGTACATAGCCAATGCAAATTCAGGGAAGAACAACTGTCCAGATTTGGTGGTATCAGACAAGACCCAGATCTTAGAAAGATCAGCGCCCGTTAATTTGGAGCGCAGCAAAAGATCTCTTGCTTTGTCGCCTATTGTAACCAGTCAGTACTACCATACAAGCCATCATGTAGGACCCATGAGGTGGATGGAAACCCACCTTCCATTGTCTTGCTATCGCCAACAGCAGACTTAAAGAGCTGCTCGAACCTCGCCTGATCCTGCGCCGTGATAAAAGAAAGTCGAATACTTGGAATCTTTGACCCTGCCTTTGGGGGCACCTGGGGAGGCGCCGCAGATCCAGCAGTACCTTGGAAGGAGTTCGCAATATCGGTAGAGGTCTTGAATCTAGTGGGTATTTGCGGCACCGGCGGCGGCGGCTGCGATTGATTCTGAGGAGGGAATCCAGTGTATTGTGGTTGGAAGCTTTGCGCTTGCTGCTGCTGGGGTTGCTGGGGCACGGCGCCGGGGAAGCCAGTGAATTGCGACTGGAGCTGTCCCGCGGGGAATCCGGTGGCTTGAGGTTGTACCTGCGAGTTACCGAACGGGGAGGGCTGGCCGGCGAATCCGGTCGGCTGTGGGGCAAGACCAGTGGGCTGCGGAGCAAATCCAGTCTGTTGAGGTTGTTGCATTGATGGTGGCTGCTGGCCTTGGGGGAATTGTGAATAGGGGGGTTGCTGCTGCTGTTGCATGAATGGTGCCTGGCCAGGACGGCCAGTGGCACCGCCCCCGAGGAAATTATTCGACGAGGAGTACATCACTGAAACCACGCTCGCATGAGCAAAAGAGATGCAGAAAGGCCAACAAGAAATTGACAGAACAAATGCAAAATGGCAAACGAGTTCAGTCTCAGGAGGATGCGAATGACGCCGTTGCTTGACGCGGAGGCACCCACGCTAACCCCATTGGGTGCTTAGTCACGGACCCGCTATTTTTGGATCTAGATGTACGACTACGGAGTAGAATATGTAGCTGTATGTGCCGGATTTTATGAGGGGGCCTCAGGGTCCTGCTCACTGAGTATGCCGGTGTAACTATTCAGACAGCTAGATATCATTTGTGGATGCAGGAATTCCTACTTACCCCTCTTCCCGCTACCAATTCTGTCAAAGCTCTGAGTTTACAGTCTACTGACGCTTTCGAAGTCAAATGATATATTGATATAATGTCCATTCGCCGTTGCCTTCGCGGAGGAAGCAGCGACAGCTTATGCCTGACCGTTGCTTTCCCAGGTGTTCATTGAAGAGATACACCCAATCTCCGCGGGGAACATGGCGTCCACTATTTCATTTGGGTGTTCGAATTCGGGATTTAAAATGGGCATGAACAACGGCACAGTCACTGACCATAGCATCTTGTGTAATATACATATGTTTTCTTAAGCATCTGAGTCGTGATACTTGCCCAGCTTGAAGAGCTTCTTAGCATTCTCACGCCCAACGTCGAGATACTTCTGTGGGCCACCAAGCGCCTTCGTCAAATTATCTTTGTCCTCATCATACCAGCCGGCGCCCACCTCGACTTTCTCATAGGGGGAGTCGACGCTGAACAGGATGCGGTCCGCACCAAAGTAATCACAGACAAACTTGACGGTTTCCGTCGAGAAATGACCCGACGTGGTGACGTAGATGTTGTTCTTGAAGTAATGCAACAGAGGCTTCCGGGACATCGTATCGCCACGGGAGTCAGCAAGAGGACGCTCCACATCCTCGAGCCAATGATTAGTTCTCCAGAGATCCTGGGGAATTCTCTCACCCAAGTGACCAAGAATCAGTTTCAACTTAGGGTTCCGGTCGAAAACTCCATTCGTGATCAGGCCCATGGTATGAAGAGCCACATCTTGGGCAAAGGAAATAGGAGGTCCGATCAGGTAGCGGCGATCCTTATAGAAGGTATCATAGACCTTTCCGGAGGCCGCAGATGGGTGCAGATACACAGGGACGTCGAGTTCAACGCATTTCTGCCAGAAGGTGTCGTAGGACGGATGATCGTAGAAGATGTAGGTCTCCCCATCCGCACCAGCGTGCTGCCAGTTGTTCAGCAGTGCGCCATGAAACCCGAGTTTTTTAACGCAACGCTCGAGTTCCTGTCCCGCTTGTACAGGGTCGTGCATCGACAGGGCTGCAAAGGCGCCCATACGGTCCCGATGATCTTTGATCTCATTGTGGATCCAGTTATTGACATCGGTGGCATGCTTTTCTGCCTGGGCTTTGTCGGCGATGCCCTGTACACCGGGTACGGTCAACGAATAGATCGTATAACCAATACCAGTTTGGTTGGAAATGTCGAACCGTCCACCAGTAGGACTTTTGATCTCGCTCAAGTATCGGTCGAGGTCCTTAGGGGCGATGTATAAAGCAGCCTGGTCACGGCTACTGTCTGCCAGGGCAGGGATCTCATAGGCCTCTTCGAAGGAAACCTTCCCACGCATGTCGGTAGAACTCGATCGGCGATGAGAAGTAATACTAGAGATTTTGTCTACGGAAGAATGAGAATTATTTCGTGAAATGCCGGATTTTCCGTCGAGAGATACCTCATATATATAGGTTCAATTAGCTAACCCGTGGTTTCAATGACACTCTCGTTACATCATGAAATGCACTGTGTCAGTGAATCTAATCTCCAAGGCCGGAGACGGCATTCAGAAACGCGCGGGCAGCATGTTTCAATCTATGACGTATACACATCCAACCGAAGCAATGGGACGGCCAAATGCCAGACCAAGAGTCTCATAGTATGAATCCGATAATGAAGGATTAAGGGCTAATGGACAGTATTACTTAATTTCACAGCACAGAGTGATTACTCAGTGTACTCGAGGGTATAATTAGTAATATCAAAATAATGCTCAGGTTATACTCGGTGAGTACTCAGGCGTAGGTAAATACTTTGTGGCAGGGTCTGTATTAAATAGCTAATTCAACCTCATAGACGTAACAGGGCCGACAAGAGAGCCAATGATAGGATTCGGCTCTTCCAAGGCTATCGGAACTGGCTGGCTCATATCATAACGAACGAAAAGTTCAACTGGTGCCGTTTCGTCATCCGCAAAACTCCATAGCTGAATATTGTAAAAGCAAGCTTTCTCCATGTAATGAAGCTTGAATTATTCTTCCATGTTTCTGTCCTGTGTATAAAAGAACTAATAACTATAAAAAGTAAGTGAGTGCTTAGGAAATATCTAGTAACTAACTAGTTAGCTGGGAAGTATAAGTAAGATACTAACCGGGTGGTCCCGGAACGGCCGATCGGACGTTCGAGTAACCATCACGGTTAGAATAGCGCTTACTTCTTAGAGAGTAAGGTAATGTAAATGATTTGCGGGATCATTGGATAAAAGTTCTATAATTATATGTGGATTAAAGCTTGGCTGAAAAACTTCTCGGAGACTTAGTATACGCTAATAGTTCCTTCTATTAAGTCCACATAGTTTAGGAGCGCTATGCTTCTATCTTGTCCTAGTATATTGAGTCCCTAAAAATAGTAGAGTAAAAGAGAAAAAGTAAAGTGCACTGACCTCCGTTCGTAGATAGATCTTAGATCGCTGAGAGTAGAGTCCCCGGAAAGCCCTTTCCGAGGAAGCATCTGCTGGGATTAAATATGCTAACGTGTTTATCTAGCATGATCTTCCCAGGCATCCCGCTCATATAAAAGTGTTAATGTATCCCATCTTGATTTAGCGAATTCCAGGGGATTTTCGACCTTAGGGTCATTCTAGACTTCTCGTAACAGAGTCTGGAAGTCCCGGGGGTTATTAAGCCGCTGAAGAATCTGCACCGTATCGAGTGGGTATCTTTGAAGCACCTTTTCCGGATAAGGCTGAAAGAAACATGGATCAAATTGTACAGAGCCGTCACCTGTCATGCCAACTTGCTGGCTATAGATTCCGAGGCCTTGGAGATCACCGGGGGAAAGAAACCAAGATCCATACCTCTTAAGTAGCTTGTAGAGTCGCTTAACTTCATCGCAACGCCTGGTCTGGGTTTATTTATCCATTTTCGTGTGAGAGGGGAAGAGTCAAGAACTTCGAGAACGAAAGAAAAATCAATGGAATTGATGGTGAATGGAAGTGACGATGAAGTGTGGCCGTCAATATGTTGGATGGTCAGGTAACCTTAGGTAGACATTAAAAACATTCCGCGCCTTGCTCGTAATAATTAGGTGATGCTCAGTGAGCAAAAGCGGCTAGGGTAAACATTAAAATGGAAAGGGAAAGCCATCTCGCTCGGCCTAAAATCCGGTGGATATGTACTTAGTTGGTGGATGCAAGTGGTGATTCAAAGCTTTAAGCTTGTAAACTTGTTGGTATGAGCTAGTTGATGGTCTAGCCAAGTCTCCCACGAGCATTAGAAAAAGCAAAAAAGAAACGCGCCTGCGACAAAAGGGGCCACTCATAAATCCCCAGATCGAAATTGAAAAAGAGAAAAAACGCAAGGCATAAAAGTCCATAACTGCTCCATGCGCCAGATTTTCAGACCCAAGAAAAGAAGCTCGACAGTGTCATAGTCTTACCCAAAACCATTTACTCGGCAGTGTTCTGCTGCTGCTGGTTGGCGGCGTTGGCAGCCTTCCGGAGCTCGTACTCCTTGGTGAATTCTCGAGACAAGATGCCCAGGTCCTTGATCAAAGCCTCGGAGGCGTTAACAACAGCCTGGCGAGGAGTGATATCGCCGTCAGTCTGGATACGCAGCTGGAACTCGGGAGTCAGCGGGTGGGGAACCTGATGGATCTTTGTTAGTATATTTCCAAGAAGAAACACGAAGTGCATGGAGCAGGTTTCTTACGCGGTAGGCAGCAAAGATCACATGGGCAGTCTTCAGGAGACGGTGACGCAGCATATTGCCAAGGGTATGATCTTCCTTGTGGAAAGTAAAGATAGCAGCAGAGGGGAGGCCTGGAGAGATACGGTCAGTGGGATTCTGCAATCTACATTAATCAAGATGACTTACGAGTGTCGACCTCAACATCGATCTTGCTTTCGCCAGGAGCGAGCAGGATGGCTTCATACCTATATTCATGGCATTGGTCAGCTTATGGTTCCCACATATGCAAACGAGACATGGCGATGCAGAGAAAGGACAAAAGCAAAAGGAAACAAAAGCCTTGGCCCTCAGCATCGTAATTCTGTTGGTTAACTCAACTGACACATCAGGAGCATCATCAGGAAGCGCAGGGCGAGGATGGCGCGGATGGGGACCCGAGCCGATGCGACCAGCACGATCTCTGGCGATAGCCGCAGTGGCCGTGATAATAGCAGGGCTCTGAGGCATGACTGCACAAAACAGGAATCATAAAACAGGGAATCGAGAATAACAAGAGGATGACAGGGGAAAAAGATGTTGAGAGTGGAGGAGGTGGGAGAAATAGACACGACGCAATGCTCTTTCCCGGGGCAGAGAGCAATGGTGCGTGGAAAGTGCCATCAACGATATCCATATCATTCCCTCCTTCACGCTTTGGCGGGAGATAAAAAGGAAGGCGCATTTACCCCGGGATCCATACCCCAAGATCCGGGGTGGATGTCTTGCGGTACACATAATATGCATCCAGTATTCAACGCACAACCAATTTTACCAGAGCAGCTCAAAATGAATAAAGAACCGAAAATTTCAAGGATATCTGCATGCACTCACCGATCTGGGGCGTTCATAGTGGCGAAAAAGCTTTTAAAAAGCTGAAGGGTTTGGAGTTTGAGGGCAAGATACCTATATCCGTATCGATGATATGGCTCTATGTATGTATCCAAGAACTTTCGGAGTTGCAGAAAAGAGATTTTGATGAGGAGTCGAAGGCTGGATGTAGTTTCAAAGCCTATTTATAGGTAACCAGTTCGTTTTGACTTGTGAAGACAATAGCGATCAAACACGCGTGCCTTCAGAATACGCTTCTGAGGGTGCTTATCGATAGCAAAGAAGTTCAGATAAAGGAACCCAATGAAGATATACACTTTAAAAGGTTATTTGGGCCCTGACTTCGCTCCTGTTTGACGTTGACGTTGAGGGATGAAGATATCGTGATACATTCGATATCGATATCGATATCGATCATGTGACTTCTCTTTTGTATGTGATCACGTGATTTGGCCCACATAGCTGGAACATTCTGTGTCTAGGCACTTCAATGCTGTTATGCATAGATCATTCATTGGCAGGCAAGCGTTCACTTTATCTTCATCTTACTTTGAGATTAACACTGCTTTTAGTACTCTGAAATAAATGTTTGTCCACAATTTCTACGTTACACCTCTAGGTTTGTCGATATGGAATGTAGATGTTGAACTCTCGACTTATAAGACATCATGAATTGCTTTCTTCACTGGAAGCGATCATCTTGATATGACATTAGCCGTAGTGTATGGAGAACCTCCATCTTAACACAAATCTACACTATGGGAAAATATACAAGCCCATTGCAGAAAAGCTCAAACAAAAGAAACAAAGAACCATGAAAAGAGCCGAGATAACGGCCACAAGGCCCGAAATGTATTAAGGGAGTCGAGTAGACGCAGAGTGCTCTTGCGAGAGAAGACAATGCAAAAACACAATGAAAGATGAAAACGCAAAGATAGAAACACTATCAGATAAATAAACGCCATATTTCTTCCTGCGCCGATATCATAAAACAATAATAGGGATCGAACTCAAAGATCAAAAGTAGAAAATTACAAGGAAAGCATATGTATTCATACTTGTATCCATCTGCCCGACCGGAATGACCATGCGATGAAACAAGGAAACCCGGGACAGGGGAACGAGTGACATACAAGATGTGAGATGAGGGCTGGGGATGCATTGCCGAGACATATCCAAATGGCACGGCAAGCCCTTCTCTGAGTTGATGGTATGTGCGTCATATGTCATGTCGTAGAGGCGCGGAAGGTATTATGGAACGGAAGCGGAAATGTAAATGCAGAGAAGAAGGTGGTAGGCTATACAGTGTAACGCGAACAGGTTTCTTTTCGGATGCGATGCAAGCACGCTTTCATGGTGGGGTGGGAAAGGACGAAAGAAAGCAGACAGATCCGGGACTTAGTGCACAGCGCTCAGCAGATCCCCGAACGAAGAGGTCGATCGCTTCATCTTCCAGCTGCTCTTCTTCTTTTCGCGTTTCTTCGCCATATCAGCCCAGGCCTCTTCGTCGTCATCGTCATCGGAACCGGCCTTTCCACTTCCAAGGTCAGCGCCTCGGGAAACGGGGCGTACGGTCACAGTGGCGAGATGCGATTTCGGAATGTGAGATTGAGGCATCGGCATGGATGGGTTGTGGTTTTCGCTACCAAAGGGCTTGTTTGAGGACGCTACTGCGTAATTCGATTCGGGCTGCATGACTGATACTGGCCGGTAGCGAGGCGCCATGCCTGCTGTGCTGCGCTCCGACGGAGCAATTGAAGCGGCATATCCGGTGTTGGGGCGGAATGGGGTGCCAGACAGA